GGGGGGGGGCCATCAGGTGGTTCGAGTTGACGCCTGCCCATCAGTCTTTGTCGCAACGCCCCGACTATCTGTTGTGGCGGCGTTCGCAGTGGCGAATTCTGTTATGTGTCGGTTGCGGTCTGCGCAGTTCGCCGTCGACATGTGCCGTCGCCTTCTTTTGCGCCTGCGCACTCTGCTGCACCTCCTCGGCATTCTTTGCTTGTGCGGCGTCGGCCGTCGTCGTATCGTGCCAGTTGCCCGCGCCGCCGCGACCGGCCAGCATGCCGTGCTGGTGGTGGCTGCTGTTGTTGGAGGCAGCCACCGCGGCCGCGGCGTCTGTGGCCGTCACCTGCGGGCCCGAGCCGCCGGCTTCGAGATCCTGCAGCCTTCCCTGCGTGTGGGCAGCGGCGTCGGGCTCCGATACGATGTTGCCCGCGCCGCCGCGGCCGGTCAGGGTTGGTGCCGACGCGGGCTGCGTAGCGCGGGCGACTTGGCTCTTGCTAGGCGCAAGCGGCACTGCGTCCTTCTGCGCGCGAGAGGCATCTTGTTAGCTAATAGCTGCTAGTTATGCTGACGACATGGCAAGCCCAGTTCGGCAACTCATGCTTGTCTTTTGCGTGCGGCGCGCAGCGTCCGCTTCCAGCTCTAGAAAGGGGGGGGAAAGCATACATTGACCGGGGCAGAGTGGTAGTTGCCGGCCCCGCCACGGCCTACTCTGACCATGGTATCCGAGGTCATGTTGGCTTTGTGTTTTGCAGCGAAGAGTAATCTTTGCAAGGGTTGGGAATTCTTCCTCTTGGCCCTTGTTTGTTCTTCTTTTTTTCCCTTTTTCTGTGACGCCAAAGTCGAAACCGGGACTGTTTTATCGCACGCCAACCCTAAAACTAGCTAAAAACTTTCTAGGCTGTTTATGCCTCGTAGCGCGTCACAAGGAAACAAGCTCGGTTGAGAAAGCGTCTGTCGCGCATTGACAGCTTTCCTATGGAGTAGTGGAGCATAGAATGCCTGGGCGGATGATTCAGTGGCTGAAGACGGCCAAAAGTACTTGCCGCAAGGTGCAAAGCGTTTATCAACAGTCAATGAACACCAAGATCAATCGTAATCGCACCCAAATAACAGGCTGCTACTTTGCTTCTTCAACGGTCTTTCGAACTCGAGCCCAAGCTTGCTTCGAAGGCTCTGGCTCGTCTCCTCAGATAACAGAAAACCGGGGCGTTGCCATGAGTTTCGCGCGGTGATCCAAGGGGACATGTAATGCGGCCTTTGATGGGGGCATTAACTTGACTGTGTGCCAACACAAAAAGTAATTGGAGAACTCGGATCAAGTTATGTTCATAGCATGACAGTTGGGGGCCAGATCCAGAACATTATGGGCATGAAAGAGGACTGTGTATTGATAAGGAGGCAGCGCTGTTAAAGGACAAGGGAAGGTGTAAGTGGTATCTGAAACGGCTCTCGCCAGTTTCGGACACGATCGGCTACCAAGAGACGGGAAGGCCCGGGAGATGTTTAGCTTCCAGTAGTGTAATCAAGTATGACAAAACTGCTCCTATGGTGTTGCTCTCTTGGCATGGTTTAAAAGGCGTTTGGGACCGAAGAGGGTGCGCATCACCTGCGCTGCTCGTCAACAAATCAAATATTGACATCCAAGATGCTCAAGCCTCCATCGGGGTGAAGATGATGGATGCTCTGAGGATGTCAATGCTGCATCGATGCTGTTGACTTGGACGGTATGAACAACACTTGACAAGAAGCACTGCCGCGAGTCAAGATCAGCTCTTTGATAGTGTCTTCAAAGACTGACTCGTTGGAGTTTGCAGCATGCTTGATACGTATTTGGGTCTCATCGTAATGGTGTGCTAAAGGGGATGTGCTGGCGCTTTACTGGGCTAATGCGTGCAACAAAGCTATATTTGTAATGCGACCTGCAAGAATATATTGTATTTTTATAAGAGCGAAGAAAAAAAGAGAAAAAAAAAGGAGCAGCATAGGCAAACCTTTTGTCTCGCATGTCAGACGAAATGGGCGTGATCTGGGCTAAAGCCGGCTCGGCATAGGGTGGGGGGTCGTTGCTGGACATGCATTGCATGAAGAATCTGCAGTGGAAGCAAGCAGAGAAGCAATGGAAACGCGTAGAGCTGAAGATGGGGACTCGAGACCGAAGCGAGGCAAAAGCCCTAAGAAGCTAGCGAATTAAAGAGGGAGAGCAAGATGTAGTAGGGGATATGTGAGGGATAGGGTTTATGCGCGCATTGGTCCTCTTGCTCTGTTGCCCAGCGGGGCAGAACCGCTTGAAGGCTTGAAGGATCAAGACAGGGTACATGTCCCGCGGTGCTCTAAATAATTACTGATGCTTGCTGCTTGAGTGACAAGTACGGATCCGTATTACTGGTAAAAGTCGTCCCAAGCTGGACCGCGGCTGTGGCGCTGGACATGAAGTTTGGTGGGCACTGGGCACGCAACCCAGAGGAGGGGTTTGAGGTGTGAGGCCCTTCTGAGTTAGAGAGTATGTGTGCCCTGACACGCCTGACAGGCAGCTCAATTGGCCAATTCAGCTGCATTGTTTCATTTCCCTGATTATCCTAGTTTCATTTCGGCATGTCAGGCTTGGGTTGCCTTCACTCGTCTATTGCCTTTTGCGGTGTGTAAAATATGCCGAGTAAATCTGAATCAAGGTGTGTGTGCTGTTTTTAGGGTTAGGTCAATGCCTCCCTGTATTATTACTGGCAGAAAATGCGTATATTTTTGTCTATTTGTCTTGAAGGTTTTTTACTTTTTTTTTTTTTTTTCGTTGTGGTTTCACACCCCAGCGGCCCTGCCCCCATGTCGCGATCGACGCTTTCATCGAGATTCGTAATCATGCGCATCAGGTTTTGCGCTGGTTCCATCGGGAACCAGCCGAGGCAAAAAGGAAAGGAGGAAAAGACTCGGGGTTGAGAAAATTAAACAGTGATTGGACAGGATTACTCGACTTTTGAAGTGACAGGCGGAATGAAAATAGAAATAAAAACAAAAATAAAAACCCCGTAACCATCGATTTTGGGCATCTAAATAGTGGCAGCCTAGGGCTTTGACCCCTGACGGCAGCACACATTGTCCTGGATCGGAAGGAGATCAGCCAATCCAACTGTGGTCAACCAATGACAAAACAGTAAACAGGAGACTGATGGCATAAATTTGCCCAGTAGAAGACCAAGTTCGGCAATTGGCATCTCTCCAGTCTCTTGTTGCTCTTTGGCTCTCCGGCAGCAGTCGTGTAATGATTATCCCGACTTTTTCGATGATCAGGAGACTACGATAAATCATGTATTGGACACACACCACTGCACTGCACGTGGATGTGGATGGAAGCGGCCATGATTGACAAGCGCTCGTCTCTAGCTTGACACCCTTCCCTTGGCATGACCGCTTCGGCTTAAAGCTCTCCTCAATTTTAAAAAAAAAAAACAACCTTGCTTGGCTGCTTGGGCTCTGCTGCTTGCGTTCTAGACTGGGCTGATCGACAAGAACCAAAGAACAAAAAAAAAAAAAAACAAGAGGCCATCGCAAAAAGGCTCCATCTTACAACTGGCAGCGGGGGCCGAATTAGATGCATATTGTTTCGAAAAACAAAGTGTTGTTTTGACCAATCTGATGTCCATAGGTAGTCATGGTCCCCCCTCCCCCCCCATATGTCGCCTATGTCGTTTATGTATAACTCTGGAAATAATTGTATGGTCATATCGAGAGGGACAGGATGAGAAAATTACCGAGCTTATGCTCATTCGTCCTATCTGGACCACTTTTGATGCCATGGGATCACAATTGGCAATCAAGGCCCTACCTTTTTCTTTTTCGCTTCGTTAATATTACTTGGCACAGGGTCATGTGTTTTCTGACCCAAAAAAGTAAACTCTTGTGGCTTAAACCGAACCTGATAACTCGGTGGTACTGGCCGGCACGACCGGGGTAGGAAGTGCGACGAGGGCACAGAGCGAAGCTGTTCAATTCCTGAGCAAAACAAGCTATCGTCTACTCCATTTCGGCTTTCTGTTGTTTTCCTTCTTCCTCTCTTTTCGACCAAAATTTTCCTTTTTTTACAAACATGTGGCATCCGTCAATAAAATAAGTTCCAAATCCTCAGCCGTAGCACAAACATTCACGGAAGGCTACTCAATTGTTCGTTTGTGGTTCTCGCCAGCTTCGCTAGTTAGGCTGGGTCAGTATTTCCATTAGCAAGCCCCTCTTGTATGAGGAGCACTGTCCACCCGCCCGCGCAATTGGGCCAAGGAGTGAAAGCCGGGGGGTGCATGATCGAGGAGCACTCGGGGGCAGCTAGGGCACATTGGGCAGGTCAAAAGTGATTACCCTGGGAGCCATGGCAGATGTGCCCCGGGTTTATTCTGTCTGCTCGATTTGACAGGCAAGAAACGTCAAATTCAGCATTAACTAGAGGGAACCGCCGGACTGTCCACCAAGAGGAGTCCGGGGCCAACAATAGATAAAAACTGGATGCGGGCTGGACGGAGGGGGCCGTCAGCCGGGCTGTCTTTGTACAGGGAGGGGGTGTCCGCGTGGTGTCGGGATAAATGCACGATATTCTTGAATAGGTCAAAAGCTTGACAACGCAGGACGCAGATGCTCCAAATGGCCATCGGAAGCAAGAGCAGCGAGCCTTGGCCAAATGGACACGCCATTGGCAGCCTGGCTATAAAAGGTGTAGAGGAAGTAGGAACTGGTTCGGAGCGGAGGGGAGCCGTCTTTTGCCGTCCCTCCATCAGCTGGCGCAAGAATTATTTATCAATAACAGCCTGTTTGGCTGTATGAGCTACGGCTATCTGATCTGCTGACGACTTTCAATTGGCAGCCAGAGCGCATTGCTTACTCGTACTCCGTGTACCAAAGTTGTCGGGTCCGGTAACTCTTGAGACCCTTGTCGCTCTGGCTTTCAGGAACGCGAGGGGACGAAAAAAAAAAGAATAACCGAATTAGAGTGAATAATGAGTATTGTTGGCCGATTTTCCTTGGTCTACCAGTCATAATACTAATTGTGTGTCTTCCTATTGAACTCTTGTCGGCCTTGCCCCGACCCGCCTCTCAGTACCCCTGTTCACTGAGAACAAGCCTCACTGGGGAAACCCCCTCCATTACTCAACATGCCGACTTCTGCAGTGCGGTCCAAGATGAGACGAATCATCAGCGACACATGTATGAAAATTTCCCTGCTTGCATCAAACTAAAAACGTCCGAGTGCATTGGAGACGATTTCTGGTTAATAATCCATACCTATTCCAAATGATTTGTGCGCGGGGTGGCCGCGAGGGCGATCGTCAAGACAACCGGCGCGGGCTGAATTAAAATAAAAGCCCCGTAGTTATGCATCGGCGCAGCGGTCGTGCGGGGGCGGGGAACGGGTTTTTTTTCTGTGATCTGGCCGTATTATCATCGGCGCGTGTATATCGAAGAAAACCAAATTTGTGCAAGCTTGGTGCATTAATGCCACAATGGCATAATAACGAGGCGGCAATAATTCTAGTCAAGCAAAGGCAAAAAGGCGAATCTCTCTACGCTGCCGTGTTATTGTACTCGGCCGATATGCCGGAGATTGCCGTTATCGGCGCGCCAGTCTCCATCTCGTCACCAACCCGGACATGGTAACATAAATAATGAAAGCAGGATGCTTGCTGAGCTGAGGTTTGTTGATTAGGGTTTGGGGCTAGATTTGCTGGAACCCTTGCCCCGGCTATGCACAAAGATCATGACGGCGGCATTGAGTCAGGGTAGCCCCGTGTAAGATAAACACGATACACTACTAAAAGACATATTGAACGAAAACAAAAGCTATGGGTGAAGGCTTGGAATAGAGTACGTCAAGAAAAGAGTTGCGTGTCCTTGGTGTCAATGACGCAAGGAGACAGATATCACGCATTCGATGGATTTTGTCACGAGTTAATTTCTATCTCCCGTCGTGGTATTTTTGGATGCAATTGGAACAGGCACCAAGAAATTAATAAATTTTTCATTGAGGTATTTCGACACATACGCATTTGGCGTCATGGTGATGAGAGCAATGGCCGGATGCGCAAAAAAAAAAAATTGTACGCATCATAAAATGGGTCGAACTTGTTTTTCTTTGCCATCTTTTCTTGGTACAGAGTAATAATTACAGCTCTTCAAAGTCCCGCCCACAGCCGCCCACATGCCCTAGGCATGCCCGATGGCAGTGGGGGGGGGGAAGCTGGAGACCGGACGCTACAGCCTACCTACAGGGGAGGGGAGCACGGAGGTCAGGCGCCTAAATAAGGTGATGGCACTTGTGGCGCAATTTTTTGGGCAGGCCACGCTGCACCAAGAGTCATGCCCATTGGCGTGAGATATACGGTAATGAAAGGTTTAGCAACAGGGAACAAAACCTCTCATTTTTCTTTTTACCAGTATATTTATTCCCTAGTTAGCGTTGTTGCTTTCTAGAGCAGCAAGCTAACTACACTTCTTTCCTGAAAGATAATTGTTTCCTTTAGTTGTATACGGATATCTGCCTTATCCCCTTGTGTAATTGCCCCGGCCCGCAATGCAGTTTGCCCGAGCCATAAACATCTTTGACACGGAAGCAAAGAAAAAAAAGAAGGAGCAACGGATATTTCCAAACGCCTTTGTTGAGAATTGGTTCTCTTAATGACACCGTCTTGCGACCATTTTTCCGTTTCCTCGCCAGGGGCATACCCCCTTCCATTGGTCCACGTCAGGAATTTTTGGGTTTGAGGACGAGCCACACACCATTGAAACTTTATAGCGCTCGCACGCGCGCCAACTGTTTTTGTTTCTTCTTCTGCAATGTCCGAGACAAACATGATTAGGGCTTTATACGGGACGAACACGTGTGTGCGTGAAGAAGAATTTAGAAGAAAAAAATTTGGTTTGGTGGTTCTTTGCTCATTGACCTTGATACCCCGACACCACCATGTCCATCCATGTTATGACTCCCTTGGGATCAAAATCCTTTCAGGCACAGGCAGCAGCTTTTTTTTTTTTTTTTCCGGTGCCTTGCGCTAGCTAATACCTGCTCACACGCCCCCCTTCCGTGCTACCCTCTGAAATGAAGGAAGCCTGGGCGAGACCCGTGGTGTATTTAATATATATTTTACGTGCCCGGAAAGCAGGGCATCTTACCGCAGAAACAAGGCTACTTCACGCTGTACCTACAGGACGTTATGCAAAACATATCTCCCGCGTGCAGCCTAAATTGTTATGTAGCCAAAGATGAAAAAGTCCACACCTCCATAAACTATCAACTGGTTTTTTTTTTTTCCAAATATCATCATCCTTTATAAAAAAACTTGGCTGCCTACGGGTAGTGTCGCGATAGTCGCTGAATGCCCTGTCCTGGTGATGAACTTGTCAAACTCCATGCGCCCAATCAGATACCGTTTCTCGGCTCCACCGACGACCGTTCACTCCGGCCGGTCTGGATGAGTGAGAGCGTCAAATTGCCAGAACGCCAATAAACCAATTTTGATGGGAAGAAAAAGAGAGAGAGGGAAAAAAAAGGGGGTGTGTGGTTACAAGACTTACAGTCTTTCCAGCACCTCCGTGCTCGATTACCCAACACCTGACGATGTATGCCTGTGCTGATGTTACCAAGTGGCCCTTTTGCGGCTGTGGGCAGAGAGAGAGCACTTGTGGCGCCCCTTGCGCTGGAAACTGCTGGAAGCATGGCTCAGCGTGGTCCGTCCGAGCCTGCCCTACACTTACCTACTTAGGTACTACCTAGGTACCGACTTACGGATAAAGTACTTGTCTCCGCACGCTTGCTACTAAGCTGTCATAAGTATTTACCCTTGCCTCTCACGGTTTTGGGGACGGGGGCCCCATTGCCGTCTTGGGCCCCGCACAGTAACCACCACGGCACCAAATACGAATCCACGCCCAGACCCGCACTGTGCTGCCTGCTGCGTGGCCCTCCCTCTCCGTTGTCGCCGCCACTGTATTTTGGGAAACAGTCATTGCCATGTTCCTCGGACCGGCGTGGCCAGATATTCGCATTGTGTGCCCTGCTGTCAGAGTTGTCAGTATGTACACCGTGTCCCGTGTCCCGTGTCGTCTCAGCGTCACTGCTACTTTCCAACGGTTGATAGGTACCTGCCAATCCTGCAGTCCTGCAGTCCTGCAGTTCTGTTTGGCTGCGGTAGCTTCGTAGATGCTTTTGCGTACCAATATATATTGATACAATCAAACAGCACAAATATTGTGTGTCTTGACCTTTGGCCCATTAGCCCCCAAAATTCCATACTCTTGACTCTCTGCCGTACTCGTCTGCCTCGTTGATACGCTCGCGCCCCTCCCAACGTTAGACCTCCAGCTGGTGGGCAGTGCCACACGCCATACGCCATGCGCTACTACTTACAGAGGTAACCAATTACACCCTCCCTCACCCTGCTCCGCGACTGGACGGAGCACGTCTAGATTCTAGGCACAGAGAGTACCTGCACGACGCTGACTCCGCCCATGCTGGCCAATGTACCTTGTCCATCGACAACTCCTCCTCGGTCGCCGCCGTGTCGCTCGTCGCCCTCCACACACACTCGCACACACACGCCCCTCCGCTGCCCACCAGGGCCACCACTGCCGCATTGCTCCTCCCAAAATATTATTTCTCGTCTCAGCCTACCTTTTCTCACGAAACATTATCTTTTTTTTTTTTCCCTTGTCAAGTCTTTTCGTGCCTGCTTCATGCTCTCCTTTTCCATCCAACAAGCACACACTTGCTCAACCATCTCAACGATCCAATCGCTCCCATCACTTTAAACGCTCGCTAGCGTCATCGTTCTCTCTCGCTATCACGGTCCTGTCTCGTCAGCCAATCTCCCTCGTCTCGCCCTAAGCCTACGACCCATCCGGCGTCCTTCTTCTAGCGCCACACAAGCAATCCAAAAGTCGTGGGCAATGGCGTCGTCCAAAGTATGAATGACCATCCTTCCCTCCCACCGCTTTCAACACTGGATTGTTTATGCCGCTAAGAAGTGACCCCTCTTGCTGACTTGGACTCTCTCAACTCAAAGGAGATGCAGCAGCAGCCTTCGAGACCATTGGCGTACCAGCGTCCCTCGCTCTCGGCAGCCTCCTCGTCACTGCCTACACGCCACACGCACGCGAGAAACTCCTCCCACTCTCTGCTCACCGGAGCTCTTAATCCGAACCACCGCGTCACCCGACGCAAATCTGTCACCAACCAAGCTCCCAATGTTGCCGCCCTAACCGCCGCCATTGCCGACGGCGATCCTGCCACGGCAATCCCCATTGCCAACGCTTCTACTCGACGAAACACTTTGTCCAAGGCTGCCAAGATGTCCATCGCAGCCAGTCTCCCTTCTCCGCCTGCCAGTCTACCGCTGCATCGTTCTCTCGCCGACTCTAAGATGCACCAGGACAGTGCCATCGACGACGATTCCATGTCAGGCGATGATGCCGAAGGCTCCGTGGATGGCAGCCGTGCTCGTCGTGCTAGTGACGGCCAGCCCTTGACAAAGGACGGCAAGAAGAGCAACCGCGTCGAAATTCGATGTGAGACGTGCGGCAAAGGCTACAAGCACAGCAGCTGCTTGACCAAGCACTTGTTAGTCTTCTCCGAACTGAACAGCATGCGCTCATCGGCCGCATAACTCACAAACCAACCGAGTACTAACGTCTTGTATCATAGGTGGGAGCACACTCCTGAATGGTCCTTGACCTCGAAGCTGCTCATCTCCAAGCACCAACAAGTCCAGCTGCTCGAGGCTGCCTCTGTTCTGTTAGCCATGAATGGCCCCAATAAGGAGGCCGACGTCGTTACGCCTCCCGATTCCGCCAAGGACTTCAACAGCGAGCCCGAATCCGCTTCGCCATCCGCCTCTGGCTACTCGGAACAACGAGAGCGTCTCAGCTCTGCCGACACGACGCCACCTCCCGTTGGCGAGCCTCTTGCCTTTAATGGAATGGCTTATCGCGAAAAGCGTCTTAGCGGTGGCAGCGGGATTGCTCAGAGTCTCCAATCAACCCCCATTGGCCCCCAGCATCTCTCGAGCAGCACCCCGCGCGCCGGGTGGAACAGCGGTCGCCGACCCTCGCTAGGTCATGGCGGCACTGGCAACGAGGACCGCGATCTAGCTGCCGCTGTAGAGCTCCTGAGCTGCAGCTTTGGTAGCAACGGTGGCCACGATGTTGTCGGCGTCGCTGCCGATGCTCCGCCTGTACCTCCAGTTCCCGAGCAGTACCGTGATCAGGCACGGTCCTTTTCCACCGCTGGGTTTCTCAACAGTTTCCCCAGCCGCCAGCCTGAAAGTTTCACGCGAGGCGAGTTCCGTCGCGGTAGTCAAGATGTCAAGATGGAAGACAGTGGCGAGTCGGCGGCCGACGACGACGATCTCGAGTTCCGAGCCCGCGCTCGTAGTGACGAGGATGACGATGGTGTGTTTGGCCTGATGGAGGAATAACTGGACAGGAGCCGACCCCTTTTCTTTTCTTTTTCTTTTCTCTTTGGAAACGCATGGAGCATATTGGGAGTCGGGAACTTGGAACTCTGTCATTGGATTATAATCATTGGGAGGAACGGCGTGATGTCTCTTTTGTATAACGATATACACACAAACCTGTATGAGGTGGTTCAGCTCCGCCCGGACGTTTAGCACCGAAGAGTGGAGAGCCCGTCTGAGCAGTCATTTTGGGCCGGGACGCGATTGCTACTCCACGAGGTTAAAGTGAAGGTCTGTAGGCGTCGAGCGGACACCCGAATAAATACCAAACGAAGCGAATATATTCTGACTTTGATGCCTGGACGATGTTGTGATTTGCTTACGGTCAAGAGACAATTGAGTGGATGGTGGTGTTTTGCTTGTGGTGACGGTAAAGTTGCAAACGGGCACCTTGGCGGCGTATTTGTGCCCGCGATGCTGAGGCGATGAGCTTGGGCTATTTAAGATGCAAGCTGGGGCAGGTCCTTTTGCCACTGTGATTGACCTTTTTGAAACGGTAGCTAGCCGTACAAGGAAAGTGCTTTAGGAAATCTGTAAAAAGATGTCAGGATAGTGAGATTGTGCAAAGAAGGGGGGGCTGGTCTGCAGATCGACCAAGGACATGACGGCACCACTACTAATGTGCCAATCAATGTACATAGCAGTGCCAATGTATGGACAATCTTGCGTCTTGTCAAGTCGATAAGCACCACAGGTACATAAGGGTGACTGATAAGTTGAGTTGGCAAGCAATGCAAGTTGGTTGGCTCGAGGTGGACCCCATTTTGGCTCATCCTCTTGCCAGCTGCCAAGTGCAACTAAGCGAAGGTCACTGCCGAATTTTCAGACAGAGTATTCACATATCCACTTCCATCCATATTTCCATTACAATCATCCCAACCTCAGAGTCACATCGGAACCGTTCGAATCCAGCCAGAGCTCAACCAATCGTTGCTGTAGATTCACTACTTTTCTCTTCCACTTTTTCTTTTTTTTTTCTCTCGCTTCAGCAGCTCTTCACGCGAGTCTATCGTCGATAATCGCTTCTGCCGATCAGGTTTACCCACCCACTCTTCAAGACAAACGCGATTCCCCGCCGTTTTCAGCAGCCGAGACGCGCCACCACGCTAGCTCTCAGCTTTCAGACAACAACAAAAAAAGACAAGTTCAAGCTCTTGACGACGCGATCTCGCCACCCACATCAACGGTGATATCATCGCATACGAGAAACCAGATCCCGCACAGTTTTCAATTGATCCTGTCATCGGACACAAGATGCCCAGAAAATCCGTCAAGAGCGAAGCCAGCACGGCGTCGCCCGACCCTGCGCCGGTCAAGTCGACCCCGGCCAAGACCGCCACCGCATCCACGAAGAGCACGCCTGCAAAGAAGAAGGACAAGGACACGTCAGCAAAGACGCTCTCAGTCAAGAGCACGCCAGCCAGCAAAAGCACCAAGGCGGCCCGGGACAAGGACGCGGTTACACCCGCATCCGGCGTCGCCAAGCAGCGTCGCCAGAGCAAGCCTCGCGTGCCGTCAGCCGACAAGCAGGTCCAGCGCAATGGCTTACCCGCTAGTAATGGTACGCGCAAGGCGCCCCTCTCCAGCTTGCCGCCCGCCGGCAGGTTTGTCGCCGCCGAAGTGGTGACGCTTACGCTGCTCGTCGCTGGCCGCTTCGCACTTGCGTCCGCGACCGACAACGAGTTGGGTGCGCTGCGCGCCCTCCCCGAAAGCGCTCGCGAGTTGACTCTGCTGGCTGGCTGGCGCGCGGCAGAGGTAGCGCTCGCGTGGGCCGCAAACCTAGACTTCATCGACGTGGGCCTCGTCTCTTTTGTCGCCCACGCTCCCTCGTTTTGGCTCGTCGCCATGTTCTACGGCATCCGCCCAGTGACCGCCGTGGCCGGCACTCTCGTCGACGTGGCCGCGCCCGCCGCCGCCTTTGCCCTCGCGCGACCCCTCGGCAGCCTGCGCTTCGCCGGCCCCAAGCTGTACAACAAGGACCTTGTGTCTGTTCCCTTTCAGCTGCTCATTGCTGTGCTCGCCAGCAGCGTCTACGCGTCCGCCGTGTCCCTCGCTCTGCGCTTTCTCCTCCCCCGGATCCTGGTGCTCAACTTTCGGGGCATCCCCACCGTCGAGCCTGCCTATGCGGCCTCGTTCCTCGCGCTGCTGCCGACGGCGGCCTTTTTTGGCGTCGCCGCCAGCCAGTTCCTCTTTGCGCCGTATGTGACGACGGGCAAAAGCAAGGAGGACGACAAGATTCGTCAGTTCGATCCCGTCCAGGCCAGCCTCGGCGAGACGGTCTGGTGGAATTTCTGGGGCTACACGCTCCGCAGCCGCGTTGTCATTACGCGCACCGCCATTGTCGCCGGCATTACGGCCGTGAGCACCTACCTCGCTTGTGCTGTTGCCATTGACGGTGTCAGCCGCTTCGGCGCTGTTATGTACGCACTTGTCTGGGCTTTTGCTACTGGCGGCGCGGGTCTTGCTCTGGGCCTCGTTGGCCAGGAGTAAGATGGCTGCAGTCTTGCATGGAGCTGCTCCTGCTCTTGTCTGTCGCTTTCAGAAAGAAGATGAGTATTATTATACGGGAAACATCCAGCCGGTGTAAATTTGTGACGGGCCAATGCAAGGAAATTTAGGAGGAAGGATTATACCCAGAAGTCTTTTTCTTTTGCGGTGGAGTAAAGGGATGGGAATGTACGTGTATTTAGAAGCCACGCTGCTTCGCATGTTGGGTGTCGTTATTTTGATCTGCTCTCCCTGGGTCTGTTGCGCGAAACGCTTTTGCTTACTTAACTATAGTTACAGTCGCTGATGTAGCCAATCGATGCTGCCTTCTCTGAATAAACGCACGACTACTTTTTTTGCTCTCTACACTCCGTGCAAAGGGCACGCGCGGCAATCCCCTGAGCAAGCCACCAGGGCAACGCCTTCCTTTCTCGAGTCCCCCCCCCGGGGTGATCTGTCACCCAGCCTTGCCCTAAGCAGCTGACTGGCTCCTTGACGTGCATGGAAGGATCGTGGAAGCCCCCCTTTCCCCTTTCACCAGGGAGGCATCATGGGCACTGGATACTGATAGACGAACGGGCCAACCAAGGAAAAAGAAAAAGGTGCGCCCGCCCGTCTTGTGTGGCAGGGCTGCGCGGGGACTCGCGACGACAAAGAACCTTTTTGGTGGCGGTCGGGCCAGACCGTGCCCGAAATGAGCTTCTTGTTGTCTCGCCTCGTGTGCTTTGCAGCCCTGTAGCTGGCCCTAGGTGGGCAAGATGGGAATAAAACATGGCCGGTCTATTAGTAGGCCATCAGCAACCCCTAAATATTTATACTGATGACTACCTTTAAGAAGAATTGGGAAAATTTGATGAACTTTGAACTAGTAGTACGATAAGTGGTGGCTGTGGATCGGCGATGTACTTTTTCCATCCCTTTTGGCTGGGCTTTGTTCCATGTCTCTTGATCTGGGGCTGGGACGTCGATCATGGGTGGGATTGACCGAGGGAGAGCCGAACGGACAGGGTGCCGATGAGTAAAAGGAATGCTTATCTTGTTCTTTTTTTGTCTCAGTTGCCTGCGAGGCCAACCACCTCTTGCAGCCCAAACCCACGACAGCCGACCCACGAGGCTGAAGTGTCGGCTTGCGAGGATATATACTGGATATATTAGCTGATTGGTTGCCCCCCCATTGTAGGGCGACTCCGCCTTTCGTATTTCGCATAAAACTCTCCGGTCCGCGATCGAGTTTTAGCCTGCAGGTGTTGGGGGGGGGGGGGGGGGCCGTTTGTTTATTCTAAATTTATTTTTATTTTTATCTTTTACAATTCTGAACCCCCTCAGCTTTTGCATCGAACCAAAGACATGGTCCAATTATGAGCAAGTGAAAATGGGTAAACTAGATTTGCGCCCGGGCAAGGATCATCCAAACCCTCTCTCGGGCTTGATGTCACTTCTTAGGCAGTCGATGTTTCTGGAATGCCCTGCCCCACGGAGAAGCCAGAACCGTTTGTGATCATCACCAAGGGGTTGCTCACTGAAGGTGTTAGTTAGCCTTGGCTGAACTGATGTGCAGGAGAAATTGTTATTTTTGTAAATGGCGGAAATGCATTTCCGTTGTCAAGTGGAACTGCAACACCTACCTCTCTCTCTCTTCCTTCACCCTTGGGACTTGCTCAAGATCCTTGTTCAGCCCTGCCTTCCACTTGCAGTTCAAATCTCACCCTTTTTTTTCCCCCTTCGCTCCTGCGTCTCCTGCCTAGCACGTGCGACCAGAACCCCGTGTGTTGTGTGTCATTTCTTATCTGCATATACCTAGAGTTAAACGGCTTTTTCGCCGCCCACCGTTAACCGAACGTGTGACTCGACAGGGCACCTCTCACGCCCGTCTTACCCCGGCATCTGAAGAAGAAAACTGTTTTTTTGGTCTTGACCCCTGCTGAGACTTTTCCTTTTTTTTTTCTCTTCACTCTTTATAGCTATCACAGTTTGATACGAAACAGAGCATAGTTGTTGGGTTTTCTTTTCCATCAGCAAGTATTGGGACACCTAAACCCAAAGTCACACAGCGAAAGCTATATACAAGAAAAGCGTTTACCAAGTTTTCTCATTCGGAGAAAGATATGGACTCTCCAAAGCAAAAGACGGCGTCGCTGCGCCATCAGTTCAATCCACAAAAGGCCTACCCTTCGCCAACGTCGCTGCCGAGTCCCGAGGTGGCTCAGTTTCAGGAATTCGCCCGCATACCGCACCTCGCCCTCGACCACTACTCGTCGTCGTCCGCCTGGTCGGGGCTGGGACCGGGGCCGCCGCCGCCGCCGCCGATGACGACGCATTGCGCGGGGGTGGTCATGTCCGAGTACTTTCACCACGCGGGCAGCTCTCTAACCGGCGACGTCTACGGCCTCGACTTTGCGCGGTCCGGGGCCATCCACAGTGAGCGCAGCCTGGAGCTGACAGGTCCGCTGGACGTGGCCGGCACCATCACGGCGCGGAGCATTGGTTTTGACGGCGACTTTATCGTCAGCGATGCCATTTACGCCTATGGGAGCATTGAGATTAACGGCAATATGACGGCAGAGTATGCTAACCCCCTCCCCCACCCTCTTTTTTTTCTTTTTTTTTTAGCAGTAGAGCAGTATGATGATGAGGTGCGAATTTGCTAATGGGTTCAGTGTAGAGGCAGGATCAAAGCTTTTGGAGACATTAAAGTCAATGGCAGCTTGACCGCAAGGTGAGTCAATCCGTCGCACCCTTTCAGACGTAGCTCATAGAGTACTAAACGCCCGTGTTTAATAGCGGTAGAATTGAGGGATCCTCGAGATTGAAGCTGTGTGGCAGTATTCACGCCGCTGATGTGGAGATTTACGGCAACGTCACCCTTCGTGGGTATTTGTAAGTAATCAGATTCAAAGGACAAGCGAACCATGCCTGATATCAAGTAGATGTTGTCGCCGACTTGTGGTATACGGCTCGCTCATCTTGATTGGGCCTAATTCAACATATGAGGTGGCCGGTTATGAAATGATTACGGGTTCACGTACGCGACGAGATCATGAACCGGATTGGGACATTTGATTTAACCACATTTTTTCATGATGCATTACTTCATTATTCTTTCTAGCATTGCCAACAGCTTGGTGTAGAACGGCGTTATTTTGGAGGTTGGCCTTTTGCCTTATGTCTTTCATGTTTTTTCTTTCTATTTTTTTTTCTTTGCCTCGGCAGTTGCCTTTACAGCGAAGCGTTGTCTCGTCTCGGGAGCTACATCGTTCAATCTTGGGTGAGCTCAAGTCTAGTGCAGCTTCAGCTGACAACTGGCTCAATGAAAATTCACTACTCATTCTCGCAGCTACAATTTAGATTGCCAAGCTTAGAGTCTGGCGTCGGCAATGCATTCAGGTGTCCGAAAGTGGTTATATTTTTCGAGTAGCAAACACAATAAGCCTATAAAATCATTATGATGTAAACGAGGCTGGCGCGGGGGTGAATCAGGCCGATTCTCATGGAATGAATCTGGCTGCTTATTATTTGACCTTTGTCTTCTCCAGACTCGTCGGAGCCGCATCATCTGTGCGACCCCAGGCTTGGGATAAGCGGCAAAGCAGAGGTCCCGACATGGCCAGCACCATTGCAGCGCCAAGAAACGCCGCAGTCACACCGAAGCCGATTTGATAGCCCGGGGAGTCACTCTTGGGCCAAATACGACTGCCGTAGACGCTGGAGAAGTTGCCAAACGCATTGACAAGAGCCAGCACAATGGCGCGCTTTTCTGACGGCAAACTGATGACATCGCTGGTCCAGGTGAGGATCAGCGGCACGGCGGACCAGATACCCGCGGCGATGAAGCAAATCATGACGTATCGCACGACGGCATGTTGCACGGCGGCGCACACGACACTGCCGACAAAGCCGATGGCGAGAGCGCCGGTAATGTGCCAGCGGCGCTCAATGTGTCGGTCAGACGACCAGGCAATGATGTTGAGGCACACGGCCGCGACAGCGTAGATTGGCACTGTCATGTATTGCGCCTTGACAGTATCGTAGCCCAGTGTTAGAGTAATGGTAGGGATGAAGTATGATATAGTGCCTGCGCCAATGTCGAGCATGTAGAGCAGGATGAAGATGTATGTGCGGGGATCGGAGATTGCAGCTAAAAAAGCCTGCCAATGTGACAGCCGGGGCTTTCCTGCGCTTCCGTTAGCGATTCCATCGTGGATGATTCGTAGCGTGGCCAGCCTTTGTTCCTCTGGACTCAGCTTTTTAGAGGTAGAAGGGTAGTCCAGCAGGATAAAGTACGAGGCCAGAGCGACGGTGACGGTCGCAACGCCCTCAATGATGAAGAGCCAGCGCCACCCGGCGATGCCGCAAGCGCCGTGCAAATTCGCAGTGATGGCGCCCGCGAGGATGCCGCCAACGGCACCCGACGAGACGGCGGCGGTGTAAAAGACGGCGAAGCGCTTGCCGAGCTCGGCCTTCGTGTACCAGCAGCTCAGCACGTACAAGACGCCGGGGAAGAAGCCCGACTCGACGCAGCCAAGGACGAAGCGGAAGCCAAGCAGGGCGCCGTAGCTCCGCGATGCGGCCATGCAGGCGCTCAGCGCGCCCCAGACCAGCATCGTGGTCGGGAGGAAGACGGAGGGCCGGCTGCGGCTGAGGAGCATGTTGGAGGGCACTTCGCAGAGCAGGTAGCCAAAGAAGAAGATGGAGAGAACCCAGGCATAGCCGTCGTCGGTCAGGCTCAAATCGTGCTGCATGCCGGCGATTTTTGCATTTCCCTAAACCACGCGACCCCGGATGAGTTGGCGTTTGCGTAAGAGGTTGTGTGCTGGTGTGGAACTCACAATGTTGGTTCGATCAATGTAATTAAACACATATTTGATCCATAGGATCGGCATCAGATAGAGATCAATCTTGCGTACAAGTTTCTTCTCTTCTGGGGAGCCGGGCACAAAATCGCGAAGCTGTTCTGCCATCTCGCTCTCCTCCATCTCTCGGGATATCGGTTCCATCATTACCATGACTTCAGATTTTCTGACAGAGTCCATCAGAAGAAGAACGACTACCTCATCAGTACTGGTAACCTTTCGTAGCAATGGGTTAGTAGCACTGCCGTCTAGATTCGATATCTGATGACTGAAAATGTGTTTTGATCTGTGCGGTGGGCGGTGAGGTAGGTGCCTGTATCCCCAGGCTTGGCAGCGGGAGCGCCGCCCTTTGACGACCGCGTCGGGGGTCAATTGCAGCAGGTTTCCATGCTATTTCCGTCTTTCAAGGTGCTGCAGCTACGGCAAGCGTTTCTTCTCGCGCATCCGTCGTTGTATGATAATGCAGCTAGGAACGGGGAGGGGGCGGAGGCAAACGGCGGATGAGTTCACGGCCCACCGACCTGATAATACCCTGAGAGTTTTTTTTTGCGGGATCCATATCACGACCTTGCCACGAAACCTTTTTGCCTTCAATAGGCAAGTAATGAGAAATTTCATTGCTCCGAGATGTTTTCTTTTTGTTCTAAAAATGTTTGAGCGGGCAAGCTGGAGTAGAAATGTTTACGTGGAATGTCAAGATGTATAGTTTAACCTGGGACTCGCAGCTTTGCAAGAGCTTCGCTAGCAGTGGTGGATGCCAATATTTGATATTATTGCAGGCACGCCATATACAGAGCAAGGATTATTACTTGTTCTTTTGGACGTGAGACTTGACAATGTGCAACCTATTAATAATGAACCATAGAATTCCCCATTATTTTCTGCAATCCGTTTTCTTGATGTGTCTTTTCATTCTCCCCGATTTTTTCTTCATTTCTATCCATTTTGCCCATTTTTTCCTATATCGGCTTCAAGTAGCCAACTACAATACAGTTTACAAGAATTAGTGTAAAGGTAGCAAAAGTGAACACTGGTACACGTTGTAGGAAGAGCACGCAGTTCATCGTCGAGCACAATACGGGGAAAGCTCGTCATTTTTTTTTTTTTTTTGCCAACAGCTTATGATGAGAATCGCTTCCAAATATGTAACAGGAGCGTTGGGCTAGTAATGTACAGTATGACATTAAAACGAGCAAGACCAGTATATAGAATCAGTAAATGTCCTCGAATCCGTTTCTTTTTATGGTGTGGCGTAAAATGTGTTAGTGGAGCTAAAAGTTGTCTCTTGCATGTGCCAAGTCCGATCGGTGGTGGTGGAGAGTCCAATGACCCCCTACCCCCCCTCTCTCTTGTGTAGATCAGATGGAACTGTGATCATGCGGTCTTCTCTCCGCGCCAAATTACCCCATGGGGTATTGTCTCAGTGCAAACCTGCAGGCACTTGCGTTGCGTAACCCCAAACTGTGTAGCACTACTTTTGATTCATCATGCTTGTGTAGAAATGGGCAATGGCCAAAATGCCTGTGTAGAAATGGGAACAATGGCGTGGCTCAGCCCGGCATTTGCGAGTTGAGGGCATCCAAAAAGTTGAGTCCATAGTTGTCCTGGGTCAGGGTTTGCTGCGACAAATCGCCGTTGCCAAACATCCATACGTTCCAGTCGGGCCACATTTCACCCTGTGGCCAAACTTGTTGCGCAGAGGCCGACTGGTCCCCGTTCTCTGGCTTGCCCATGTCAAGATTATAATGCTCCTTGAACTTTCCGAGCATGCTGCCGAGGCCGTTGCCAAGATAGTGGGCAACGTGTCGAACACAGGGCCTGGTGGCGTTGAGAACAGCTATGGCTCCTTCAATGAGTGGCACGACTTCCTCGTAGCTAATGTTGAGGTTGGCAGACTTCCACTGTGCTTGGCACTTCATAAGAAATAGACATGCGTAGGCCATGGTCGTGAGCAGATATAACGGCACTCCAATGATTGATGCCCTCATATCAGGGTCGTTGAGAATCAGGTCCAGGGCAGCAGTAGCACTGCTAATGGCCTTGTTGACGAATTGCCGTCGCTCCGGCGACATTGCATAAACGCCAGACGGTCGCAAGCCGCGCAAGCAGATGGAGAAGAGCAGTAGCCGGGCGAAATGATAATGCAGGAATACACCTTTGGAGGGGTATTGTGATACATATTTGTTTGGCTCTGTCACGATTAGTATCTTTGGACTTGTGTTTACTTTAGAGTGCCAACTCACGTAGCTTATCCTTCCAGCGATCGCGCCAAAATCCCATGTCAGCATCAAAGCGCCGCAGAGCCTCAAACTCATCATTGCCAATCATGCGAGATCTATCCGGGCCAAAAGCATGAAAGACTCGGCTGAGAATAATAAAGATACCAACTTGGCTGTGGAGTCTAAAGTCGGACTGTGTCGCATCTGGCCGTTGTAAAAAGTGCTCGTGGCAAGTGATTGTCGGGGTTTCGCTAATGACAGGCGGCCTTCCGTAGGCGATGCTGAAATGATGGTCGCATACATAGAGAAAGTACCACAGTCGAGCCTCGTCTCCATAGCGACTACCGTCTCTCAACGACTTTGCGCAAAACTGGTGGAGATTGAGCTCTGTGGCGATGCGGACGGCAAGACCAGACAGCTTCCAGCTCAAATCTGAGAGCCAAAAGGCTCCGATGCACAGGCCGCGAACGTCATCCAGGGTATGGTAACGATCAAAAACGGCCTGGCTGACGAGGCCTAGAAAAACAGGATAGCATACATCAAAGGCTCGGCCCTCGTCTTGTGTGTGCAGAGAGGTGACGGCGAGAATGGCCGAGGTGAGGATAGAGGACGAGGCGCGCGCTGCGTCTAGCGTTTCGTGAACCAGGGCAATGCCGCCCCAGAGATAGGCGTTGAGGGTTCCGCGAAAGGTGTCGAAAAGGTATTCAGCGTCGCATAAGCTGACCCGACCTTGGGCGATGAAATCAGTCTCTGGCGATTTGAGCGATGGGTGCTGTTGACCGTGATGGGCCCAGGGATCGCTTCGGATGTTTCGCAGCTTGGTCGCTTCAAATAGACTGGCCATGGGGGCACTGACAATAGCCTGGGGGTCATTGTCTGGAGCTCCGGGCTCGATTGAGTTTTCTCTGGTCATGGCGGTTGCCGTTCGCTGCAGCGACGGCGACAAGCTGGATTGCGCGCCTTGCGACACCACTGGTGAGGGGCCACGCAGCGGCTGAGGTTGGGATTGTGGTTGTGGTTGCGGTTGCGGTTGCGGTTGGTGATGGACGTGCGACACTGAAGTATGACGGCTGCCCGCTGTGCCTGGCGTTGTGTTGGTCATGTTACCGTTGTGTGCGCCGAGGAGGCGTTGTACGTCGGCCAATGCGGTTTGCAGAGCCTCAACCTTGGCTTCCATCTGATTCTTCCACTCATTCTCGCCATCGAGCAGCGTCTGGAGGCTCTTGTTGACAATGCACTTGAGATCCAGGCGCGTGCAGCGACCGCAGCGCTCCTGGCCATTCTCGAGATCGCACTTGACCTTGCGATGCTGGCACGCCTGGCCTAGGCGCACCTCACGTTAGTTACTTTTTTTTTTTTTTTTTGCCTTCTTTGCTGAATTGCTTCTCTCCAAAGACCAAAGGAGGGGGAGAGGAGGGCGAGACAAGAGCGCGCGGCCCATTTATTTTTCCCTCTGGCCAACAAACTTACAGGCACGTATCTTTCGCGAAATCTTGGGCTGGTGGGCAGTCGTCTCTGCATCACCAGCCGGCGGCGGGCTTGTGTCCGGGGACCTCGCCCGCTTCATTGCGTTTCCAAAGCAGTGGAGTCGCAGAGGTAAAGGGATATATCCAGAGGTCCCAGAGGCTCCAGACTGGGGATCGAGAAGCTTGTGGGCTTGTGGAATAAAGGCCGCCCCCGTGGTCCCAAGGCCAGGCGGGGATGGGGATGGGAATGGGAATGGGGATGCGCGAGACGTTGCATAATTAAAGTGACAAGATGGCGGTGCGTTTGGTGGGGAAAAAAATCACGAACCCTGTCTACCTAGGCAACTACCTTAGGTAGGCTGACAAGAAGCCTGTCGGAGCTTGTCAGAGCCTGTCAGAGTCTGTCAGAGACAAGCAGAACCTATCAGAGCCCACCAGAGCCCATCAGAGCCCATCAGAGACAGACTAGTCATTACTTTGTAGTTACATGGCTACCTATCGGGATGATCTCCGCGGTTGCTTCTGTGCATAACAAGCTAAAATAACCAACTACTACAGTGGCTGTATGTCGTGTGGCAACCAACTACCAGCTTGGCTGCCATTTTCTCTCGAGGGTACGAGGTGCGGCTGATAGAAAAAAAGAAACACCGATTACTATAAAGCTAGTTAGTGTCAATACTGATAATTGAGTGTGTGAGGGAACCCTATTTACCCGTCAACTTGTTCTTGTTTGTTCTTCTCTACTCGGTACTGTTTGTTGCCAGCATGGCTAGTGCTAATACCATTGCCGTCATTGCCAGCGCCAGTGCCAGCACTGACAGTGACTGGTAGTACATTGATGCTCCGCAAAACTCGTGTACCACTGTCCAGCGGTATTCTTTATTCAGCAAATTCCATCACCTCGCCTACTAGCAATTTAACAAATCTGCAAATATTGTCATGTCAGTGCGCACCCCTCCCTGTCTCTTTCTAGCTGAAGAACTAACTGGCTTACAAGGCTTCTAGGCCTGCCTCGTGATGCTTTGATTCGTGTCGCCGTACCCGTTACAGACGACTTCTATTCATCCTTGGAGACAGTCTGTTGCCGGACCAAACCACGCAGTCAATGTCTGGTCACCACTACTGCAGAGTCCAGGCATACCTGTCCATCGCGTGTCGGATAATTTCAGCTCGGCTGCCAAAACTGCGCCTTGTTCACGACCACTTGCTACGAGTTCATGTTGTGGCGGCGACAGAGGCCATGGGTCTGGCAGCCAAGGCTGGACTCAATACCAGCCAAGTTTACGACATGATTGTCTCGGCCGCTGGCAATTTCTACAGGATTCGAAACGAGGGCCAAGAAGATGCTCTCCGCGGACCGGGCGCCTGTATCTACCCTTGAGTCAAACCACCGATAAACTGGCAAAGTCCTCGTCACCTCTCATATTTACCTTGCTTGAGTTCTCACATTATTACCTAAAAAAAGTCCAGAGTGGTGGGCAGAGCACGAGACCTGCGTTTTTCCACTGCCACTCGCTTCTGCAGCAGAACAGCTGTACATCATGGCGTCTTCTTGTGGGCACGGCGCAGAAGATGACTCTGGATTGATTCGCGCCTACATGTCTACCTGCACCGACAGTGTCGAGGAAGCGAGCACAAGACCAACAAGCACAAGTGAACTTACACAAACGAGTAGCCCTGGTGAGGTTGCCTCCATCGGCATGGTCGGCTTAAGCGCCATGGGCCAGGGCATGGCCGCCTCGCTCCTACCAGCTGGATTTGCCGTGGATGACTTTGACATGAATGCTGCCGCAATTAGCAAATTTGCATCATTTGGCCCCAAGGCACGAGTCATCGTCTCCGCAGCAGATTTTCTGAAAAATTCTGCCGTCGTTATTCTCATGGCCCAAAATGCAGCACAAGCTGACAATATATTGTTTGGTTCCGGCAATGGAGCCGACGCCTTGTCTGACCATACGGTTGTGATTTTAAGCTCGACAATTCCACCATCTTTTGTGCGAATATTAGAAAGTAAATTACAAAGTCTGGGTCGAGGAACATCTCTATTGGATGCTCCCGTAAGCGGAGGTGTCGCACGTGCAGCAAATGGCACACTTGCGGCAAGTTTCTGGTGTGCGCCACTTTGTCTCAGCCAGCAGCTAACTCTCATGGGGTTTGAGTAACTAGATAATGTGCTCAGGAAAAGGTTCATCTCTTGCCAAGAGCAGAGCCGTGCTACTGGCTATGTATGGCTGGGCCAGCCACAAAATCTGCACACCCGTTCAGGGAGGTTATAGGCGCGGCTTCGTCGGTAAAAGCTTGTAAATCAACTCCTCGCAGGTGTACACATTGCGACGGCGGCTGAAGCGACCCTTGGCATTGCACACTAGGGGTTGCGTTTTGAGATCCTAATCCAGACAGATGCATGGAGAGCTGGATCATGGAAAACCGGACTGGTCAGATGCTCGATGCTGACTGGACTCCGCATTCTGCTCTTTCTAATTTTCTGTCCAAGATCTAGGCATCGTTCTTGACGAAACAAAGCGTTTCGCTTTCTACTCATCAATGGCTTCCGCTGCACATAAACTGCATCTCAACGGCGCGGCTCAGGCTTGGGACAAGGAAGCCGATGCTGGTCTCGTGCGTCTTTGGGAGCTGACAGGCATCTCCGTCTCCTCCGGCAGCGCCAACACGCGGCCTGATATAATACAGTCAGCCGAAAAGAGCCTTGTGCGGTTGCCGGCAGCTGAAACGCTCGAAACACTACCGAAAAAGTATCCTGATGACGTCTTTAGCTCTATTCAACGTGCGGTTGTGGGTGGGCAGGTGCCGACGCTGGTAATTCTTGATGACGACCCTACCGGGACGCAGACCTGCCATGACATCAATGTTCTCGCTGTTTGGGATACAGACTCCTTGGCGCGTGAATTCAGCTGCAATCCTGCAGGGTTCTTCATTCTGACAAATTCCCGTGCGCTGCCATCTGCAGATGCTCGGCATCTCATTGCCGAGATTTGCGCAAATGTCAAGGCTGCAGCGGCAAAGGCAAACAAACTCTTTGAGATTGTCCTACGCGGTGATTCTACGCTGCGCGGGCATTTGCCAGAAGAGCCAGAAGCTGTCGAGGAATCCTTGGGCCAGTTTGATGGCTGGGTGCTTGCTCCCTTCTTCGCCCAAGGTGGTCGCTTAACCATTGACGATGCGCATTACTTGAAAGAAGAGGACGTACTTGTTCCTGTAAGCCAAACTCCGTTCGCTCAGGATGCTTCTTTTGGCTATAAAAACTCGAATCTGCGTCAATATATCGTCGAGAAGTGCGGCTCGAGGTTTGATCAAGAGTCATTTCTGTCCATCAGCCTCGACAACATCCGGCGCGGGGGTCCCAAGGCAGTGGCAAAAAGGCTGCTCTCTGCGCCTAGCAGCCCAAACCTCGTCGTCATTGTCAATGCCGTCGTGGATGCAGACATGCACGTCTTTGTTGCGGGTCTGCTACAAGCCCAACAACATGGCCGGCGCTACCTCTTCAAAACAGGTGCCGCTTTTGTCTCTTCCAGGCTCGCCATCTCACCGATTCCGCCGTTGACCTTGGAAGATCTTGGCATCGACAAATCCGCCGCATCGCAGTCTGGCGGGCTCGTCTTGGCGGGCTCGCCCGTCCCCAAAACGACGGCCCAGCTTGAGAGATTGCGGGAGCGCAGGGGCAATCAGCTGCACGTTGTCGAACTACCCGTGACGCAGCTCGTCAGCTCCGCAGGAAAAGAGGCAGCAGAGGTTCTCGTCAGCGCAGCTGCACGCGAGGCATCCGAGACACTGGCTGCGGGCCAGGATGTGCTGGTCCTGACCTCGCGTGAGCTGGTCAAGGGCACCGACGCGCTCAGCTCGCTCGGCATTGCTTCCAAAGTCGCGCAGGCCTTGGTGGCCCTCACGAGGGGCATCACTACGCGACCGCGCTACATCATTGCCAAGGGTGGCATCACGTCGTCTGATGCCGCCACAAAAGCCCTGGGGATGCGTCGGGCCAGGGTGCTCGGTCAGGCAGCGCCAGGGGTGCCTCTTTGGATGTGCCATGAAGAGACGAGCCGCCACCGAGCCGTGCCGTATGTTGTCTTTCCCGGAAATGTGGGCAGTGACGACACGCTCGCTGACATTGTGGAATCATGGGCGGTCTACTAGTTAGACAAGTATTCCAAGTTTAGCAGAGATTTCGACTGTAGCTGCCATGAGCCTACATTCTTAGTTTAGATCATCTGATAAGCTCCCTGCGCCATGAATAGTGATCAAGTCATCAATCATCAATCAACATGTGCGTTCATTTCGTTCATTTTGCGCTGTTGGCTTTGACACACCTACCGATCCTGTCTACCTGCAGCAGCAAATGATTCTATAATAAGGACCAGCAATAAATACAATAAATACTACCAAGGTTATGAAATGACCCCTGTAGGCCTGAAAGTATCAATCTTATATATCAATTTAGTACTCAGCCACAGATCCACAGCTTACAGCCTCCATGATACATCCCGCTTGTCATTACAGATCATCACTCGCACTCTGTACATATTACTCGAGCCATTACTCCGTAGATACCGTCTGTGTCTTGACTTTTCTTTCGTCGTTTATGAATACAAGTCAGATGATGGATAGGTCTCTGTGCTTGAAGCGTAGGTTTGTCTATGTTTGCGTGACACGCCAGCTCTCTCGAAAGCGCGTCCCCTTTTACTCGTGAAACAGGTCCTCAGTGTGAAGCAGTTGTCAGGCTTGAATTCGCAGATAGACCATCCAAAGTTCCCCTCGTCAGGATCCTCGAAAGACTTGGCCGGCTTCCACGCGTAGATGTTGGGAACAAGACCACCGAGTCCGACCAGAGTCAAAGCTTGCCGCGCCAACGCGGAGCATGCCGCTTCATCTTCTGCTCGATTTGTATGATTCAAGTCATGCACCTTCAAGTTGCCCATACGGATGATGAAAGTGGAGAGACCCCCATAAGGCGCTTGAGCAGTTCCTGGCTGCGTACCAGGAAAGTGTGCTGCAGATGCTGGGCTCTGTAGTTCAATTTTGTATATGAAGTTGTTGTAGGGCCATTCATAATTCGAGAAATAAGCTACCGGTGCTACATTCTCGGACTGTACGGCGCAAATCAGCCTTTGCCAATGAAGTATATCCGTTGACAGTGTCTCTCGCCTTCAGTTCATATTCGCCTAAGATGGTTTGGATGACAGTCAATCGCTGGTGATATCCAATCTGGTTGACATTCATATCGCATTGACCGATTATCTCGTGTCGTGTAGTGGTGGATGCAGAGAAGGTCGGCGATCCAGATATTTATGAATCGCGAGGCCACCACTAACTCGTGCCATTATACAGCAGTGAAGTTGTTCACAATCACTGTAAGGCTCAGGGAGTTGAACCAATTACTGGCTCGGTCCCTGCTAATATTAAGTCATATTTAGTGGCTTTCAGCAGGGGATGCTGGTCCACTCTGTCGTAAAGTTCGCAGCTTTGTTAATGACCATGTTATACAGTTCACGGTGGTACAATGAGAGTCCGGCTGGTCGCTCTTGATAAGCCTGGTTTGCTCGATTTTTCTCCTGCTTCGTCCTATTGTGCCTCCTTTTCAGCAGCATCATGAATCTCCTCGACTTTGGCTTTAGGCTACGACACTGCAGACATGGGGGTGCAGCGAGATGATTCGGGATATCAGGACCAATAAGGAGTGCCAGACGAGCAAAAAAATTGCAAATGCTGCCATTTTTTAATGTTGGCAAATCTTTGTTGATCAGGTTAGTGTACCTCGCTGTAACCAGAATCCTGATTAGCTAAGCCAACGCCCGCGGGAAGCGGCCAAATGGCTCCACTAAGCTTGAAGGGTAGCGCCACAAACGCGACAACGTAAGCCAAATCGCGAGTCGAGGAACTCGGTCGCAAACCAGCTACCAGTCATTCTACGCATGCCGATGGAATTCAATCGACTGGATCCTGAAGTGCCTTCGATTCTGTGGTGACGCTACTGTGAGTGCTAGCCGCGCATAGGGGCCATGACGGACGGAGACAAGGCGCCCGTCGCCAAGGTTGAGGTGGTTTCACCAAAAGACACCTCCGGCATCAGCGATGGTCCCGTCGCATCGCTACGAAGCTCTCTAGAGGCGCGCGCAGATCCAGATGCACAAAACACAGTCACGGATTTTATCGACTTTACTGAGTACTTACCAGCCGATGTCATCCGATCTCTTACCCTCATCGGCAAGCTCGACGAGACGTACTACCAAGCATCCCTTAAAGTCGATGACTTGACAACGACATGGGCTCGGTTGCCCTCGATACCGGCGCGTGAGCGCCCTGTACCACTCAATATTCGGGCCGATATATCAAAACACCTCAGGCATGCTGTTGATTCGCGTACCTTTGCGCACACGGAGGCGGTTCGCATGTCGGAAAATGTCAACCGCCATTACTTCAAGGCCAAAACTCTCCTCGAGAAGCTACAGGCTATGATGGATTGCTACCCCACCGAAGACCAAAAGAGCCCAACCGAGGCCAAGTCGCCGCAAATTACCCGCGCAAAGCTCACAGCTCGCCCTACCGGGGAAGATGGCAAGAAGATCAGTCGGCGCAGGGTGCCCAGAATTACGGTTCCTGGTGAGGTCCTCGCGCCCTACGACATTGAATATGACACTTTCTCGGACGATAGCGACATCAGTACCGACGAAGAATCCGATGCCGCTACCAACCGCAGAACACCTGGCCCGCCAAAGATCAAGCTCATCACCAGTAGAGGGGTGCCAAAGACGCTAAGCCGGCCAATTCGATCGCTCTCTTATCCTTCTGCTGCAATGACTGCGGCAGCCGCCGCAAATTCCGCTGCCTTGCTGAATCCTCCACCACAGAATGCAGTTATTGGCAGCAAGGATGCGCCGTGGCTACAGCTTACCCAATACGAATTGGCTGTGCTTAGAAAGCGCATGAAGAAGAACGCTGCGTGGGCTCCCAGCGAGACTATGATTGCCAGAGAACTCAAATCCCTGGGGCGCGGGCCGGAAGCCTACCGGGAGGCGAAGAAGAAGGCCGAGGACGAAGGCCGTATATTCGACGCGCAAGTTCCCACTCTGGTGACGGATGATGAGTCTGGTTCCCAGCAGCTACCTGCAGGCGCGATCAGCGCTGATTTGCTCGATTCTACAGACATACCCACTAGCAACAAGGGCATGAAATTGAACGAGGCTAAGAAGCTCAAGCGGGAGGCTTTGGCCAAGCAGGCTGCCGAAGAAGCTGAAGAATCGGAGCGAAAGATGCGGGAGGCTGCTCAGATGTTTCTGCATACTGATAAGCCCAGTGGTGACAAGAGCCAGCAAGCGAGTAAATCACGCTCAGCCTCACGAAATCAGCCAAAACGTAAGCGTGACGGCGATGCTGAAGATGACAAAGAAACACCCGCGCCGGCAGAAACGCCGCGAAACACAAAGCGCACAAAGATTGAAACACCCGTGCCGCCGCCTAGGCATCCGAGCTTCAATAATGAAACATCGGCGACCTCGAGCGTTGCTACACCTGCCAGCAGTGTCCCTCCTCCGGCCACGCAGACACCTGTCCCTATTCCGATATATACCAGATCGGCATCAGCGGCATCAGCGGCAGATCATAGCAATCCTACGGTGACCACTTCAGTGCCAGTGAAACCGCCAGCGCAAACACCCGTGCCTCTTCCGAAAACAGAACAGAGACATACCATAACACCAGTCTATCCGCCGGTGCGGGATATCCCTTCGCGAGAAGCTAAAAAGACACAACTCGCAACACCGCAGCCGCCGGCGCAGCTTGAACTTGGCTCTCGGCGATCTGTGTCGCGCGGCCTCACACCGAGCGCAGAATCAAGCCGGCGTCCTGGGTCGCGGGGCAAGGCTACGAGTCAAGAGCCGCCTACCCTGGCATCAGACCGCCCGCGCCGAGCAAGCACTACAAGAAACACGCCAGCACCGGAGGCCAAGCCGCCGGTGCGCCGCACCAAGCGTCCTGCTCCTGGCATAGTAAGCACCACTAGCAGCGGCGGTAACAGCGCCGTTGGCAAGCGGAAAGCCGCGCCTAAGAAGAAGGCTCGCGCCCTCAAGAAGGACAGGGGCCACGGGCTGCTGGAGACGGAGATTGAGATGGAGGAGGTTGACGACGAGGGGAACCCCATTGACCCTAACGAGCCGCGCTACTGCGGCTGCAACGGAGTCAGTTTTGGGACTATGATCCAATGCGAGAATTCCGAGGTATGTGTTCTCGTAATCACTTGGTCTGCTTTTGTCCATGTCACTAACAAATGTGCAAGAATTGCAAGTACGAGTGGTTCCACCTTGAGTGTGTTGGACTTGAAGAGGTTCCTGCACGAACCACGAAATGGTATTGCCCCGGATGTCGCCGGCTTCTAAACATTGGTGAAAAGGGTGAAGTGAGCGCGCGTGGCGTTAAGAAGTAACTAACGCCACTGCACATCTCCTGCCCTTTCACGTCAGGCACGCCCCAAAGACAGGGAAATACCGCGGGCCAAGTTACACATGTATTGCTCTGTACACGATTCAAATACCTTGGCAGCTACGCGGCACCAATAATAGAGAGTCCTTCATCAAGGGGCCTCAAGAGGTGGCACTCGGCTGCAAACACTTTTCTTACTTGTCTTTTGCGAATATGGAGCGGGCCAGGCGGCGCGATACGGTTGCTTGTTTGCGATTGCCACTTGATGTGTGCTTGGCGTTTTGCTTTTTTGGCAGTTCATAGCAATATGTAGGGTTTCCGTTTCATGAGAAGCCGGGGGAACCAAATCTTGGTCGAATGATAGTTGCATATGTCAAGTGATGTTTGTTCCAGCTTCCCTCACTCCCGTCGGATGTATGCGCCAGTCGGATGTGGGGTGGCAGACTCGGGTATGGGGGGACCCGCCATTGCCGTCATCCGTCACATCAGAGTTGCGAAATCCGATGTTGCCTCTCTTGAATACTACGATAAGATCATTCTGGATTCTTTACAAATCAAACAAATTCCAACTTCCTGTTGATTCATAGTCATCACTATAACAATGGCTTCCTCGGTGCAAGGAGGATACTTTCCCATTTATCCAGTCCAAGACCTCCTTCCGGACCCGGAGATCCGGACCTTCATCACCAACTTTTATCACATATCGGACAAGCCGGACTCCAACGAGCTCTGGGTCAGCCATTTTACCGAAGATGCCCATGTCACCATGGGTAATGATACGGGCCATGGTCAAGAAGGTGCGCAGCTTGGACTCTACTCCCCCGGGCAATGACCGTGACAGCAACTAACTACCCGTTAAACATAGCGATTCGGGAGCTCCGCAGCCGAATGTGGAATGTCGTGGCTGAGCGCAAACACACGGTGAAAAAGGTCTTTCCGGCCAAGTTTCTGGACGAGGACGGCGAGTGTGAATGCATGCTGTTTGGCGATGTGCATCTCAAGACCAAAGAGGGCCAGGAACTTGTCGTGCCGTGGGCCGGACACGCCACTCTGACCAAGGTTGTCGATGGCTTGAAGGAGGAGTGGAAATTCGCGCAGTATCGAGTTTGGCTTCAGAGGTGATTTCTACGACCTTGAGATGCATCCAGAAATGTACAAACAAGACTGCTGATGTTGGGTGTTTCAAAAGTCTGGTGGGCCCTGTAACAAGCAGCAAATATAATATAGAGACAAGTCATTATTATTGTCCTGAAAGACCCCCTTTACGATAATGATTTTTCCGGCTAATAACTCATGACCTATCAATTCCACTCGATGCTGTTCTTCAATGTATACCTCTTTGGAGGATGTACTAAATAATATCGGATTGAAAGCAGCTGGGTGAGCGCCGAGAGGGCTGCATTGCAGATTCAACATACGACGCGGATGCCTGAGAGGTAGTCAAGCTTCCTGCAGCATCTCGAGGCTTCACGGCGCAAATCTTTGCAAGCAGCATCTTCGCGGTGCCACATCGTCCCCATCTGTTTGCATGCGGCCAAACCGGCCCATGGCGGGGACTCGCGGAAAGGAATTCCTTTGGCGACCCATGCATGACTCATGTCTTTGCATAAGTACAATCATTATTGTAAATGAGGATTATCTTGCATTTCAATGGTCGGTGAGTAGTTGACGAAAAAACGGCGATCGGGGGGGCAGGCTAAAGCTGCAGTACTCGCTCACCACAACAGACCCTGAACGCGATCGCGAAGGCAGATTTAGCATGCAGTGCCTGCCATCAATCACTGGTATGAGTAGCAATGTATGGCGGCATTTTCTCCGAGTTCTGAGGCCTACTGTACAAGCTACTGCAGGATGCCGAATGCCGAATGCCACGGCTTTCGAAAAGCGCAACGTCCGCCGCCGACAGTGCAGTGTAGATGATGGGTAACGAGGCTATAGCTTAGGGTAGATATGGTAGATATGGGGCCAAGCTTGGGGCCAAGCTTATAAGATGATATTATATCTCCTATCAATCTATCTATGCTTGTCCGTAATCTTGTTGCCTTTGATATTCTTCTACTTGTGTAGAACAATATTGGTAGCACTTATACCGGCAAGCTGCCTGATATTTACCAGTGCCCGACGCATGCAGATTCATCAACTGATAAAAACTGCATCCATGTCCCGCATATAGCACTTTGGGTCAAAATTTTCATGTATCTCCTCGGGCAGATATTCATGACCGGAGGCGCACTCGTGCTATGTCGCGAGAAAGAAGTCCCCTCATAAAATTTTCGTTATACTTCTGTTGGACCTACCCATTTGTGTCTGCCGATGCCTGTCCCTTGCAGAACCGTAAGATCCAATCCCATTTTTCTGGACGCCACTTATATAACCCTCCATCTATATTCTATCTTAACACTATCGGCCAAGTAGCGTTAGCTGGGTCCTTGAAGGCAGTGACAAGTGACAGGTCTTGCGCGAACAAGCCGAGCCACGCATCGTTTAGCAATCGCTGAGAGGCGCTTCCCGATTGAGAGAGCCAATTGCCGTGACGGCAATACTGGGTTCTCCGGATCGGTGTTGCGTGTGCGTAGTCCTGTAGCAATCGCATGTATTAAAGAAGTCGGCCAGCCTTTAACGTTGCTCCTCGACCTTCTCAACCATCTCAAGCCACATATTGCAACACTCTCATGTCATTCTTCTTCTCCTTCTTCGTCGCTGCGCTGGCTGCCAGTGCCAGCGCGCGCAGCGTTGTGCTCGAGCACGTGCCTGTTCTTCCCGCAGACTGGAAGCAGTTGGAGAATGTTGTCGATTCTGCCGGGGAGGTCAGCTTCTCGATTGCTCTCAAGCAGCCAAACATTGACATTCCGGCCTTGATGTCCCAAGGCGGCAAGCACATTAGCCTGGATGAGGTGCGCGCTATACGCGCTCCGGACCAGTCTTGCGTCGACAGAGTCATGAAGTGGCTCAAGGATAAGAACATTTCCAATGTCAGACAGGAACGTGACATGATTCACGTTCATACCACTGTCGCCGACGCTGAGAAGCTTTTGAGCGGCAACTTCAGCCACTACGCCTATGACGGCAAGGTTTCCAAGCTTAGGACCCAAGAGTACTCTATCCCTGAGGAGCTCGTTGATTCCATCAGCTTCATCAACCCGGTTTCCAACTTTATGAGACCTGCAGGTGATGACGTCCACCTTTCTCGTCCTCTTGCGAATTTCCATGCTGCCAAGCAGAACCAGACCGCCGCCAAAATTCCCTGCCACGACGGTGTCGGCATCAGCTGTCTCAAGAAGCTTTACAACATTACGTATGAGTCTCCCGATAGCAACTCTCCCGCGCGCTTGGGCATCTCGGGCTATCTTGAACTGCATGCCAATCATGACGATGTCAGGTCTTTCCTTTCGAAGCAGACTAACATCACCAACTACGACTTCAAGGTCGAAAAGGTCAATGGTGGCGAGGACCCCGGCACTCCGGTCGGAAGCGAGGCTGTGCTGGATCTCGAGTATGGAATGGGCATTGGCTATCCTGCTGCAGTCACATATTATGCTACTGGCGGCCGCGGAGATATGATTGAGCCAGACGGGCAGCTAGTCAAGGGAAACAAGTCTACCAATGAGCCGTATCTGGACTTTATCAACCATCTCCTCGAGAAGCCCGATGACCAGCTCCCGCATGTCCTGTCAGTTTCATATGGTGAGGATGAGCTAAGCGTCCCGAAGCAGTATGCGAAGCGTGTTTGCGATGCGTACGGTCTCTTGACTAAGCGTGGCACCACCATCGTCCATGCCTCTGGTGATGGTGGATCTACTGGTGGCCACGATGGCAATTGTCGTAGCCGAGACGGCAGGAACACCAATACCACCATGCCAACGTTTCCTGCTAGCTGTCCCTGGGTCACGACTGTTGGCGCTACGCACCAGGGAAGCAACCCTCAGAAGGGTGCCAACTTTGCCTCTGGCGGATTCTCTTACTACTTTGACCGCCCTTCGTGGCAGGCGAGCGCCGCCGACGGATACATCAAGGGTCTCGACGGCCATCTCGACGGCTACTATAACAAGAACGGCCGCGCTATCCCCGATGTCTCAATTGTAGGTGATAATTTCTGGGTCATGCACAACGGTACGTCCAAGTACATTTGGGGAACGAGCGCCAGCGCCCCCGTCTTTGCGGCTATGATTACGCTGGTCAACGATGCTCGTCTCCGGGCTGGCAAGCAGTCTGTGGGCTACATCAACGAGTTGCTCTACTCAAAGGAAGGCGTGGCGGCCTTTTCTGATATTACCAGGGGCACCAGCTACCACTGCGACTTTGCCGCCCGCGGCTGGCCGGCAACGAAGGGCTGGGACGCTATCACTGGTCTGGGAGAGCCAAGGGATTTTAGCAAACTGATGAAGCTGCTATACGCAGCCTAAAACTCGAGGAGGTAATATAATGTTGGAAGAGTAAGTGTGTATCAGAAATGGGGTGGCCAGGTGTGGAGAGCAGGTCGCGGTACCGGGAAGAAGGGTAACACAGTGGTTTAAAAATAGCATACCAAGTACAGACTTTGTGCAGAACAATGAAGATGATTGAATATGCGTAGTAAGAATCGGAGAGTAATTTCATCGTCATGACTTGAGCAGCGAGGTGATGCCGCTTTCAATAGCAACCCGATAACTATTCTCGAACACAAGATGAGCTATAGGTCACAGTGTGTCGTCATGACTGCATGGATTGACTCATGGGATCCGAAAATGTCAGTGTCGATGAGTGCATTGTGTGGCTTTGAGGCTGGAATCTCCACGTGATTGTCCATGTTGGGCCCCGCAGAAACCGATACGCTGAAAGTAGATTAGCTGGCAAATTTGTACCAATGAGCAACTGCTTGGCCTGCGCCTGTTACTCACTTGGCCGAATCGGCGGGGTGGCGCTGGCTTGCTGGTCTCTGCTGTCTGCGGCGCGAGCTGCACGTCATAATAGGTAGCTTGAGTAGCACCAAGTACAAGATACATTCTTCACGCAGCCATTGGAGCCCAGCGCTGCAGCCCATGTGCCAGAGACTAGCACACTCTGAATGCGGGCTGTCATGTAGACGAATCGGCAATTAGCTAAAAAGGGCGTGCAGTAGGCTGCAGCAACCTGCAAAGAGCGCACCTCCCGGTCGCGGGGCAGAAGCCGCACAGCCTTGATAGGTACTCGGTACCTACATTCTCTTTGGAGACGCATTGGACGCCCCGCGGAAAAACCCCCCCCCTTTCTTCAGCGCTCTTCAGTGGTCCACGAGACGTCTGCAGCGTGCTTGGACTTGCTTCAGCAGGCTCCGGCGCCTGAGCCACAGTAGGCCCAGACACCTGACGACTCCCTATCCCCCGTCAGCGCCCATACAGGTGACATCAGTCACGTCCCAGTCCCTTTTCCTCGACGTGCTGGCGTCCCATCTTCCCTACTCCCTTTCCAATCAACTCTGACCAGTTCCAAACGCTTCCAACAAACGAAAAGAATACAACACTCGCGCTCTTTAATATTACGACCCTTGGATCATTCACTAGATTTCTTTACTTGTCCATATCTTCATCGTTTCTCTTCACTGTTTATAGACGACTTGTCGCTACGGCTGCGCCGTTTGCCCCGCCACCTTTGCTACTCGAAGCCCACGCCGTTCCCCAAGACTCCCCTCCGAGGGTTCTGATAGCTTACGCAAAATCAAGCCCGCGTGCAAGAAACCGACTTCCGAAACCTGTATATACTCGCGCAAACTCGTCGAGCGGCTTTCCAATCTCCCAGATATCACACCGCATCCCGATATACCACCCGGCTCGAAGCTCATCAGATCGCGTCGCAACTTCGGTAGCTACCCACCACACCCCGCCATAGCTAATACTGGCTGTATGCCCGTTACGCCAACTACCGTATCGTGACACCAGAAAGGCCGTCTCGGCCTCCAGGGCCATACAGCTCCAGCTCTCTGCGCATAGTGACCATGGCGAAAAAGGACAAGAAACGTGCCAGAGCCGCTGCCGGAGGCATCACTGCCGCGGTGACTGAGCACGGTGCCGCCCAGTTCTCGTGAGCTTCCCTGACCTGCCCCCCTCTCTTTAGTCCCCCGGCACCCCGCCCCGTGACCTCGAGTCTACCGTCTGCCTGCTACCCCGGCATCTGCAACAAAGAATATTCCCTCATTATTAAAGTCTTTTTCTTCATCATGCTGACTCGATTCTCGTAATGGATAGACTCGGTCATGCTACCAGCACCGCCTCGAGCCAGAGCCAACCCACCTCGGACGCGTCGTCACCGCTCGATACCCCGGATCTCCATCCCGCCGCGGTCTCAAATGGCCACGCCGAGGTGTCGCCCATGCTGGATGCCATATCCGCCAGTACCGCGCCAAGCATGGTGAACGAGTGGGCTCGTGGTGCCATGGCCGGCTCTCCGGGCAATCTCATTAGTCTGATGGGCGAGTCGCCTCCGACCCAGCCGTCCTCGTATGAGGACTCTGGCCGCCTCCACCAAGGCTGGGGCCAGCGCAACTTCATGACCCCGTCCCCGGCATCCCCTTCCCCTCCTAACCGCCGACCGCTCAGCTACCACATGGATGCTCCGATCCCGGCCGGCGAGACGCCTCCGCGCGGAGCAGGCGCTAGTGCTGGTAGGCCGACCTCGATGCACTCGCCCTTCCCGCACGGTCGCCTGTCCGCGCAACCAGCACTCCCTCACCAGCCCCAGGCGCACTTCTACGGCGCTCCGGATATTGACATTAATTCGGGACCACAGACTGGACTCAAGGCCGGCGACGAGGGCCTCTATTTTGGTTTCGACACCCTGCCCCGATTGGATGATGTTTCTGCTGGCTCAGATGACGTGGTACTGGCTGGATTCAACGGTGGTCTGGACGTCTATGTCATTACCAAGAGAGGCCTGGAGCCTACTGCATGTCTCAGAGGACTGCGTGGTACAGTGCATGCCGCCAAAATTTTGCCCTGGACGTTCGGTCCCAAGGACACCATCGGACCCCTCATTGCCGTGACCGTGCATGGACCTGTGCTTCCGGCCCGTAATACCGGTGATGCAGCAACACAGGATGCATCAGACAATCTCAGGAGAGATGGCGGAGCCAGTCCGAGATCGGTAACAACCTACCAGGATGGCTTCAACCGGACAGGACCTAGCATCGACTTTTACCAGACCACTGTCGAGGTTTATTCCCTCAAAACATCCAAGGCCGTCGATTTACTTCTTGAGGCCCCAAGAATCGCCGTCAACGCCGGAGTGTCTATTGCGAGTACCCTTTTCAAACCTCCCTCGCCTAGTGGCGCTTTCACAATCAAGGCAGACGGAGGAACCATCTTGGTCTGCTCGGGTAACACAGGCGAGTGCTGGGCTTACACGCACCTTCCGGAGCCGCAAAATGGCCATGCCTTTGCCTGCATTGGAAAACTGTGGACATGTCTACAGCACAGTTATCGGAGTGAAGTTGTCGAGGAGCCAGGTAAGGTCATGCCGTCGACAGCCCAAGTCCGCTTCAATCCTCAGACTCCCATCGTCTCAATCAATGGTCGCTGGATTGCCTATTGTCCTGCGGCGCCCTCATCGCAGACATCTCTGCGTGCCCATCTTCCTGTACCAATTCTCGGCCGGGGCCCCGGTGCTGGATCACTGGCGCCCCCTCATGTACCCCAGTCAAGCCTGTCTGTAGATTTGCCAATTTCCGACAGCATGGTGAACAAGATCATGCGAGAAACAACACAGGAGCTTATTCAAGGAGCTAAATGGGTTGGAAAACAGGGGCTCCAGGCGTGGAACGCATATTGGAACAAGGGTAACACTGCACAAACTCAGCAGCAACAAGCTCGATCACCTCCTCAGCAGCTTTGGGCCGCCCCGCAGACTACCAAGCAAGATGCAACACAGTTCCCGCCCACACACGGCACGAACGGAAACGTCGCATCCAAGGATCCAGGGCTAGTCTCCATCATTGATATCTTGGCACTACCTCTCTCCTCCACCGTTCATCCGCTGGCCACCTTTGCGCCTCCCGGCGGCTGCAGCGTTTTGTCCTTCTCCCCTTCGTCCATGAACTTATTCACGGCCAGCACCAAGGGAGATGTCCAAACGGTCTGGGACTTGTTAAGAATTCAACATACGCACTCTACTCCGCTTCAAGCATCCGTCTCACCAAGCTCTAATGTCGGAACGCTAGTGAGGCAGGTGGCGCAGTTTTCTCGCATGACTGTCGCGCGCATCGTTGACGTGTCCTGGACAGGACCTCAGGAAGACCACATTGCAATGGTGACTGAACGCGGTACTGTGCACCTTTTGGATATGCCATTCAGTGCCTCCATGTGGCCCCCGCCTCGCCGGCGTAAGATTGCACCGACGGCTGGCGCCGAATCGTCGGAGCCCACGAGTTCTGCCGTTTCGATTGCGTCTGGAGCTATCGGTGCTGCCTACCAAGCTGCAAAACCCTTTGTCGCTCGTTCCCGTCGCAGCAGTAGTAACAGTGCTGTGGTGACGACGAGCACATTCAGGGACACAGCTGCGCAGGGTGGCCGAGTCATTGCCGCTAGCATTAGCAGCTCCTTCGGCAAGACTGGTTCCGCCATCAACCAGCTTCGACACACCGGCGAGAACAGAGTCTCTCTGCCTTCAATTTTGAGTCTGCCTTCTTCGCAGTGCATCAGATGGCACTCCACGCGCAAGTCACAGCACCTCTATGCTCTCGGCGGCGGTATTGTGCGAAAGTATCCTAGCCGCAGTCGACGCGTCACTTCCAAGGAGAACAAGAGATTGTCTCGCGCAAGTCGCTACAAGGATATGAACGTGCCCATTCTTCCCCGCGATCGGCTTGCGCCTATCGTTCGGCGATTTCTGGATGGTGACATCTCAGAGGACCACATGGACCTGTCTGACCTGGAAATGGATGCGGGTAACACCATGACTCTGAACCGCCACACTGCCAAGGCCAAGCGAAACAAGGGCATGATTTCTGCTATTCCGCAGGCCGAGATAGAGACTAGCGCACCATATCAACCCTTCCATTCAGATCGCCGGGTTGCTGTGCATGAATATGCCAGAGATGGACAGGTGGAGCCCGTGACGACGCTGCTCACGGACACTAGCCTCGACGATGATCAGCAATCATCCAAGAAGAAGAAGAACCGGCAGCCAAAATCATGCGCAATTGGTGACTTGGATACTAGTGTCTGGGCATTTGGTCTCGATATTCCCACCAACATGCTGGACATGGGTATCCTGGCGTCGGCAGACGATGACTCGAATGGCATCGATGATAGTCAGGCGCTCCCGCCCTCTGCCATGGAGAGACTTATGCAGATAGGTGACCAGGAGCAGATTGTGGTGACAACAAGACGCCGCCGTGGTCGCCATGGCGAGCCGGATGAGGACGGGTTCTTCGAGGACGACTGCGAGGTGCTTGACTTTGCTGACCAAAGGGTTTAGTTCAGCATGTGAATTCCCCGGTAGCGGAATGTTATGGAGTTTTGAACTTTGGTGCTTTTTCCGGACTTGTCTTTGGCTTGCCACTCCTTTGCTAATGGTATTGCGCGGACTTTATACAAACACGATGCACTATTTCTCGCAATGCCTTACTCGTTGCGTGGACTTCTCAACTTGATATTTTTCTGTTATCTTTATCCTCTCTGGGTACGTAACACACTCGTTTTGTTGCACGACTTACTACCGGCAACTGAATCGACTGTTCATCACCGAATAGAAACCATATTAGATACCCCCAATAGTACCAATTCAGTTTGGCCGCAAAAAAAAAGGCATTTCTTTTGTCCCAGACTTTTCCCATATTATGAGTTGTAGATTCTTGGGTGGTTTATCTGCACCATGTCCTGGCCTTCGTTTGATCGTGGCAAGCATTTTGCGATTCGGGAGGGGTTTTACGCCTTCTTCTTGTTGGCGACGGCAGCCTTGGCCTTGGCGGCCTTCTTGCGGTTGCTTCGAATCATGACCATGCCGAGAAACGAGCCGACGACGGCGGAGCCGAGAAGGATGAGGATGACGGGGATGCGGATGGCCCAGACGCGGGAAAGGAAGAAGTTTTGGAGCGGGTGGTCTTCATCAACAAAGGGCTGTGCGAAGAAGAAGGTCAGCGTTGGTCTTGAGCTGTAATTATAGTCGGTGATGCGCCCGGGGCGCAATGGAGAAAGGAGAGGTTGGTGCGTACCATTAGAAGCGTCCAAACGGTATAGTACACAAAGACAACGGTGGCGGCCACAAGCATGGCGAGACCGACAAGTCTGTCCAACTGTTATAATAAAAGGCCACCAGGTTAGCTTTGCGTGTCACGTTTTTGCCTGTTCTTCTTCGTCCTAGCGAGGCGCATTTCGAGGGAGGAGGGGGTGTGCGCCAATCTGTCGACAAGGCAGTAACTAGGGGCCCCCGGGGGAGAGGATCCGACGAACCATTTTTATGTATGCAAAGAGAGGCAATTTGAGCGACTACAGTCAATGGTAGTGAAGAGAATCGAAAGAAAGAATACAATGCGCTCCCAAGAGATAGAGTGGACTGTAAAATGAGCGTGTGGTTAGGGAAGGGATGGGAGAAGAAGGGTCGTGTTGGTGTGTCGTCGCAGCTTGGGTAGCTTTGCGCTTCTTCACACGTAGCCGCAAGCAAAAAAAGGTCACCACTCCCGTAGGTAGTAAATCTGGGGCTCAACGCGACTTTCAGGAGGCGCGTGCGGGAAGCTGTGGCCGTGCGGACAGCCACATGTGGCGCAGCTAACTTGCATACATTGGACTTGACAGGTGCCAGACAGCCAAACTTGCCTCGTTTGCAAAAAGGGTTTGGAAATTACTACAAAATGAATCAAAGTATATTGCCCGCGTGATATATAGAACCCTTCGTTACGAGTTCCAAAAATTGTGCTATGGTTGCGAGTGCAGCCTTGCAGCTCTCGCGTGCCGTCACCAGTGCTGGCGATGGCTGTCTAAAGGGGTTTTACTTTTTCAGTGAACTTAAGAAAAGACAATTGATCCTTCGCTTCATGTGGCACAAGATGTTTACACATTAATTTGAGTATGTTTTCGAGCGTTGCGATTACAGGTTGTAATAGTAGAGAGGCTGATGGCTGCCTGCTTTGGGGTCCACTTTAATTTGCTGTGGCGCTTGCGATGGACTTTTTCCTCTTGCCTGCAAATCACCAGCCTCGTAGTTCCACAGGAAAAGCATCACCGCTTTATAGGCTGTATTGCCTTTGCCTCCGGCTCTTTCATCGCTTCCAACCACACGTGGGGTCACGGAGGAGCAGCTCTGTGATTTATCGGTCGACACTACAGCGCTTTGCGCCCCCCCGCGAACGAAACCCCCATCTTCGACGGTCTACCTAGCCCAAGGCACAGAATGGCGTCGGCCGAGGTGGGAATACCGCGCCGCGAGCGCGATCGCGACCAGCGCGACGGCAACCCTCGTCGCCGTGACGGTGGCGATTCGTACCGTCCCGGTGGCCGCCCGCGATCGCGCACGCCGCCTCCCGTCCCGACTGAGGAACAGAAGCAGGCGGCGGCCAAGGCTGAGTACGAGAAGCTCCTGACGTCGCGATCCGGAGGCACGTACATTCCACCCGCGCGTCTGCGTGCCTTGCAGTCGCAGATTACCGACAAGAGCAGTAAGGAGTACCAGCGCATGGCGTGGGAGGCGCTCAAGAAGAGTATCAACGGTCTCATCAACAAGGTCCATACGGCCAACATCAAGCACATCGTTCCCGAGCTGTTTAGTGAGAACCTGATCCGCGGCCGCGGCCTCTTTTGCCGCTCGATCATGAAGGCACAGGCTGCCAGTCTGCCCTTCACGCCCATCTATGCCGCCATGGCAGCCATTGTCAACACCAAGCTACCCCAGGTCGGCGAGCTTCTCGTCAAGCGCTTGGTCATGCAGTTTCGCAAGGGCTTCAAGCGAAACGACAAGTCGGTGTGCTTGTCGTCCACGACGTTTCTGGCACACTTGATCAATCAGCAGGTGCAACACGAAATGCTTGCCGGCCAGATTCTCCTCCTCTTGCTCAACAAGCCCACGGACGACAGCGTTGAAATTGCTGTTGGCTTCTGCCGCGAAGTTGGTCAGTTTCTCGAAGAAATGCGGCCCACGATCGCCAATGCCGTCTTTGACCAGTTCCGCAATATCCTCCACGAGGCCGGCATCGACAAGCGAACACAGTACATGATCGAGGTCCTCTTCCAGGTGCGCAAGGACCGCTACAAGGACAACCCGGCTGTCAAGGAGGAGCTCGATCTCGTCGAGGAAGAAGACCAAATCACACACCAAGTTGAGCTTGATGGCGAAATCAACGTGCAGGACACCCTAAACATTTTCAAGTTTGACGAGCAATATGAGGAGAACGAGGAGGCCTACAAGAGACTCAAGGCAGAGATTCTCGGCGAAGCGAGCGACGACGAAGATGACGAGGACGCCGAAGATGAGAGCTCTGACGAGGAGGATGACCAAGAAACCAAAGCTATGGAAATCAAGGATCAGTCAAACGCCGACCTGGTCAACCTGCGCCGCACCATCTACCTGACCATCATGTCTAGCGCCGACCCCGAAGAAGCCACGCATAAGCTCATGAAGATTAACCTGCCCGCGGGCCAAGAACCAGAGATGCCGTCCATGATTGTGGAGTGCTGCTCGCAAGAAAAGACTTATACAAAGTTCTTTGGCTTAATTGCGGAGCGCTTCGCCAAGATCAACCGCCTCTGGTGCGACCTGTTTGAGCAGTCGTTCCAAAAGTACTACGAGACCATTCACCGCTACGAGAACAACAAGCTGCGCAACATTGCCATGCTATTTGGCCACATGTTTGGCTCCGACGCCCTCGGCTGGCACTGCCTCTCCGTGATTCGCCTCAACGAGGACGAGACGACGTCGAGCAGCCGCATCTTCATCAAGATTCTGTTCCAGAGCCTCGTCGAGGAGATTGGCCTGCCCAAGATCAAGGCGCGCATGGCCGACGAGGTGCTGCGCCCCAGCCTCGAGGGCCTCTTCCCCAGGGACAATGCCCGCAACATTCGCTTCGCCATCAACTACTTTACCAGCATTGGCCTCGGCGCGCTGACCGAGGAGATGCGCGAGTTTCTCCAAAACATGCCCAAGCCGACGCTTCCCGCACCGGCGGCGCGCCGCGGCGGTGGCGACGACTCCGACTCCGACTCGGTGTCGAGCTATTCGTCTCGCACTGGATCGTCGTACAGTCGCTCCCCCAGCCCGCGCCGTATTGACGACGATCGCGGCCGCTCGCTGTCGCGCTCACCCTCACGCCGTAACCGTGGGCGGTCATATTCGAGTAGTCGCTCCCGCTCCGCTTCCTATAGTAGCCGCAGCCGCAGCAGGAGCCGCCAGTCCGTCTCCGACGCCGGTCGCGGCCGCCGCCAATCCTCATACTCGGCCAGCCCTCCTCGCCGCGGCCGCCGCGCCCCCTCCTACAGCCGCTCCCGCTCCCGCAGCCGCTCCTACGACTCCTACAGCGACGTCTCGCCCCCGCCCTCCCGCAGCCGCGCTCGCGACGCCAGCCCGCCCCGGGTCAAGCGCCGCAACAGCTCCTCGATCAGCCGCAGTCCTCCACCCCGCAAGAGGGGCCGCTCGCCCTCGTACTCTCGCTCGCTGTCTCGCTCGCGCTCGCCGCTGCCCGCGCGCCGCATCAAGACGGAGGATCGCAGCCGCAGCCGCAGCCGGTCACCGCTTCGTGCTACGCGCGGCGACTCGCGCAGCAACGGCAGACGACGGTCGTCGAGCCCCGTGGCGTCAAAGAGGAGGCGTGCTAATAGCTCGAGTGTTTCGCGGTCGCCGCCACCGGTCAAGCGTGGCCGTCGTGGTAGTTGAGGATCAAAATCATGGAGAGGAAGAGAAATTATAGGAATTTGGAACCATACGGTCTTGTTTATTTGTACGTTTGATAGCATCATCTGACTTCATAAGGAAGAAATTGAGGTGGGAAAAGGAGGATAATCGTGTTACACACAATCGCAATTTCCATGTATCAATAGCGAGTTGAATTGGAATGATTAAGAATAAATCATCAATAGTGGGTGCCAATTAAGCCACCCCAATCTTTAAACATGGCAGGATACTCCAATGATAGTATCAAGACGAAGCATTTGGTGTTTATGTCGTTACATGATTATTTCTTTATTTCTTATATACTGGTCAGATGTCTTGCGGTCGTCGTCCTCCCCAATGACCGATGAGACGGTTGAAGCTCATCCCAACTGGGAGGGAGTGAGCTTTCTTACCAAGATGGTGTGATACTGTGACGCCAGTGCCGGCCGGGGGGTACGATAGATGGCGTCTGTAAACAAGACCATCGCTACTGTGCTGCCTACAGTCAACGGTAACTATATGGATATATCACAATCGAAACTTGAAACGTAGTCGTTTGTGACGTAAGTCAGCGACTTCTTAGGCCTCTCCCACGCCGGCAAACCGCTGCGCCGTAGGAGTATAGTATTTAGTCTCCGCACAAATATGAGTAGCAAGCCGTCATGCCAGCGGCATCATATCCGGCGGCACGCTATCCTCGCCAAGGAACATGCTCCAGTCCATCTCAGTCAGCTGCTCGTCGCACCAGCCAAAGAGGTCAAGACCGCCATCGCTCGCCGACGGGGTGCGCACAACGGCGTCCGTGTCCGCGGTGAGGGCCTCAAACATGGCCGCGACAATGTCCGGGGAGCGATCCGAGGCGCGCATCCACGCACGCATCTCCGAGAACGCGCCGAGTGCCCTGGCGAGGCTCTCCTGCCAGGCGAGGAATTGGCGGGACGTGAGTGTCGGGCCATCCCCCGTGCTGGTGGCGGCGGCCGCGCGGCCGAGATTGCGCTCCATGGCCATGGCGAGCAGCGGGACGGTGCAGGCCTGGAAGAGGTACCAGCCGGAGCCCCAGACGAGGAAGCGGTTCGGGGTCCAGTAGAGGGCGATGGCGTTGATTGCGTCGGCGGCAACGGCGCAGCAGCGGGCGAGCGTGCGGCGCTGGTCCTGCAGCAGGTCCTCGACGATGCGCCGGCGCCAATTTTGCGCCATAAGTAGCACCGCGCATCGTGCGAGGATGACGCGCGCGTTGAAGTAGCGCGTGCGGATAAACTCGCGCGCCACCTGCACCCGCGGGTGCGTCGACGCCGTGTCCACTTGCTGGAGGACCGGCGGCAGGTTGGCGTGCCACGCCTGCAAGTCCTGGTCAAGCGCGAGGATCTCGTCCTGGGTGATGCGCGCGAGACGCGCGAGGCGCTCCTGAATGCGGTCGCAGACGAGGCACAGCTGGACGCTCGCGCGTAGGCACAGCGCCGCGTCGTCGTCGTCGTGCAGGGCGGCCGGCAGCGCCGTGTCCATGGTTGCGGGCTCCCACCGGCCACAGGTCGGTCGACCCTGCGTAACACACGCCCAGCAGTCGACGCAAAACAGACTCCACCATGTCCGACGCCGCGTCTCGACGCGTCTTGCCTCGTCGGGGTCGGATGTGTGTGTGGTACGCCGCGGCTCGCGGTGCAGACCAAGCGCAAGGGCGACGCGGTGTGCGGCGCCGAGGATACCGTAGGCCATGTTCGGCGAGTTGCGGTAGTGGAGGTAGAAGCCGCCGAGCAGGCATAGGGCTTGTAAGCTGTAAAGGTTGCCGGAGCCCAGGCTGTCAAGGCTAAAAGAGGCCCGCGCGGCCTTGTAGTAATCCTCGTGGAGGCTCTCGCTGCCGGAGGCGATGCTTCCTAGGGCAAAGACCATATTCAGCAGGCCGAGCCAGGAGCCATCCCGTCTCCCGCCCGTGGCGTACTGCCTGCGGAAATCTTCTTCGTCTATGAGTGGCGTGACTGCGTGAAAATGGTCAAAGTAGAAATCGATACAGCGCTGTTCGCGCAGGAGACTGAGGGCAGGATCTCGTGTGAGAAACGGGACGCCGAGCTGATTTGGCGGCGGCGCCGCGGCGCAAGCTCTTGCGCGAGCGGCTGTATGATCTTTGGTTGGTGGATAAAGCCTGAATATGGCGCGAAAAACTGCGCTCATGGACGATATGCCGAGGTACGATCTCGTCTGCTTGTCCGTGGCGAGCCCAATGGCGTTGATGTCGTCGGTGGCCACAGTTTCACGCTGGTCGAGTGATTCGTCCCATTGGGGTTCAGGCGCAGCATCACCATTCTCGGAGGGCGGCGCGGAGTCATCCTCGCCGTGGCTCGAACTGTCCTTGTGAGAAAGTGGCACGTGGTGCGATGGCTGGCTCTGTGGTGGCTGGCTCTGAGATGACTGGCTTTGAATTGCCAATTTGCGCATGCCAAGCTCATTCAAGAGCTCCGGAGGAGTTTTGGCTTCAAGCTGTGCCAGTTCGTAACCAGGGAATAGTCTTTGGATAATATCTTCATGTCTCTTAAGCCTGAGTAGGACATCGTCGTAGGCACTTGCAAGGTTGTATTAATTAGCGGCCTTGGGCAGTTTAGTGGCAGCAATTAGCTTACCTCCTGCTCACTGCGTTTCTTCTAGATCTCTGACGGTACTCGCATGCCTCGGCAGCTCTGTAGTACACGCAGTTGCTGCAAGGGAAGCGGCCATCGCATTTAATTTTGCGCCTCGTGCACTCGATACACGAGCGATTGACTCTACGACCAAACGACGGCTGGGCCGGAGGCGAGACTGGAGACGACTGTGACTGCTGGCCATTGTTCAATTCGAGTCTCATCGAAGACATTGGCCAAGGCAGCCTGCGTGTGGCAGAGGAATGCCGGCGCAGGATTGGGTCGCCTGGTGGAAGCGTGAGCTTAAGACGGAAAGACGCCGCGGGCGACGGCGACCATTGACTGAGCTTCTGGAAGAGAAGACATGAGACGGCAGAAACGACCGACAAGCCGCCCGTATGAGGCCAAGAGCGTGGACTAAAAGTGAAATCGAATGGCCAAGGGTATCGGAAATGGACTGTTGCAGAATGGGCTTGTCACCAATCTTTGGTGGGAGTCGGTAGTCGTCAGCCACGGCGCCCCTCGCCTGGCTGGCAAAAACAAAGGTGGCATTCAAGCCACACAGCCACCGGGCAAGGGTCGTCGAGTGTGGAAGGGCTGTGGCGCTAGCCTGAGAACGCTTTGTGGGGGTCAGTAGCATAGTACTACCCTGGGCCACGGTACTCAGTGTCGCCAGTCCTGGATAGCTATCAACATGGTTGATATATCGGTAGCGAAAGATGTTTGAAGAATGCAAAATCAGGACAGGCCTCCAATAAAAAGCGGCAGCTTTTCCGTAAGCCTTGGCACATTGGTCTAGGGCTCCCCTGCAGCCCGATCTGTGGGGAAGCAAGACGACGCAAAGGGACCTCCAACAACAGCTTCTCGAAACATCATGTCACGCTGATGTATAGAGGCGCCGGAAACCTAGTGAAACTTGTATCAGAGGGAAGAAACATCAAATACCGTGTTTTCCATTTTTACAAATTCTCGTCTTTACCAATACATAATCTCATATCTCACCTCCTCGTCGCTCTTAGGTTCGGTCAACTGGCAACCCCCACACAGCGGGGAACGGGTTCGTGGGGGACCAAACGACCGTCACTGCTTGTGGGGAAGGTCTCATTCTGGTGTCTTAATTCGTAGTCATATAACTGCTGCCGTTTCCTTTCCGATTGCTCTGCTTACCTTTATACTTTGTAACCCTTCACCTTCTTCGCCATGGCTCTCATCAGACAACCATTGATCCGCGGATGGACCTTTCAGCAGCAGGGCTGGGCCAGTGACGAGTGGCTCCCCGCAGCCAATGTCCCGACTCAGGTCCACGTCGACTTGCTGGCAAACGACAGGTAGGACGACAGCTGTAACTACATCATCACTCAGGAGTTAACCTCGATTTCTCAGGATCCCTGACCCATTTGTCGACTTCAACGAGAGAGCTGTGCAATGGGTCGGCGAAAAGACATGGATTTACCGCGTTGAGTTTGTCGCCCCTGCCGCCTCCACAGCCTCAAGCAATTCGGATCTCGTTTTCGAAGGCCTTGATACATTTACCACTGTCATATTTAACGGGCACCGAATCCTAGAAACCGAAAACATGTTCGTCTCCTACAGAATCAACGTCTCGCGGTTTGTTAAGGCTGGAGAGAGCAACAGTCTCGAGATCATCTTTGACTCGGCCCTGCTTCGTGGCCGGGAGCTCGTCAGAAAACACAGTCATGAACATGATTTTCTCGTTCGGCAGACAGAAGCGGGCCGGGTTCCCGTTCGGAAAGCGCAGTACAACTGGGGTTGGGACTGGGGTCCTATTCTCATGACTGCTGGCCCTTGGAAGCCCGTGTTCTTTGAACAGTACGTTGCCAGAGTCGCTGATGTATGGGCACAAAACACTGTCAGTGAGGATCTCCGAACGTGCACAGGGACAATCCTTGCCAAAATAGATGGCAAGGTTTCCTCGGATGTAAGAGCTCAACTATCATTGAAGCTAGATGACAAGGTCATCTTGCAATGCGACGCGCGAATAGAAGATGGTATTGCAAAGTTGCCTTTTACATTAGAGGCTCCCAAACTCTGGTATCCTCTCAACTACGGGCCCCAGACTAGGTACAGGCTTACAGCTCGCATCATTGGGTCAGGCGGCGAAGAGTTGGATACACTTTCACGACTCACTGGTTTCCGAAGAACGGCACTCATTCAGGAACCTGATGCATACGGAAAGTCCTTCTACTTTCGCGTCAACAACATCGATGTCTTTGCCGGAGGTTCTTGCTGGATCCCTGCTGATAGCTTCCTCGCCCAGATCCCGGCCCAGCGCTACTACGATTGGATCAAGCTCATGGCGGAGGGTAATCAAGTCATGATCCGCGTCTGGGGTGGTGGCATCTATGAGGACGATGTTCTGCTGGACGCTTGTGATGAGCTTGGCGTGCTCGTCTGGCATGACTTTCAGTTTGCTTGCGCCAGCTACCCGGCGTACGACTCATATCTCCAGAATTTTGAGCTCGAGGCCAGGCAGCAGGTTCAAAGAATGCGATGGCGACCAGCAGTCATCATCTGGTGCGGCAACAACGAGGACTACCAGGTCCAAGAGCGCTATCAACTCGACTATGATTTCGAAAACAAAGATCCAGAGGCTTGGCGCAAGTCAACATTCCCGGCACGGTATATCTATGAGCATTTGCTGCCAAAGATCATCTCCGAGGAGGATCCTCATAATATTTACCACCCCAGCAGCCCCTGGGGAGACGGGAAGCCAACCGCTGACCCTACTGTTGGTGATATCCACCAGTGGAACTGCAAGTATTCTTCCCCACGTGTATCGCTGTGTACTAATACATCTGTAGTGTGGCATGGCGCTTTGAACAAATACCAAGAAGTTGAGCAGCTCGGCGGTCGTTTCATCAGCGAATTCGGCATGGAGGCATATCCTCACCTCAGCACAATCAAGAGAATGACGACCAAGCCGTCGCAGCTGTACCCAGGCTCCATGGTGCTGGACTTCCACAACAAGGGTATCGGCCACGAGCGCCGCATGATGACGTACATTGCCGAGAACTTTCGCGTCCGCACCGACCTCGCCTCGTACACGCACCTCACACAGGTCGTTCAAGCAGAGGCAATGCGCTTCTCGTACAAGACTTGGCGCTGCCACTGGGGCAAGCCCGGCGCCCGGCGATGCGGTGGCGTGCTGGTATGGCAGCTCAACGACTGCTGGCCGACTATGTCGTGGGCCATCGTGGACTACTACCTTGTCAAGAAGCCTGCGTACTATGCCGTGGCGCGAGCACTGCGTCCCATTGACGTGGGCGTCGTGCGGACGTACCACGACTGGACGCAGACGGGGTACTACATTGACGATAACTCGAAGCTGTGCACCGGCCAGGTCGACCAGACGCGGCCGGCCCGCGAGGGCACCAGCACATTTAGCGTCTGGGCCTCCAGCAGCAGCATGGACGAGGTTGACGCCATCGTGACGGTTCGTTTCATCTCTGTGCGGACGGGCCAGGATGTGCAACCTGCGATACAGAGGCGCATCACGGTCGGCGCCAACTGTACGACGGGCATTATCGAGGAAGGCCCGCTCGCTGCGTCCATTCAAAGCCCCGAAGACGAGTCTCGGCCGTTCGACACAGATGAATACGATCCGTATGTGGTACATGCCCGGCTGACTTTTGACAGAGGCAGCACCGCTGTCACAGATACTGCATGGCCAGATCCCGTCAAATTCTTGGACATGGCAGACCGTGGCGTCTCGTTTGATGTGTCTGACGTAGATGGCAAAGTGGCCGTGACTGCGAAGAGGCCTGTCAAGGCATTCGTCTTTGAGGAGGTCGAGGGACTTAAATTGAGTGACAATGGGTTCGACCTATTGCCAGGTGAGAAGCAAGTGGTCAAGGTAGCTGGGCCGTTGAAGCCCAGCCAGTTGCGTTGGACGCATATTGAGGCCAGTGGACCATCGCTGAGCATTGAATGAGTCTCCAGTTTGGATTGTGAGACCTGAACGAGCCAGGAATTCAAGACGATATCACTAGATAACATAGACGAAGATGAGGAGAATACGTCGCTCTGAGAGACCAGTAGTGATGTGCCTGTAATTAAAGTGAATCTGCCATAAACCACAAACGCGGTGTAAGCCACTGTGTATCCGATTACGAGCGAATCAATGGTCCCGCGAACGAGACGACCTGGTGGCATTTTGGCAAATACCCAGACTGCCGGAATCAGCAGCAGTGCTGTCTGCACTGCACCGGACAGACATCTGAGTCGCCGAGTCCATGATAGTGTTGTCACAAAACAGCCGGCCAAAAATGTCCCCCAACTTGACGCTGGCCCTTAGACAGACGTTTGCTGATATCCTCCAGCCCGGAGCGCCTCCGCACCGCGGCGCCTCGTCCGACGAGATGCCGAGCAGCCTGCCGCCCACCACCCGTGACTACATTGGTCGCACAGCAGGCTTTCCTGAGGTGAGTTTTGGCGACGATCATGATTCACTCGCAATCGGGTTGGACAGGGTCCAAGTGCTCCTGGGGGTCAATGTCATCCGGGAAGACACCGAAGAGCGAGGGCGTGCAAGAGGACATTTCTTTGTCCGTGACCGTTGTTGCATGCTCTGATGGTTGACCGCGCTAGGATCACCAGCACCGCCATGCTTTCAACGGCACTCCTTCAACGCCCGCAGCAGCAACCTTGTTCCGTTTGGGATTCTGGTGCGGCGTCCTTTTAACTCAATCGATCTCGGGCAACCATCACCGTTTTGAGTAGTCGGTGCTTCTTTCCTTTGTGATTGGATGGAAACAAGATCAATTGCCAATCGCCAGCCCCCCGTTTGTCTGAGTGCGTGATTGCGGCGCATGGCGGTGCAGGGGAGCCATGCCGCAAACAGCGAAGGTGTCTCAAACAGTCATCAGTTGCGGCCAACCAAGACTAGAACATGATGACTACCAGTACCACCAGAGCTCAGCTCTGGGGTTGTGCATATTTGTTTGGTTGAGGTCGAGCAATTGCCAAAAACAGACTTGAATATGAGCGTCAAATGCCATCTCGAGATGCTATGTCTGAATACGCGTGTCTGAGGCTGATCCTCGGGCGACCCAGTAAGCTAACCAGTGCTACTTTGGTCTCACAGCAGCCCGGGGCAAGACGCTAATCAGGAAGACCATGGGTAATACGGAGAGCAAAGTAAAAGAGAGATTGAAAATCAACCGAACATAATGGGAATTGTAAGGATAAAGCAAGGAAGTTGGAAGTCCGCGTATGTATTCATGCACTCCATCTAACTCCAAGTCGGTCACAACTGGTCATTCGATGTACCAGCCTGGAGGGACAATCAATGTACGCGACTGAAGAGGTCAACCAGGCAACTAGGACAGGGTAGCGTGATTGAACAAAGGCACCATTCCGAAATTCTGATCATCATCAACTTGCAAATGCCTCTTTGCCTGCCCCTTTGTGAACCCCAGCTTTTACGAGGACTTCTTTTCTACCCTGCCCTGCCTGGTTCAGGGCGGACGGAGATTGTGGCTCTAGAAGAGCCCCGGCTGTAATTCGCATCTAGCGACGGCCACATGAGTTGACGCTTAGCGGAATAGGTATTCGTAAAGGGGGCTGTTAGCCTGTTACGGGGCCTCGTCTACACGCAGCCAACAAGAGACGACGATCGCGAGTTGCGTCTCCAGAAAAATTCATGCCGGGATATTTGGTGGAGAAGATGGAAATGTCTTACTTCTACGAACCGGGAAGATGAGATACGTATTACCGCCGACCGGGTAATCAATTAGGCAGGGGCTTGAGATTTTGATGGTCAGGAGAAAGCTCACATGGGTCGTATTCTGCGAATAAACGGCACTTGAAGCCAGAGCGGGCGCTAAATAATTGCTCGTTGATGCGCTGTGCCTCTCGAGCTGAACCTGGTTTCAAATCTGTGGAGGAAGGGTCGCCAAGTGACGATAGTGGATAAGAGAGAGGGGGGGGGTGGGCGACTATATCATCCGATATTACAGATACTTTCTGCGTCTATCCTGCCAACGAGTAAGTGAGTATTATATTTGCCTCATGCTGAGTGTTTGAGAAGAGAGTTTGCGTGGGACCTTTTTTCCGGCAACGTGCGTGCGGGCAACATCTGATACAAGCCTGAAGTAAAAAAGTGCCGTGTTGTGTAGAGTGCTTCTGCTTGTGCGTGACAGAGCACGCACTGCCCATCATGCGCACGGCAGCAGCCAAGCCCTGGTGTGTACGCCGTGGCCCATGGCGAAGGAGAATTTTTTGGATGGTCAGGGAAGAAGAAGAAGAAGAAGAAGAAGAAGAAGAAAGAGGAGGCCCCAGCTACGCGCAGCAGACATGTGCAAGCTTGATCCCCATCATCATTGCCATTCTCCGTCTTTCATGTGAAAGAAAAATCGCCTTTTAGGGCTAATGCTGCAGTGCAACTCAAGTTCAGACTAATAAGAAAAAAGATGTCCAACTAATGAAAAAAAAAATCAATTTTATTGCATCGGATTCTGTTGAGTCTGTGTGAAACGAAACAAGTGTAACTAGCGCGGCACATCTCCCTGGGTCGTAAAATCAAACCTTAAAAAAAATTGGCAAAATGGCAATTGGAGGAATGGGCAAATGCAACGCCATGGGTGCGTAGTCTCGGGATTTTTTTACGGAAGTTTTTTTAAACACCCTCGTACAGTATGCGATGCACAAGTCCTGGACATCAAGAGCTTTAGATAAAGAGATCAATATCTGCATAATACCCAATCTCTGCATGCAGGCGTTTCACGTTGATGAAGAAATGGCCTCTGGTGCAGTGACGAAATTGAAGGGCGATCCTTCAAGGCTAAGCTATATAAGACGGCGCGTGCATCATGCAGTGTACAACGTTATAGCTGTAGTTACCCTATGTTTCCCAGATTTTGGACGAATTTTCAAGGACCAGCAAAAGTTACTAGGTCGCCAGCCTGAGATTGTTAGCGTCCAATCCAGCTGAAAAGCATGAGCCGCGAAAAGGAAAAGATAATCCACCATGAACTTGGTTCCAATACGTTCGTCTAGTGTCGGCATTGAAGTTGCAACAGGTGGGCGTCGACACTGGGGATCTGGAAGGGGGGAAAGACCTTGCATGCATGCAGGTGGCTTTCATATCTGCCATCTGCTGTACGGGGAAGCCGAATGCGGTATCCGACGCCTCATGCTGCAGCGGACATTTTCAGTCAAAAACATGACGATGTATGTGATACGCGGGTTTCCTTTGCATCGTGCGCTTCGCCAAAGGTCAAGCATGCGTTGCTGGTGAGGCGCTTTCTTCTGCCTGCAGGCTGCGGGTTCATGCAGCCAGACACCGATTATTCGCATTGTCGGGCATCCGACTTGGCCGCGAGACGAGATGCGCAATGGCGGCAACTCTTGGTGCAACCCGGGCGGGATGAGGGTGCTCGGAAAAGTAGGTTGGAGGAGGGGGGGGAACGGGGTTGATGAGCTCAATCGGATGGGTGGTTCGTTTGCTGCTAATATCTACGATGCCATGGTAAGGCTCAGATTGGCTTGGCGACATCATTCCAGCGATGGCGACGAATGCCAACACAGGGGCTGCATCGTATTTATGGACAATTATCCATAAATTAAGCAAAAGTATTCTGCAGGGGCTTTGCTTGATTATCTTTTTCTGTGCCGTAGCTGTAGCATCTACTGATACGCGCCAACTAACTAGTTATGGGCGCTCTCAAACTCCCTATAATACGTTGGTCGTGTAGGGCAGCACGTATAGGTGAGTTGCTGATAAGTCAAGGCATGATGTTAAAAGAGGCCACTTTTACAACCAGTCGCTGCGAGGAAAACAAAAAGGAGTAAATAAAGTTGAACGAGTAAAATCTAGGTCCAGGCTAAACATCTCTCAACGGCATCAATATCCCGTTTTCTTCGGCAATGGCGGCGTTGTTTTTCTTATCATTCTCGTGGTAGTATGTAATGGGAAGTAGGCACCGCCTTTTGCTTGTGAATTCCACACATGGAACGGAGTATCCGTTGTGGCGATAAACTAGTTAGAGCTGCGCAACAAGGAAATAAATCGGAAGCTAATCAGGCAAATGGAACCTGTCAGGCCTTGCTTGCCATTCGGCCCATGTCGTGGTTCCTCATGGGCCCCAGCTGGTTCGCTTCACATTCGATCTGCTTCGTTGAAAGTTCCACATGGGGTTCCCAAAAGTTCGCGTCCCAAGTCCAAGTTGCAAGGTCTGGGAGTTTGTGCAACGAATACCAGGCAGCACGACATCTCTTCTGTGGCTGGTTTGCTTGTCCCAAGACCGACATCGACAACATGTGGATAGATCTTGGGGCATTCTAGATTTTATGCAAAAGACGCATGGTAGAAGACAGTTTTTCTTGCGCCAGTTGTCGATCTGCCAGCGACCGCATTTCGCGAAACTCAATAGATAGTTAGTGTTGTTAGTACAGATTAGAGCTATATTGGTTGGTGCCAATCTGGCACCGTTTGGCGGGCGTGCAAATGCATAAAGTCTTTCGATATATTTGGTCCCCTCCCTCGAAGCCCGCAAAAGCATATCCACCTGGCAAGTTGCACCATGGTCCATGGATATGAATGGGCGTCGTCCGCTCCCGGTCAGTCCCCCTCACATCGTCCCCCTGGCTAGCGCGGGACGGCTTGGGTGGCAGGCTTGCGAGCAGGCCCAATCAGTCGCGGATAGGAGGCTGCGCCATTGACGCGACCCGCTAGAGGTCGAGCTATGCATGCGAGAGCTGCATGAAATGTCTCTAGGCATGGCGTTGGTGGTGGATCGTTGATGGGCGGACGGAGCATTATTACTCTGCGAGCAGCAGGAGCAAGGGGCGGGGGGGATTTGTCGATGGGACAGAAGCGAGTCGGACTGCAGCAAGGCGAGCTGGAGAGCATAAAATGTAATCTGTAATCTGTTATCTGTATGGAGTACATACATACTGGGATGGGTATTGCGAGCTCGTCTCTGGGTAGCGTCTCATCCAGGCATATTTGTGGCTTTTGAAGAGATGTATGGTGACGGGTGCTGCATCAGCTCGAGCAGCAAACAAGGGCTTTGCATACGATTCGAAATAGTTGATTGCATTGCAGGCTTGTTGCAGAGTGAAGAAGAGGAAGCCGGCCAAGGACATCCGCATGTTTCTGCGAATCTGCGCCAATGTGTGCGAATATGTGTCTGACTGTCAAGGCAATAACCGTAAATCCGTTCAGAGCAGCCCCATCCACCCTAATAATAGGTGCCACAGCGCCAACACCAGGCTAGGCACCTCTGCTGTCCGCTGCCACCCACACGTTCTGGCGGGCTAGCAGCGCTATTCTCCCCATTCAGCCTGGTGGCATCGCAGCCAGCCCGCCGTTCCAGTAGTTCATGCGGGAGCCTTTGCCACTCGGCTCGAGAATATTTGCGCACACATTTTTTATTTTTTATTTTCTTCTTTCTTCCCGACATTGTCATGTACATGTCTTTCAACGCGCAATCGTGTTCCATGGATTTCCGAGATTGACCTTGATGACCCCGGCTGCTCGTTACCCAAACTGGCCGTGTCGGGGCAGGCTGTGACGCAGGCCTTCTCCACGCGCAGAACAGAGAAACCCGGCCAAACCCTGTCAAGTCGGAGGGAGCTCGACCGCAAAATCTCGTATTGCTGGTCCCATCGCCCCTCCAGGCCGATGCTGGTCAAGCCAGTCAAACTGGGCCAGTGTCAACAATCTGGTCTGCCAGTGATGCCAAATGGTGCGAGCGCCCTGCTGATGGCCCCTCTTTGCCTTTGCCTCTTGTCTTTGCCCTTTCACTCATTGCTGCCCCCCTGATCGTGAAAATAGGTAGTTGCTGTGCACGATTTAATCCGTACGGAGTAAGGTAATAAATAGTAGGTACTCGTGGCTAATACACTAAATTATACCACTAAATTATACCACTAAATTATACTACTAAATTTATGATAACGGCAGCTGTTGTGTCCGCGTTGACTGGCCGCGTTAAACCGTCTTTTTCTAGCGCTGTTAGTGCTTAAACCCGCTGTAGTCTCGCTATAATACTCAACGTACCTACAGTTGCTCGTGGCGCTGTGCCTCGCTATAACCGCCGACGCCACAGCGTTGTGCTCACAGTCGAGTATGACGGACCGTGAATAACCTCCCGCTCGCTGTTCCCTTTTTCTCTGTTCTCCAAACTCTCTCTCATGTGAGAAAAAAAAAAAAAGAGATACGCTTAGCTTCTTCAAAAGTCACCAGCTATTCTGACAAAGCTTTGCTCACCCTCTAATAAATTCCTGCTGCTTCTCCCGCTTCTCCCCTTTCTGCCTCGGTGCTGGTGCGTGCTCTGTTAGTGTAATATTGGTCTTGTTGCTTATACTTTTTTTTTTCTTCCTCGCCTTGCTCACTCACCTCAACGCGCTTGGCCTGTTGCTGCTCCCTCTCCTCCTTTGTCCCCCCCCAGAACTCTCCACCACCACCACACTTGGACGCCTCTCGATCCTCTCGTTTTCTTTTCCTTTCTCACCCCTCTTCTTCTTCTTCTGCTTCTCATCGCCTCTATTCGTCACTCGACCTTTTTTGTTTCCTTTCCCTTTTCCTCACCCGTTTCCTTTCTCTCGCCGCCTCTCTGCCTGTGTACCTGACGACTTCCCCCTGCTGCAAAGCTCTTTCGTCAGCCAGCCTGACAAGCGCTCTGCCCCTGATTTCAGTCAATCCCGTCAACTCCGAGCCCTCTGCCGATTTCGTCCTCGTGCTTTTTCATTCTCTTCCCATCTCATTCATCTCCTCAGCTGCTACCGTGTCCTGTCCATCGCTGTCATCGTTCCCGTTGCATCATCTCACGCTGCATATTTCGACTTGCCTTCCTCGACTCTCGTCCGTGTTCTCTCGCACGTTGCTGACGTACGTGCACCGAAAGCTCCCTTGACCTCGACTTCTCCTGCCAATAAACACAAGACATTTCTGCAAGACACGTAATATTTCCGAGTCTTCATCTTGTTCCTCTCAGGTCTCGTATTCACGGTGATCTGATTGACAATTCCATACTTGATCCCATTAGCTTGGTGATCTTGCCATTCCTGCTCCTTTGGATTTCTAGAGCCTCCTTTTCTTTGCCTCTCGTGCCAGTAGGGACGGGTTCGCATCACAATCCTGCGAGCTCTTCTTCCGACTCCAGCAATACTCTATACTCGCTGTTTTTTTGGTATCCCCGGATTCCATCAGACTTTCGCTCGTTTGTGTTTGACTGCTTGATTTTGCCTCGACCAAATTCAGCCCTCATCAAACCACATCTATTGCCTGCTCTTGACAAGCCGATACAAGGTCCGCTCTCTCTACCTTCATTATTGTTTCTTCCATGCTGCATTTCCATTTTGTGCCGCCTCTCTGTCATATAAACTTGCCCATTGCTGAACCAGAAACAAAGGACGGTTACTAACACGCTCAGTAGCCAGTTGATACCTCATCTTCTGCAACTCGATTTCTCAGCCGCTACCCCAATTGTTCTTCGAAGCTACGTCTTGTACGAGTTGAAATACCCGCCCGCGAGCCGCACACGCAATTTCTTCGGATAAAAATGGCTGCTATGATTCAGACATATCCTCAGCAAACTTCAACAGCCACTATACTCCAGACGCGTCCTGCCTCTGCCACCGCCATGCTGCCTGGGAATCAGAACCGTCAGGGCGGCCAGTATGGCCACAATTCCAGAGCCTCTTCCTACGGCAACGTCCCTACGGGCTATCGAGGCAGCTCTGGCCCTGGCCAACCCCGAAGCTTCAACCAGCTGAATCATAATATGCAATGGCAGCAGTATGCAGCGTATCGTGCCAACTCAACACCCGCCGTTCCTACAACAAATACATATGATCTGACGGGCCAGTATCGAGGCCAAGCCAAGAACGTCCCGGGTTATAACTTCAATTTCACCGCGCCAAACGCCACTCGCGACGATTCTGCCATAGCACGAAGCCTTACCGCTCAGCAGTCGCCATATTATAATGCTGTCGCCAACGGCAAGACTACTCCGGACAGGTATCGAAGAGCGATTCCTCAGCCTATCCACAATCGCTCCCAGAGCACCAACTTACCTGCCGCCGCTGGCATCTACCAGCTTCAAAATGGCTCCATGTCCGTACCAAACCTCTCGAATGGCATGAACGGGCCTACCCCAACTTCCGTCGAAGAGCTCTACAACCGCACCGCACAGGACGAGGCCATGAGACTGCGTCGTCGCAGCATCCATACTTTGGAGACTCAGGGACCCTTGCCCGTCGTTCGACCTAGCTCAGCTGGTCGCCCATCTTCTGCTGGACGACGTGCAGACCAGAGTACTAACTCGGCTACGCTCGCACCCGCTGCTGTTGTGCACACACGCAAGGGAAGTTCGGAAAGTGTCTCATCCAACCGCAGCACTAGCTCCCGACCATCTTCCGTAAGTCAGCCACATTTCCAAGATACCCTGTCGGCCCCAGTCCTTTTCTTCTGCCGCACACTGGCTAACAAGGATGACATGCAGGCCAACCGCACCACGCCTCCACCCACTGGCACCCCCTCTTTCTCTGCGGACAATGTCTCCAGGACTGAACAGGCCAAGCAGCTCAATGTTCCTCCCCGTGCAGCCTCGACCGACGCAGTCAAGCGTACTCACAGCCCCTCGCCGTTGTCCAAGCCCGCTACTATGCCTGCTGAACCTGCTGAACCTCGTCCAGCCACCGCATCTGGTTCTCCAAACTCCAAGCTGGAGAGCCCAGCCGCGAAGCATCTGGCGGCTATCAACCAAAAAGGCAGCAAGGCTAAGAGCAAAACGTCGAGACTTCGTCGTGCATTTTCCTTCGGTAGCGCTGCCGAGCTTCGCAGGGTTGTCGAAGAGGAGCCCCTTGCTACCCCAGCATCACCAACAAAGCTTCACAAGGACCCTTCACCTGAGCAAGCCTATGATGCAGAGCAGGCTCGTATTGCAGAGGCCCAGGAGGCTAGTGGGCTTGGAAACAGCATTTACGGCTCCCGCTTTTTCGGATCGACTGACAACCTCTCCATCTCCTCCACCGCTTCGTCGGCCTCGATCATGATTCGCAAGATGGGCCGTGGCATGAAGAAGAGCACTCGATCCTTGGTTGGTCTGTTTCGTCCGAAGTCTGTCATTGGTGTTCCGGCCGCCGAGGCCGCCGTTCCTGAGATGAGCCACGCAGCCGTCTCCATGATTACCGTCGAGGCCGAGACGCAGCGTGTCAATGTTACTGCGGACCCTACGGCTACCAACGGTGTAACCGGTTTCCCTCATCTGGAGCGAAACTCGATCGACGCTGCTCATGTTTCGGAAATGATATCTGAACAAGCTGGAGTTTCTGGCCAGGACCAGTCCGGACAAAGACGCAGCATTGTCGGTGGTGACAAGGAGCGTGCTGAGGTGTTGGCTGCCGTGCGTAAGGGCATTCTCAAGCGACCTGGCTCTTCCAGCCCATCGACAAGACCCAATGATTTGGCATCCCCGGAACTAATCTTGCCCAACGTGCCTGCTATCAGTGACTCGCCTAATTCTAGCGCACCTAGCACGCCCAACGATGAGGGTCAGGGCCATAGAAGGACTGGATCTATTGCTCTCGGCAATGAAGACTACTTTATGAACGCTCTGCGCCTACGTTCTGACAGTAAGAGCGCTCCGGGAACGCCTTCTGCCAGCAAGAGATGCGCTACATTCTCACCTCGCATCATCTTTCACGATACTTGGCCTCCTCAGGAGTATGATCGCCGAGGCGAGATTGCTACGTGCAACCGTCTCACCCCCATGCTGGCTCAGCAGATTAAAGAGGAACTCAACAGTTTCAAAATGGTTAGTAATGGGAACCTTTCTGTGTCGGGTTGCTTGCATCGGGGCATGCTAACGTTGATGACAGGAGATGGAAGTTCATGAAAACTCCAAGATTTACACTCACTTTTTCTAATGATGTCAGTTCCGACATTCGCCGGACTGACTTGAAATTTGGATGTTTTGACCAAGGCATGGCAACATGCAAAGTCATATTGTATTCAATCATGTTTTAACATTGGTGGCGTTTGGGAACTGCATATTTGGTGTTAAGGGCGTTATCTTGTTCGACCTTCATTATCATTAGTATTCTATTTGTCGTTTTTCCGCGTGGAATTTGTCATAAGAATTTAGCGCAGCAATCATACAAGCATGTAATCTGTTGAGCAGAAGAGAAGTGAAGTTCCCTACAGCAGGCTGTGTGATGGTCTGAGTAGCACGGCTTTTCCGCACGTTCTTATAACTAAAGGCGTTGGCACGTGTGCCTGGCAACCTGCGTCATAGTCCGATTAAAGTGAAGGAAACAGAATGTGCAATTCTGCTATAAAAACTGGCAGGGTTTTTAAAGATGCGCAATGGCATGATGGGTTTTGCGTGACAGTGACATGCATAGGTACCTAGATTTCCAAGCGACAGGACCCCACCATGTTCCTTTGGTGGAAGGCCGACCCCAGCGCCGGGTCTTTTTTTTTTTTTTCGTTGGAAAAATGTAACAATGAGATCCCTCGATATTTTGTCATGTCACTTCCCTCGGACGACGCGCCGCAATTCTTACAACCCCACGGCGCTCCCGCGCAATACTTGCCACGAGAGTCCAGTTGAAAGGTATTCATGCTTGGCATTTCGTACGGCAGACTGTCTCGCTGGCGACTCTTAATCACCAACTCTCGACAATCGCGATACCTGGCTGCCATGACCGCGGCGCAGGAGACAACCCAGTCGGTGGCCACGCTGGCCGTGGAGGCGACGGCTGCGGCCTCCACGACCGCTGCAACGAAGAAACTGCACGGAAGGGCATTCTATGAAAGTATCGGCAGTCCCAAATTTATCGTGGCCCCCATGGTGAACCAGTCTGAGTTTGTGAGTGCCCCGAGACTGAGAACCCAAACGGTCTGCCAACATATGCGCAGTGACTGACCGGTATTTACCCACCAGGCCTGGCGCATGCTCTCTCGATCCTTTCTCTCGGCCGACGAAAAGTCCAAGATGCTTGCCTACACGCCCATGTTCCACGCGCGCCTCTTCTCGCAGGACCCGAAATATCTCAAGGCGCATTTCCAGGCCACGCGCCCTGGCGCGACCGGCGATTCTTACGACTCCAGTCTCTGGCTCGATGGTAACCCCTCGGGCGACCGCCCCCTCTTTGTGCAGTTCTGCGCCAACGACCCGGCGCACCTCCTTGCGGCGGCGCGGCAAGTGGCGCCGTACTGTGATGCAGTCGACCTAAACCTCGGCTGTCCGCAGGGCATCGCGCGCAAAGGCCACTACGGCGCATTCCTGCAGGAAGACCAGGACCTCGTATTCCGCCTCATCCACACGCTGCACACGGAGCTGTCAATTCCCGTCACCGCCAAGATTCGCATACTTGAGACCAAGGAGCAGACGCTGGCGTACGCGCAGACCGTGCTCAGGGCGGGCGCCTCGATTCTCACGGTGCATGGGCGGCGGCGTGAACAAAAAGGCCATCTGACGGGCGTGGCTGACTGGCAGATGTTGCGATTCCTGCGGGAGAGCCTACCGCCGGAGACGGTGCTGTTTGCGAACGGCAACGTGCTGCAGCACGGCGACGTGGAGGCTTGCCTGGCGGCGACGGGGTTCGACGGCGTCATGAGCGCAGAGGGCAACCTCAGTAACCCGGGCGTCTTCGCCAAGCCCCCGGCGGTGGGGAAGGAGGGCCGCGAGTACTGGCGCGGCAAGGACGGCAAGGGTGGCTGGCGCGTCGACGCTGTCATGAGACGATACATGGACATTATACACAAGTACGCGCTCGACGCGGAGCCGCCGGCGCGCCGTCCGCTGTTTTTGCCCGGCGACGACACCGCGTGGCTGACGGCCGAGGAAGACGATCTTGACGAAGGAGACGAACGCGGGCAGAAACGCCGCAAAACGACGGCGGCGTCGGCGACGGATAGCGAATTAGGCGGTGCCGCCGCCGCCAAGAGGCACGACCCGTCGTCGTCGCCCAACATTGTCGCCATGCAACCACACCTCTTCCACTTACTGCGGCACTTTGTAACCAAACACACGGATGTGCGGGATATGCTGGCGCGCACGCGCAAGACGGGCATGGCAGGATTCGAGGCAGTGCTAGACGCCGTGGAGCGACGCGTCGCCGAGGGCCTGCTCGAGTACGAGCGGACGAACGGCGGGAGCTTCGAGGAGGAGATGAGGATGGCAGCGGAGCGCCCGCGCGAGACGGCGGACGGAGGCGAGAGCTCGATGGAAGCGCTGCTGCGGTGCAAGAGGCCGTGGTGGGTGGTGCAGCCGATTGTACGGCCGCTACCGAGTGAGGCGCTCGCCAAGGGCTCAATACGGCCGAGCAAGAAGGAGCTCAAGGACAAGGCAAGGGGGGAGGAGGAGGATCAGAAGAAGAGGGTGGAGTTGGAGCAAGTGGTGCAGAAGAATGAGGCTGTCGAGGCGTAGAATTCATATTGATGAGCGCATAGAACTGTATATAATTACTACGGAGATTTGAATCATCTCTCATTTCATCATTACTTTACATCACACCCAATGACGAACGCTATTGTAAACGTGAACGCCTTTTCAAGATGAGGGAAAAGTTTCAGAGATAGAAAGACCGCCATCATACCCAACCTACCTACGGGATCTGGCCGTGGAGAAAATTAACCAAGAGCCGCATCATTTACGTCTCGCCGCGGCCCTACCTACACTTGTTGATCCCCACGTGGCTGATGCATCTTTTTACATTTAAGTTATCACGCTGTGTGTATATACTGTATCAATACGAATAATTTTGGTTCTCTAATTCATCTTTCTAGTCTCGCGCAACCTTCAGTTGAAAATCATTGCACATCTGCTGCGAATTCCACTGATTATGAGATGCTGCGGGTGTGGACCAATCTTAAAGAAAAATTGAGCAAGATTGCAATTTGATCACTACCTAAACATATCGCTTGCATCACAAATATACCCCGAGACATTTTGCGCGGTAAATAGACTGTGCTGCCAGCTCAACACCAGTGGTGGAGAGCTAGCTTTCTCCCTGAGGAACGGGACAAAGGTACATGGCGCAATTCGCAGGTCCACAGCCATTGCTTTGTACCCCTGCACGTGAGGGCGTTGGCTTCCCTTGACGCCAGATTCGCGACACGTCAACGCGCCTCCGTCTGCATCTCGCTCAGTCCGTCGCTGAAAAATTCGACTAGCACGTCGCGCAACGCTCAATCGCGAGTTTTGCCATCGCTGCTGATGCCTGTTCTCCTGGCCCCCTATTTCTGATTGATTCCCCGCCTCAGAGCTGCCAGCGTGGACAAGTCACTTGCGTGCATGCCTTCACCCCCGACTGTGTCAGCTTTGCGCCCGACGGTTTGCGCCCCAGCGGTACGTGCTATTACGCTGTGGCTTCATCAATGGCAGAGAAAAAACATCTGTGCATTGCTCAATACGCTAGGAATGCTGATGCATTTATCTGCACCTGCTAACTTGGACACGCCTAGACTCAGCAAGTCGAGCTCACACGGAAACGCTAACTCCCGACCCGTACTTCAAGCCCTCCACCACAGCATCCCGCTGCCTGTATCACAACATGGTCAGCAAACGGAAGAGAGTCCTCGAGGAGTTTGATCCCAACAAGTCTGATTCCGATGACGAAAATTTTGATCCCACAGAGCAACGTCCTCGCAGAAGCTCAAAGAAGGCACGGCCAGCTGGCAGTAGCCGTTCCGGACGAAGAAGAGGCCATCGCTATAGAGGATCTGACATTGAAGACGACGAAGACGAGCTCTCCGATAGCCAAGATGAAGGATTTCTAGATGATGACGATGACGAGGACGATGATGCGCCCATCAACGCCGCCGGTCGCCGGACCCGCAAAGCAGCTGTCAAGCCCCAAAACTATGCCGAGAGCAGTGCAGAAGAGGAAGCGCAGCTTAGCGATGAGGATAAGGTAGAGAGCGCCGATGACAGACCAAGCCGAAAACCAACACGGTCCTCAGGCCGCGTCGTCAGGCTCAAGGTTTCCAGCGGCGTACTCTCTGACATGCCACGCCGCGCCACTAGAGCCACTTCCCATGATCAAGAGGATCTTGTCGAACTTTCAAATTCCGGACGGCATGCTGTTGCATCTCGAGGTTCAGCGAGCCGCAGCCCAGAACCTGTCACCCGTAGAAGCTCACGCGCCTCCAAAGGCATCAAGATGCCTCCCGAGACCATCGAGGAAGCCACACAAGAGAGCAGCGTCAAAAATACCGGTGAGGATGATGATCTCGACGAACTCGACAAGGATATTCGCGATTTGCACAAAAGTGAGGAATTGGATGAAGACACGGACGATGTCCGAAAGCATGAGAAGCAGACGAAGCCAGACGACACTACTGCCGCCAACGAAGACGACGATGACGACGATATCCCCACCACCCGCAGAACGCGAGCTGCGCGAGCTGAGGTTGTGGAAGATGACGAAGAGCAGCAAGACGCCAGCGCACGACCTAACCGACGGCTGACACGTAAATCGAGTGCCCGCAAGTCAACCCAAGAACCTAGCAGCGACTTTGAACCTGGCGAGGACTCGGAAGATGCCGCATCCGACATGGGTCAAGATGCCGCGGATGATCAAATCGATAGTCCCACTCCACGAGAAAGAGGTGGGCGCCAGCCTCGTTTGGCAGGTGCATCCCGCCATGACTCTGGTGATGAAGAGGCCGACCTGGACTTGGATGAACTCAACGAAGAAGCGCGTGAATTGAGAAAATCATCGCGATCACGCCGGCGCCGACAAGAAACTCCTATTGCATATCAAGAAAATACGCGCCGTTCTCGTGCCAGAGTCAACTACTATATGCCGCCTCTGACCTCTGCCAACATCGAAGATGACGGCGAGGATGCAGCTCCCACCCCCGCCCGCCGGCGTCGCGGTGCCGCCAGCGCTGTATGGGATCGGAACCTCAATACAACTTTTGGTCCCTTTGGTGGCGGCGGGGCTGTTGGCTCCCTGCTTAATGGCCCTTGGGGTACTGGCGCAACTGGTGGCGTCGATTCGGATAGCAGTGACGATGAAATGGTCCACCGCTCCAGTATTGCCGGCAACGTTGGCATGACTCCCACATCGGCTGCTCCAACCGGATTGCTGCCCGGATTGCCCAGCATGAATCCTGATGGAGGTGCCCCGAATGTTGGAAAGATCAAGGATCGCAAGGCACTGGCTGATGCCGACCCTCTGGGCGTCGACATGAATGTCGATTTCAGCAAAGTCGGTGGGTTGCAAGGTCATATCGATCAGCTCAAAGAAATGGTTCAACTTCCTCTGCTCTACCCAGAGCTCTTTACAAGATTCCATGTCACCCCTCCGCGCGGCGTCCTATTTCATGGCCCGCCCGGTACTGGTAAGACATTACTCGCAAGAGCACTTGCCAATTCGGCCGGCCATGGAGGTCGCAAGATTTCCTTTTATATGCGTAAGGGTGCCGATGCTCTGAGTAAATGGGTTGGCGAGGCCGAGAAGCAGTTGCGTCTTCTGTTTGAAGAAGCCCGCAAGACGCAGCCAAGCATCATCTTTTTCGACGAGATTGACGGTCTCGCCCCAGTTCGGTCAAGCAAGCAAGAGCAGATTCATGCCTCGATTGTCTCGACGCTTCTAGCCTTGATGGATGGCATGGACGGCCGTGGCCAAGTCATCGTCATTGGTGCTACCAACAGACCCGACAATATTGATCCTGCGCTGCGACGTCCGGGTCGATTTGATCGAGAATTCTATTTTCCTCTTCCCGACATTGACGGCAGACGCTCCATCCTCGATATTCACACCAAAGACTGGGGCCTAGCTGACGACTTCAAGGCCTCGCTCGCCGAGAAGACAAAGGGCTACGGCGGTGCTGATCTACGCGCACTATGCACCGAGGCCGCGCTCAATGCCATCCAGCGAACTTACCCTCAGATTTACGCCTCACAAGAAAAATTACTGGTCGATCCATCCAAAATTAATGTCCATGCATCCGACTTTATGCTTTCAATCAAAAAGCTGGTTCCATCGTCCGAGAGATCTGCCACCTCTGGCGCTAGCCCGCTACCGGCGACCATTCAGCCACTATTGCAGGGCCAGTTTGACAAAATCAAGCGGGCCCTCGATATTGTGATGCCGCGCCGAAAGAAGACGACTGCTCTGGAGGAGGCCATGTACGAGCCGTATGCTGACGACGATCATGGCTTCCAACGTGAAACTCTCCATCAAGACTTTGAGCGCACGCGTGTATTTCGTCCACGCCTACTTATTCATAGCAGCCCAGGCATGGGTCAAAACTACATTGCTTCGGGTATTTTGCATTATTTGGAAGGCGTCCACGTTCAGAATTTTGACCTGCCCAGTCTGCTCGCTGATGGCCGCTCTATGGAACAAGTCATTGTCGGCCTGTTTACCGAAGTTCGACGCCACAAGCCGAGTGTTATTTATATTCCAAACATTGATGTCTGGTATGACACGCTAGCGGGCACAGTTGCGCTTGTCACCTTTACAACGATGCTCAAATCCATTCCACCCACTGATCCGGTACTTTTACTTGCTACGGCAGAGCGCACCAAGGAGGAACTTGCCGCCAACCCAAATGTAATTCTTGACTTTTTCGCGTACTCTCGCAACAGTCGCGTCGAAATTGCACCTCCAGAGCGGCCAGCGCGATATGCGTTCTTTCAAAAGACGCTGGAGCTTATTAGGCTTCCGTCTGGAAAGTTCCCAGATCCTCAGAAACGAGAGAAGCGAAAGCTGGAGGTTCTTCCTCCAGCACCCAAGATCGAACCCCCTCCGCCGACCAAGGCAGAGATCAAGGCATTGAAGAAGAAGGACCATCAATATCTCAACGCCCTCAAGATTCAACTGCAGCCCATCATGGATCAGATCAATCGCAAGTACAAAAAGTTTCGCCAGCCCGTTATCCCTCAGGCGCAGATTGAGTATCTCTTCGCCGAGTCGGACCCCAACTATGTGCGACCCGACATTGCAGCAGCCGATAGTCGACCATTTGAAATTGTCAAGGATAAGAATGACGTTGATGTACTACGAGACACAGTGACGGGAAAGACATTCTACAATCTCGAAACGACGACTATCGAAGAGAGACTCTCTAACGGCTACTACGCTCGCCCCAAAGACTTCTTGTTCGACATCAAGGCTCTTGCCAAAGATGCGAAGAACATTGGTGACAAGGAAAGAACACTCAAAGCAAATGAACTTTTGAGCAACGTGGAAGTTGATATCGCTAGCATCGAAAACAGCACCTCCAGCATGGTTGATTGGGAGGCACTTTACCAGCGCCAAATACAGCGCACCAAGCAAAGGGCCGAAAAGGAAAGACAAAGAAAGGCTCAGGCTACTAATCTGGCCCTGGAACGAATTCAATCCGACATTGGCGGCGGCAACGAGAGTGATTCACAAGGTCCTGTTACCCTCGGCGTGCAAGTCTCGGAGGACACCACGACGGCGAGATTTCAGCTGCGAAGCCCAGAACCTCCTGCTGGGGCGCCGCACAGCCTAAGCAATGGCGACTCTGTCCCTTCCAAGGATACCGACGTGGAAATGAGCGGAACAGGCGACGAAACCCAGCCAGCTTCGCAAGCAATGGGGCCGCCACCCTTCAAGTCGCCAGCTCCTACACAACCCTCACAACGATCTGCGCTCACGTCTCTGCCACCTGGCGTGCCGCCGTCGGCCGTAGCTAACGATGCATCGACCACCAAGACATCCGATCTTTCCTCTAAGCAAGGCGTTTCAAACTGGGGCACGCCTCAGACAAACGGCAATTCTTCCAAGGGTGGCGAGAGCCAGGACATTCCTGACACTTTGCTTGGCCTTAGGCGGACCTCAACGCCGCAGAGTCAAGAGCACTGGCCGCACTCTCAACTAGACGGCTTGAGCCGTGACCCGGTCAGCGGAACAAGCTCGCTCGCCCGGCCAATTTCATCGAGTTCCCAGCCACAAGGTTCGGGTGAGTCCAAATTGCAGGCGTCGCCGTCGCAGCCTAAGGAGCTGGAGCCGGCCGTGTTGCAGTTACAGGATGATATAGCGGACCAGACTACCGGGTTCTCTGTAGAGCAGCTGGAGCAGTTGAACCGCGAGATGATGGACAAGATTTGGGAGACACGCGATGAGTGGAACAGACTGAATGTGTTTTATTCCATCAAGGGCGTGTTTGAGACTGTTCTTGCCGACATGGAGGCGATGCAGCAAGCGCCACTTGGCAGCTTTTGAAGGGAAATCTGTGAGGCGCTGGATCCATTTCCTTTGTTGGATGGGGCGTAGTTTTGATGAAACTGTTTGGAAAGACTGTATCATTAACATTTCGGAGTCGTTTTTATGTTTTGTTTTCTTATTTCCGCCACAGCACAACTAGGGCTTTTTCCACCATTATCATCATGTGGAGCTTTTAGAGGACAAGTATCTGTAGCATTTTTAGACAGAATTCCAGATCGCGCAACTGTGCAACTATTCTTGCAGCTTCGCCAAGGTAGCCGATGATTCGAACAAGAAGAAAGGCATTGACTTTTGGGATGAGTATATTTTTTTCTTCTGATGTACATGCGCTGCCCAAGTGCTAGGCTAGTGTTACAGTTTTGCCAACTTTGTGCTATCCACACGCTTTCCCTCGTCATCCTGCTCCGCGACGCGCAGATCCGGCAGCCGCGCCGGCATGATGCGCCGGGGCTCACTATCCGGCACGACGTTGTACTTGCGAAAGTCCCTGACGCCGCAGTAATCGTGCAAAAAGTCCTCGTCCAGCAGCAGCTCCCCATTGACGTCCTCGGCGGGCGCGCGGACAATGGCGAGCATGGCGTCGGAAAAAATGGTTGGCTTGCGCAGGTCCCGGGCCTCGGCCGGGTCGAGCCTCGTGACGCGCTCCGTGGCGGCGGACTCGATGGCGACGGCGGGCCAGAGGCTGGTGATGGCGGTGCCGCGCGCGACGAGCCCCTGGCGGACAAAGTCCATGGCGAGGCCCTTTGTGAGGACGGACATGCCGACCTTGCCCATGGCGTAGGCAGTCTTGCCCCGGAAGAAGCGGCTGTAGATGGGAGGGGAAACGACGAGGATGCGGCCGCCAGAGGAGGAAGGGGCTTGGGTTAGGTGCGGTAGGGCGGCTTGGATGGTGGCGTAGAGACCTTCGGGGTTGACGCTTTGCATGAGCTTGAAGCGCTTGAGGGGCGTGTCTTGGACAGAGGCCCAGTAAATGGCGCCCGAGTTGTAAATGAGGACATCGAGGCGGCCGTATTTCTATATATAAAGGTTGATAATCCAGTTAGCCCGAGGTTGTGTAGTGAATTGGGTTGGAAGGAAGGAGGGGCGGGGGTGATTCCGCACAGCAATTGTCTGCGCGATGAGAGAATTGACGCTCTCCTCGGAGCGCACGTCGACTTGAATCGGGTGCGCCTCGCCGCAAGCCTGCCGAATCTCGTAGCTGACGGTGGTGATTGTGGACTCGTTGGACTTGGGATCCGGGATGGACGTGATTGGTTTCGAAGGGTCGCTGACCGTCTTGGCCGCGACGACGACTGTAAAAATAGATACATGTTAACATAAGTTCGCCATGCCAAGCCGTTATTTTCAATATCAACTATTCAGCTCTAATGTATGGTGGTGGTGGTGGTGGTGGTGTGCTGGGTGAGACATGCCTGCGTAGCCATGCGCTGCAAAGTCTACGGCGACTTGACGGCCTATGCCACGGGATGCGCCGACGACCAGTGCGACGGGTTTGCTAGAGGGGGCCATGGCGCAATTGTGGTATTGATTGGATTTATGTTTGTCTAAGATGAAGAATTGAAGTGTTTTGAGGTGTATAGAATTTTCAGTCTTTTTATTCCCGGCAAAAATAAAAGAAACCGAAGCGTAATATGGAGCCATATTGAAGCTTTTCGGATGACAATATCAAGCTCCGGGGAAAGTGGGGCTGCCCCCCGCAATCCCGGTGCCGAGGTTGTGACCCCACTGGAGCTTTCAAGCCTCGATTTCTGAATCTGATCTTGTGCTTTCAGGCCATTTTTGCTTTTTTGCCTGTGTTTCGATTTATTGGTGGACCGATTTTCCGCCTTTTCCAATCACTCACAGCAGCCCATTCCTCGCATCAGATCTTGCTTCCCACTCTCTTTCAACCAGGTCACATCAACTAGGAAAGCCCCCCCCCCCCCCCTTTCCTCGGCTGTTGTGCTATTGTCATCAATAGCCGACTGAAACCATCAAATAAGCGTGCCACAGCTCCTGCAATAGACGCAATTGCGCCATCGCACCCCCTCGAAATCTCCAACTTTCCCCCCTTTCTCACAGCCACATTTAAGCCGACAGAATGCCTAGCGCTAGAATTGACGTCTACCTCGACTTTGGTATGTTTTCGCAGCGGAGAATGGCGCGCGCTTGACGCTCTTGTTTAGGCGCCCGGGGAGGGACTAATTGTTTCTTCACGCACAGCGTCGTCGTTTAGCTATATTGCCTTTGCCGACTTGGAAGCCAACCGGGAGAAGCTCGCTGCCAATGGTGTCACTATCGAGTATGTTTCGTCTCTTCACTCCCCGCGACCGTTTGGAAGCTAACTTGCATCTCCAGATATCACCCCATCTTCCTCGGCGGCATCAACGTCGCTTCCGGTACAAAAAAAATCACCCCCTCATATTTCACTTTGACCCTGCCAGTTTCTCGTTGAATTCAATCAACGCCTAACATCATTCTCTCCGCACAGGAAACAAGCCGCCGTGGTCCCTACCCGCCAAGGCCGCATATCTCAGCTACGATACCCCGCGCGCCCTGCGCCGCGTCGGCCTCAGCCACTTGCAGACGCCCGACGACCTCATGGCCTTTGGCATGACGGTGCAGCCCCTGCGCGCCATCCACTACATCAGGGCGCACTACCCAAAGCCCGTCTTCCTAGCCGCCTTTCACTTCCTCATTGACCGCTTCTGGACGGCCCCCAACCGCAAGATTGGCGATGCGGACGTGCTGCGCCAAGTCCTCCTCGAGGCCACCGAGACCGTCTCCGGCGGCCCCAAGCTCTTCACGACGGCCCAGGTCGACGAGATCATGGACGGCCGCGCCGCTTTCAAGGACAGCCTCAAGAAGGAGACGGACGAGGCGCTGGCAAAGGGCGCGTTTGGCGCGCCGTGGATTTGGGTCACGAATGCCAAGGGCCAGGAGGAGCCCTTCTTTGGCAGCGATCGGTAAGTCAAATAGTAGCGTCTTTCGTGATTGGCGAGCGATGGGCTTGTGAGCTGACTCGAGATAGCTTCAACCACGTCTACGCGTTTCTTGAGATTCCTTTCCAAGATATAGCAGTTCTGGCTCCCAGCAAGCTGTGAATGGATGCGTGCATGGATGAGTGGAAAATTGACGATAATCACAAGGCGCCGAGAGTCTCAAATTCTGGGCCATTTGAAATAGCTTTCGGTCTTGTTTGTTGCCTCTGTACCTTTTGGATTAGGCATGACACAGGACCTCTTTCAGATTGCACTCCAACAGTGCGTCAACTCATCGACAGCCCTTGTTATCCGTCCGCATTCCGGGATATGTCTGTTTATCCGTCGCTGCATATGTACTTTTAAATATATCCAGGCATCCGCGAATCCACTCTTGTGCCTCCGCATCCGCCAGTTCATATGCTATCCTCATCGCATAGCCGATTCTGTATGGCCCTAGAGGCCCCTGACTAATGTCCTCGACCGATCGTAAGATTATATGGGCGTATTCCTTTTGTGATGTTGCGAATGGTTGTGTCCAGCCGAGCTGCTGCAGAAATTCTTGCAGCAGACACATGGTGGCGTGGTGCGACATTCGCAGAGTCGCCGCCCAGCGTGCTTCGTACCGCAAGATGACGGGGTACAGAGACTGCGGATCCCTTGAGGGTGCTTCTACCGGGTCTGGGAACAGATGTTTATATGTAGACCAGAATTCGGATATTCTTGCGTGACAAGCTGCCGCAAGCCTGCAGGTAGTGGCTGCCGCAACCGAGTCGATAGGAAGACCTTTCTTGGCAGCTTCCATGACGGTATAGCCGACCTTGACAACGGCAGGAATCTCTGCTAGTCTGTTATTGAATTCATCGACGGCTTCAATAGCTTCGTCGCTGAATTCGGGCCCTTGTAACAGATGGCGCCCCCTATCGCGCATCACAGAACGCCACTCTGGTCGCGTAAGGAAACAGGTGTCTGCTCTGGGAAAGAATAAGTCGCTCATGATCTGGTCTTGACGTTAGCTCGTTTACTTTTGGCATGCTGCAACGTGTTTCAGCAAGGTTTGGTTACTTACAAGAACTCCACGAAAGGAAAGAAGCATTGCAGCATCCCATCCTTCTTTATGTGCCATGGCGCCGCGTTGCTCCATCAAAATACCAATGCCTCGGGCGTGCTGTAACCACGAGTCAGCCGAGCTTGTACCTGCAAAGAGCTGAGAGATTGTCAGTATCCGGCATTAGGAAAACGGAGAAATGCACTCGTACCTCAAAGACACAAAGCAAGATGGCTGTGCACAGCGTTTCAGACGCCCTCCATTTGGTGGGGTGATGCAGTGCTTGCTGAAGATTATACAAGGACCGGCCATACATGGTCCGGCTGTATGCAACCATGTTCCCGTCTCTTGCATCTTTGCCAATCAAATGCATGGCGAGCGAGCACAGCGCTTCGTCGAGAATTGCGTACGATCCCACTGTCCCGAATCGCACCCAACTAAAGTAACCGCTCGCATCGCGCTCTTCAATTGCTGCGCGCGCCGTCTCAACCATGGTCGATATGAACTGGCCACGATTCGGTACAGGCTCCATGACGAAGGATGCTGGGCTGCATCTGCGCGAGCTGCTGCCATTCGCTGCAGCCACCGACAATGTTGGGTAGCATTGCGATTCTGATAGGTTCTGCTTTGTGCGTATTTTGTGCTTTACGCTTACAAATTTGAAGCTTTTCTCATAGCCTGGGCATTCGGCACCATATTTCATGCCTATTTGCATCCTTAATTAGCAAAGACTGGCGCGGCGTAAGAGGGGAACCGCAACGTACAATTGCCACATTGTGGCTTTAGTTGGTCACATTTAACACGTCTGTTGAGGCACAGTTGACAGCCGGTGCTACGAGGTACGCCGACCATTGTGGCCAGAGCTGAGCCATTGCATGCCGTGCTTGATCTTGAAATTCGACGATTTGATGTTGTGGTAGTGAAAAAATGTTAGGATGAAGTCGAGTCGTGCGGCTGAAAAGATGCTGTACGTATTCCTATCTCGGGGGAGTGGGGCTATTTACAGTGACAGAAAAATGAAGCTGCGTTCAAGTACAGGCGGAGACCATAATCGCAACTTTTAGCTTCATCTTCTGAGAAATACTGCCGGCTTCATCGCTGGCAAAATACGAGCTGGGCTATGAAAACGTATAAGAAAGCGCCTTTCTTTGCGCCGAAAGATCGACTTCCTACTCCCCTTCCACCTCCTAAAGTCATCGTATCCGCAGGAGTTGTTCTCCAAAAATATACAGGTCGTCGAGTCGTTCGTTTCGGCGACAGCTACATCATTGACTACGGCTTAAATGTCAGTCTCACTAAGGGCGAAAACATGTTGTTCCTCGAACAGACTCAAAAGATTTCCGTACCAGAAGTCTACGCCTTGTACTCAAAAGAAGATGACAAAGGAAACAGGGTGAATTATATCATCATGGAGTATGTCAAGGGCGAGAGTCTCGATGTATGCTGGCCTCTTCTGGACTCGTGCGAGAAGGATCAAATGATGATACGAGAGATCTGGTCATGAAATTATTCCCTATTTCCAAAAGGGCCCTGATCTTTCAACAAAAGGCAGCCTTCACATCGTTGCATTTACCAACAATCACCAATGGTAAATCTGATGGGCAAAGCGACACACCATCGAAAGTAGGCGGCTGGACAGCCAACGACAACTTGTTCGTTTAGCCATTAAAACACGCGTGTCTTTCTAGAGCCACGGCGGCCATCGGCTGACTTGGATCTCGTTCAATTGACACCGTTGCGCCCGAACTTTGCAGGCTCTATAAGCGGTAGGAACTAGTTGGAGCTGTCGCGGTTTAAAGCTAAAACTAGCGGAGGAACTAGAAAACGGCCGGATCATGAGGCGTGGGCTAAGTGCCCAGGGGTCAATTGCAAGACGTTGACAAACTGAATGGTATCGTAAACAAGTAAAAAAGAGCAGGCGCCTTCCCCCCCGTAAACCCAAGCTAACGCTGACACAAAAAAAAAAAAGAACCCAAGTTCCTGACCAGGATACAATGTATGCTAAACAATGAAGTAAAGAATAAAATAAAACATAAAATGTCGATGCCGCATCTTAGTCCTTCTTCTTGTTGAAAACAGAGCGAGCCAGGTCTGTCAGAGACGGGCCGCCGAAAAGCAGCTGGTCGGTATGGCGGCCGCAGGTGGTGTGGACGTTGACCCTGGGCGCGGGTTTGACCGAGGGCTTGAGCCAGGAGGCTACGCGCTTGGTGGTGGACGAGGCGGAGGAGGCAGTTGTGGTGGACGAGGCGATTGTGCTCGGGTATGACAGGGTGCGCTTCTAAAAAAAAAAGGAGGGCGGTTAGCAAGAAAGCATGGTGAATGGCGAAAAAAGCGAAAGTGGTGGTGTTTGCGACGTACATCATGGGTCAGAGGCGGTGGTGCGTGAAAGTCGTAGTAGCCCGGACGACCGCGGGTTTCCTCCTCGTCGAGGCGGTGATTGGAATTTGACGAGTCTGCCATTTTGATATGTGTATAATTTTTTTGAGGTAATTATCTTTCACGACGAGGTCCGACGTATATGGTAGGCGAGATTGTGTTGTTGTCGTGATCCGTCTGCGCTGAGTGTCTGTCTGGCTAGCTGGCTCAGGCGTGCTGCCGTTTGCGGCGCGATGGCGAGGTCCAAGGGCAGCAGCGTAAAAGGGCGTGAAGGGAGGATTGACGATGGGAGCAGAGAAGACGATGGTGGATGCAGCAGAAACGAGAGACGTGGATAACAAGTAATTAGTCGGAAAAAAAGAAAGAGATTGAGGAAACGAGATGGAGCCAAGAGATGTGCAGGCAGCTAGGTTTAAAAAAGAAGTAAAATAAAAGAAAAGAAAAGAGAGAAGGTCTTGTCCTCGTGTTGTATGGTTGGCCGATGACTCGGCTTTCCTTGGCTGGCATGGTCCTGTCGTGTCCAACAATTGTGGTGACGAGGCGCCGCCGCCCGAGCGCCCGCCCCAGGAAGCTTGGCCCCGGTAGGGCTTCCCCACCGTGACAACAACGCCTAGGAAGCGCATGAGGGGATTTATTTTGGATCTTTTTTTGGGGGCAGGTTTCTGCACCTCTGTATCCGTACCTAGTTAACACTACTGCTAGTTAACTACCTTATCTGGCTGTTCATTATCTGCAGCTCCCTCGCGTACACCGGAAAAAAAGCGGGGGCCAGCTGTGCATCGGATGAGCATGATCATTGAGCATGAGCATGATGCGCGACCCTGCCAGCGCATCCAGATTTGGGCACATACTCGCACTGCGTCGCTCCTTCATGTCCACCCTTTGCTGATCACTGGTTTTACTCGCCATCCTATTTCGCCTGGCCGTTGCCCCTTGATGCAAGTCGTGATTGATTTGAGCCAGTCAGAGATGGATAATTATTGGAATCAAGTCTGCGATGCGCAAACGGGGGCGGCCCCACTGGGCATACGTACCCCCCAACGGGCTGCCATGATTGGATCAAAACGGGGGCCGTTGTACAACTTTTGTGCATTGGTAGCCGTTACTGACTCACTGACTCACTTGACAATTTACATACAACTGCACAAACTGGTGAGGCGAGCAAGCGAGCCAGCTGGAGTGAGCTGTCTTGGTCGCTTCCGCGGGCATTTGCCGAGCCGCTACGCAAGCAGGGGGTCACAAAATAAACACTAATAATAGCATTTACAAATGTATAATAAAATGGAATATGGCAAAAACAAACAACTACAACAATTTCAAACAGTAAAAGTTTTTTTAAAAAAAAGAAAGGATTTAAAGAATAAGTAATACGAAAGAAAGAAAAAATCACCTCTTACATCACCACGGCAAGCACCCGAGCGAGGCCCATCGTAACCAGGACCCCTCTCTACCAGTACCAAGGCAACCGTTTTAAGCTTTATTCAGGCATCCAATCACACAAGCCATAAGACGACGAGCTCGTTGACGATCAAGGGGGGACCGGGGGGTCCAAACTCTTTCCAGTTCCAACTCGCAGCCGGCGTGGCTTACTTATTTAGGTGCAAGTAGTATTTCAGACTAGCATCAGTAGCAGAACGTTGTTTTCTCCCTCACCGCTGCGCAGAAAAAAACGCCATCCACGCGTGTCTCAATAAATCAAGAATAAAGAAAAGTAAAAAAAAATACTCACCGGTTCGATGCAACGCCGCTACTTGGAAATATCCGTTCTTTCCCCAAAAGCCTTGTGGGTGGTGGCGCCCCCGAGACCACAATTGCCCATGCCCATGCCATGACCCATCACCACAAAAAAAGCTGACAGATCGCCCATGCAGCTAGCCCAGCGACCACACTCCATCCGCAGTTGCGTCTCTTTATGGTTCTTGACAAGTGTCCTTGGATGGTGTGCTCAAAGTGGCGGGGGGAAAAGCCTAGCACGGCAAAGAGAGCGAGCCTTATTATATACGAAGTAATAGTAACATGTAGATCAATGTATTGCTGATCTGTCGTGTCGCCAGTCAACATCAACCATGATACAAGTAGTCAGAATTGTCTTGGATCTATTCGGTCTGGATCGTCCTTTTCGGAGTCGGCGAGTTGAGGGAAGTGAATCAGCACTGAAAACTCATCAAGGGTTGAATGAGCTGCCAAGGCAAGCAAGCATGTTAATGACCAAAGGAGCCAGTTGCGACTCGAATAGACGAGAGCGATGAATTGGTTATAGAGATAATAAAATACTTTTTTGTCTTATTTTTTTACCATTTGTTTTTTCCTGCTTCACTCCGTCTTCGTAGTGTCCATCTTTATGCGCAAAATAGATTTTCACAACTACGGTGCACACAACGGCCTTGCTTTCTGCTCCCCGCTAGCCAGTCAGCCTAGCCAAACGCCTTGCCAATCCTACCATCGGAGCCCAAAAGTGAGCAGCGAGAGACGCGGCAGCCTCGTTCCATTTTCTGGGCAGGATACTATTATTCATCTTATTATAGTACAAGTCATGCTATCCTGCTGCGCACAACATCATCTTATACTCTCGTCTATATCTATATGTGTTTGACTTCTCCGAGCTATTTCTCTGTGAAGGAAGAAAATTCTGGTTCATGTCTTGTGTTGTCGTCGATGGTGTAGTCACCACACGTCCCACTTGGTCGCGCGTAGAATCGCCCCGTTAACATAGTCACATCTCTGGCATCCTGGAATACGGAACGAAGCCAAGCATCAAACTCGTAAAAACATGCAGCCTCTTGAATTGACCTTGGTCGTGGCCGCGACGCGCAGCATGTGTATCGGTGCCGGCGGCACCATGCCGTGGAAGGGCCTGCGCAACGAGATGAAGTATTTTGCGCGAGTCACCACGCAAGTTCCATCTCACGTACGTTCTCGAAACAAAGCTCTGTCCGCAATTCCGGCCGCCGCCGCCTCCTCCTCCTTCTCGTCCATCCAATTCTTCCGTTCTAACCTAGGTGGATAAACAGTGCCCCCCTGGCGCCGTCAACGCCGTCATCATGGGCCGCAAAACCTGGGACTCGATCCCGCCCAAGTTCCGGCCGCTCAAGGACCGTCTCAACATCGTCATCAGCCGCTCCGCCACCTCGCCGCCGCCGCCGCCGTCGCCATCGCCGCCCAGCCTTGAAGAGCCCGTGCGCGTGTCGTCGGTTGAAGGCGCACTGGAATACGCGCGCGCGCACGGCGGCGGCGGGCGCGTCTTCGTCATTGGCGGCGGCCAAATCTACGCGGCGGTGCTGCGGCGGCCCGAGGCGCGTCGCGTGCTGCTCACCAGCATCGACGCCGAGTACGACTGTGATACCTTCTTCCCAATCAAGCTGGGGACCGACGAAGGCACCGAGCCAGGATGGACGAGGAGGTCGGACGAGGAGTGGAAGGCCTGGACAGGCGAGGAGACGGAGAATGGGCGCAGAGAAGAGGCGGGCATCAAGTACGAGTTTCAAATGTGGGAGAGAGAATAAGATTCGCAGCTGGCTGCGTCGAGTTTGAAAACACCGATAATACTAATTACTACTAGCTTGAGGTGCAGAAATATGATTTCATTAAAAGAGGTTGTGACGGTCTCTATGTGGTCGCGATACCAAGCTTCGCGCTATGATGTACATGGAATTTATATGCCATCCTCCTCTTCGTCCTCGTCAATAGAAATACAGTGGTGCCCACATTTATGCCAGTCGCCATGCCTGCCGTATCAGCTTCTTAACGTTACATTGTCCCTTCTCCTCTTGAACTCTTCACGCAGTTGCCGGTCCTCTACAGAGCAGCGGCAGCCTTGGCCTTGGTCTGCTGCGGCCTCTGCGCATTGTCGCCCTGGTCGCTCAGAAACGGCGCCTCGAGCCTCGTCCAAAACACATCGACCGGTTTCTCCAAAATCTCAGCCGCCTGCTGCGGAAACGTCATGTCCGAGGTGCCCTCGAGCGCCGACAGGCTCGAGCGTATCCAGCCGACAATGGCGACGAGCGCGCGGGGGTCGGCGTCCGGGTCGCCCTTGAACAGGTTGCGCCAGACGGCGCTCGCAAGGATAGCGTCGCCCTTGACGAGCCCCTCGTCGTAAGCGAGGAGCAGGCCGCGCCACTGGACAAAGATGTCCTTGAGATAGCGCTGGCGCAGCGCGCTCGAGGTGATGTTGTGGTCGAGGTGCATCTTCTTCTCGCACTCAAAGAAGAAGTGGTCAATCATCTGCTGCGACCAGTTTCGGTACTCGTCGCGTTCGAAGCAGCGCAGGCGCGCGTTAATCAGGTACAGGTGCAGCATGGTGACGTGCGACCACGTGCTGAACGACGGTTGCAGGCCCAACGCTAGGGACAAGGGTTAGCTGGGTTTCTCGCTGGTTGCGGCCAGAGGGACTAAAGGGGCGGGATGCAGGAAAGCTTACTCTTGTTCCATACGTTGTCGGGGTCGTTGGCCTTGCCAATCTCCTCGCCGTCGTCGCGCTTCTGGACGAGATCCTGTTTGCGCTCTTCGTCTGTGATGCGGTAGTCGGCTGGCTTGGCGCAGACTTTGAACAAGCGCTCCGAGGCGCCGACGACGCGGTACGAGTCCCGGAGGCCGAGAATGCGGCGTGGTAATGAGCTGCTGAAGCTCCGCACTGATGGTGTTGTTGTTATTGTCGTCGTCATCGTCGCTTGTCTCGTGGCGGCGGCGGCGGCGGCGGCTGTGGCGACTTTTTGCGCGGCAGGAGAAGGAGCGGCGACGCCGTTGCGGAGGGCTGAGCGCAGCATACTCCTTGTCTGTGAGCGGCACGTCTGACAGGCCATGATTTTGATTATCGCGATTATCAGTGAATTGGCTTGTAATGGGCTGGATAGCCGCTGCGTGGTGACTTTGCGCGCCCAAGAAGGGAGTTGTCGAATTCGATGATGCAAGGAAATTGGCCCAAAAAAAAGTTGCCGGCTGAATGTCGGTGGGACGGATCGGCTCATTTTGGTGGAGATTGTGTAAGTCGCCAGGGCGGGAAGTGGAATTTATGCATGAATTCAGCGAAAAAATAGATATCAAACTGTGAGTAGATGAAAATTAAAGTTATATGTTCGTGCTTTAATCTATCAGATTGAAGAAGAAAATTAAGAAGCAAAAAGAATCATTTCGCTGTAAATTAGTTGGTACTCGGTGGACCTAAGGAATTGCCGTAGTGAGGTCGCGCTTGAGAGCTAAAGAAAGTTCTCCCAAGAACGTTGAAAATTGACCCTTTTCTTACTTGATGATTCTTTTCATCATCTCGCATCTTTCTAACATCTTCCAAACACCAGCGAGCTATTGGTGCCCCCAAAGCCGAAACTGTTACTCATGGCCACACTGATAGCCTTATCCTTGGCCCTCTGTGGGACAAAGTCAAAGTCTGCACCAACATTGGGGGATTCCAAGTTCAATGTCCCCGGAACAATACCTTCGTGGATTGCCAGTATCGTAAAAATGGCTTCGATGGCGCCAGCCGCGCCTAGCAAATGCCCCATGGCGCCCTTTGTGCTGCTAACGGTGACTTGTCCTTGGGACGATACGCCCTCCTCCCCCATCATGATTCGTCGTATGGCCATAGTTTCAGCCACGTCGCCGACCTCGGTACTCGTAGCGTGCGCGTTGATGTAGCCCACCTGCGCGGGCTTGACCTGGGCGTTGCGCAGCGCCCTCTTCATGGCCAGAAACGCGCCCTGGCCGTCTTCGCGCGGTGCCGTCATGTGATGCGCGTCGCCGCTGCAGCCGTAGCCCTTGACCTCGGCGTAGATGCGGGCGCCGCGGGCCTTGGCGTGGGATAGCTCTTCCAGGACGCAGACGGCGGCGCCTTCGGCGACGACGAAGCCGTCGCGGCCGGCGTCGAATGGGCGGCAGCTGGATTCCGGCCGGTCGTTGTAGGCCGTGGCGAGGGAGCGGGCGCGCCCGAAGCCGGCAAACGTCAGGGGGTGGATGCAGGACTCGGAGCCGCCGGCGACCATGACGTTGGCGTCGCCGAGCGCAATGAATCGGGACGCGTCGCCAATCGAGTGCGCGCCGGTGGTGCAGGCTGTGGTGGCGGCGTGGTTGGGGCCTTGAAAGCCATACTTGATGGCGATGTGGCCTGCTGCCATGTTTGTGAGAATCTTGGGCACAAAGAGCGGTGACACCTTTTTATATCCCTGAATGGTATCAGCACGGGCTATCCCAATTCAAGGGGTATCATGATGCTCAACTCACACCCTTGTGGTGCTCCAGACTTGTCGTGTATATATCGTGCAGATTTCCTATTCCGCTTCCCAAGCAGACACCAGTGTCTTCCTTTTCCGACTCAGTAGCCGCCTCCCATTCGGCGTCTTTGAGCGCCATGTCAGCGGCGGCCATGGCGTACTGAGTGAAGAGCGACATGCGGCGCTGCTCGGCGGCGGTGAGCCAGTCATTGGCATCCCAGCCTCCCTTTGCGATGCCGCCGAGCGGCACAATGCCGGCGACGGTGCTTGTCAGCTCCTGCCAGCGCTCCTTGGGCTCGCGACGGGCGACGCTGGTGATGCCGCAGTCGCCGGCGAGAAGGCGGTTCCACGTGCGTCGGGCGCCGACTCCTAGCGGCGTGACGGCGCCGAGGCCAGTCACGACGACTCGTCGCATTATGATTCCATGTCCTGGAGGTGAGTTTCGGGCGGTGAATTGTGAGGTTTCAAGGGGGCCGTGGCGTAGGTGCAAGCTGTGTGAGGATGTGATGGGACGAGGTTTAGAGTGAGAGCTGGCAAAAGCTCAACGGTTTCGGTGAAGCGCTGTAAGTTGCACCTAAATCGTGAGGCAGCAGTCTCCCCACAGCGGGCGGGAGCGCTAGAAGCATGCAGGTGCGCAAATGCCGCCTACAGCCACTGTAAGCGCGCTGAATTACAGTGGTGCTTGTGCGGATCACCCTGAAATGAGTAATGAGTGCGGATAGGCACACCTGGGTTATGGTTAGATGAGCGTGATGATATTGTCGGTGATACGGATAAAATCCAATTGAATCGACATGTTTAACATGTTGCGTATTTTTCTTGTTCTTGAATACTGTAAGGTAGTCTAAGCGCTGCAGCAGTCCCAAACGACAGCTGTGCTAGGTACCTTGGCTTGTCAACTAACAGGTACCTAAATTTAGGTAACGCCGCCCCAGCTCCTCGATTCCTGCCTGTCCCGCTAGTTACTAAGGTAGTTACGGTTTCATGCTTCAAACACCCGAGACAGATCGCCAATCATGACTCGATTGATACGTAGCCTCAGCCTCAGCCATTGACGCTGCTCAGCCCCCAGATTCGAGTCTTGTCCAGTCAATCAACCTCATTGATTCACTTGGCTTCCTTTTTTTTGCTAACGGTTCTTCTCACACCAGCTTTGAACGTAAGCTAGTTAGGGAGTTACGCTGGAAGCTTCGCAATCCCCCCCCCGGACACGCGGCCAGCCGTTTCATCAACAGCCTCCCATCTCCTCCCATCCTCAGCGACCTCGTAATCTCGCGAGGCCATGGGCGATAGAAGGCACGATGGCGCATCCATTCAGGCGCAAACTAGCGGCAGAGATCAAGACATTGGCGCCACGGAGCGCAGCACACCCCGACACTCGTCGCAGCTGAGCCGGCCTCACAACGTTGATGAAGGCGACGATGACGACGACTTTGGCACATGGTCCGACTTTGACGCCGCCGCCGCCGATGATGACGACGCCGGCCACGTCCCGGAGCACGGTCGCCTGCTGGATCCCGACCACGCCGCCGAGGCGTTTGAGCTCGGCGAGCGCGTGTCGTCGTCGTCCCTCGACAGCGGCGGCGGCGGCGGCGGCGCCTCCGGCTTCAAGGACCCCGAGGCCGAAGACTCGCCGTACGCCGAAGTCCGCGCCGCCGTGCGCAACTACGACGAGGACGTCCCCGCCAACACGGTCCGCGCGTGGACCATTGGCCTCACCCTCACCGTCATTGGCGCGTCCATGAACACGCTCTTTTCGCTGCGTCAGCCCTCCATCTCCATCGGCCCGCTGGTCGCCCAGATTGTCGCGTACCCCCTCGGCCACGCCTGGGCCCGGCTGATGCCCGCGCGCGAGTTCCGTACCTGCGGCTTGCGCTGGAGCCTGAACCCGGGACCGTTCAACATCAAGGAGCACGCCGTCATTACCGTCATGGCCAGCGTGTCGTTTAGCGTGGCGTACTCGACCGACGTGATCCTCGCGCAGCTCGTCTTTTACAAGCAGGACTTTGGTATCCTGTTCCAGCTGCTGCTGACCATTTCGACGCAGTCGTTGGGGTACGGCATAGCCGGCGTCATGCGCAAATTCTTGGGTGAGCAGAACAGCCCTTGCCTGCACCCGTCCGTGTGTTCTGTCAGCGTTGGAATGGAATTCTCGGTCGTTTGCTAACCAGTTGCTTTTTTTTCTCTTTTTTTTTTAGTATACCCCGCGTCCATGATTTGGCCGGAGAATCTCGTCAGCGTCACTCTGCTCAATGCCATGTACGAGCAAAGCAGCGCGCCAGATCACAAAATTCTCGGAGGCTCCATGCCCAGACTAAGGTGGTTCGCTCTCGTATCTGTCGCCTCCTTCTTCTACTTCTTCATCCCCGGCTTCTTTGCCCGCTTCCTCAGCGTCTTTGCGTTTCCCACGTGGCTTGCGCCGGACAATGCCGTTGTGAACCAGCTCTTTGGCGGCGTGACTGGCCTGTCCCTGTTGCCCATTACCTTTGACTGGACTCAAGTTGCCGGCTTCATTGGCTCGCCCCTCATTCCACCTTGGTAAGTCTCTTTTTTTTTCCCCGTGTCGCCAGACAGAAGACGCCGGCGGGGGCACTAAAACTCCAATCATAGGCACGCAATCGCCAACACGCTCCTCGGCGTCGTCCTCTTCTTCATCTTCCTTTCCTCTGTGTTGCACTACACCGGCGCCTGGTACTCGTTTTACCTGCCCATGAGCGACGCCGGCACCTACGACAACCGCGGCAAAGCGTACAACACGACAAAGATTCTCACGCCGCAATTCACCCTCGATGTGCAGGCCTACAAGGACTACTCGCCTCTCTTCATCAGCACCACCTTTGCCGTGGCCTATGGCTTGTCATTTGCGTCCATCTCGGCGCTGCTTGTACACACCTGGATCCACAGCCGCAAGACCATCTGGAAGCAATACCGCAATAGTACAACCGAAAAGCCGGATATCCACATGAAGCTGATGCGTAAATATCCCGAGGCGCCAGACTGGTGGTACTTGTCCCTGTTTTTACTCGTAAGTTCAGTCATGGGATCGAGGTGCAATTCATATATACTCATTCTTCTCTAGATGCTCGCCCTCGGTCTTTACACGGTTGTCGCATATCCCACAAACTTTGCCTGGTGGGCTTTTCTCTTGGCCATTTTTGTTTCTTATGCATTTTCTTTGCCGATTGGCATCATCCAGGCCATTACCAATACACAAATCGGCCTCAATGTCTTGACCGAGTTTATTTACGGCTACATCCAGCCCGGCCGTCCTCTTGGTCTAATGCTGTAACTATGTCGCCCAACTTATTACGCGCCTCTCGTCGTCCTCTTACTAACGGAACCCTCGCAGCTTCAAGACATTTGGCTACATTACGATGCAAGTACTTTGTCTGTTGATACAATGTAAAGTTCAAACCAAGCTAACTGTCATGACAGGTCCCAGTCTCTCGGATTCATTGCCGATCTCAAATTCGGTCATTACATGAAGGTGCCTCCGCGCACCATGTTCATGGCCCAGGTTGTCGCCACCACCGTATCCTGCTTTGTTCAAATTACCGTCCTCAATCTTGCTCTCGTCAGCATTGACAATGTCTGCGACATTCGCCAGCGCGACCGCTTCACATGTCCCGGCGGACGAGTCTTCTTCTCCGGTAATTAGTAACCCCCCTTCGCCCATCTTCCCTCTCACATCGAGTTTTACTCTAACCGTTAGGCACCCCAGCTTCCATCATTTGGGGCCTTATTGGCCCTGCGCGCATGTTCTCGCCCGGGCGCATCTACTCGGGCCTCTTTTCCTTCTTCGTCCTCGGCGCCCTCTCGCCCGTCGCCATCTACCTCTGGACCAGGCGCTGGCCGCGCTCGCCCGCGCAGTACCTGATGGCGCCCGTCATCTTTGGCGGCGCCGGCAGCATCCCGCCCGCCACGCCGCTAAACTACTTTTCCTGGGGCGTCGTCGGCTTCGTCTTCCAGTGCTGGATCAAGCGGCGCCACTTTGCCTGGTGGTCGCGCCTCAACTTTCTCACCTCGTGCGGCCTGGACCTCGGCCTGGCCTTTGGCACGCTCGTGCTCTTCTTTGCCTTTACGCTGCGCAACGTCGAGGCGCCGCAGTGGTGGGGCAATTCGATTGTCGAGAAGACGATGGATTTCCGGGGGACGGCGATTCAGGTCGTCCTGCCAGAGGGGCAGACCTTTGGTCCTCCAACCTGGTGAGAGAGAACTGCTATTTACAAATGGTTTTGGTAAAAAGTATTTGTCTGGGAACGGTCGTTTTTTTTTTTTTTTTTTTTTTTTTTGGACATGTGCGAAATCAAGAGGCGTGGAAAGTTCAACTGTACATATAGAGACGATTGCTTGAAAGTATCTGCATTTTTCCCTTTTTCATCTGTACAAATAAATTCATTACTTGAAAATATTTTCATGCTTCTCTTTTTCTTGAGCCGGCATGTATATAAATAAAAGTGAATGAATGTCCAAAGACAAACTTTTCCCAACCAGATTCCCATGACAATGCTGTTGCTTCTTAAGATGGAGAACTGTTTTCATTAACATTAAGATAGATATAATTGCTGCCCCGTATACGCCGTGTAGTCCTGCGTCACCTGCATAGCGTCACCGTCGTATCCGTCCTGTTGTACCGCAAAGGAATAGCACCCGGCGTCGCTCCCGCAGCGGGGCAGGTTGATGCTCGGAATTGGCCCGCTGCTCCATGCCGTCGCCGTCGTCGTCGTCAGCGGGGTGACGCCGGCGCTCGCCGCCACCGACTCCATGTAGTCCGGGGAGGGCATCGACTGGACCGAGTAGCGGCGGCCGTCCGAGTCGCAGTACGTCGAGTCGGCGCAGGCCGCCGCAAAGTCGTGCAGCGGAAAGATGGGGCTCGTCCTGTTGTCGCCGTGCACGTCGTAGCCGGCGTACGGAGGGAGCATGTCCAGGTACGCGGGCCGGCCCATCGGCAGCGACCGCCGCTTTCGGTCTTCGACGAGCCGGCGCAGGGCATGGAGGCTGCTGAGCTCGCTCTCCTCGGTCGGGTTGCGCGCACTCCGAATGTCCAAAATCTCGAATGCGCGCGCAATGATGGCTTCCGAATTGGGGTACTCGAAAAAATCAAAGAATCGGTTCGTCAAAATGACCAGGAGGGCCGTAAACAGACAAGGTCTGGGCAGCGAGAATGTTAGCGTCCCTTTTTTTTTGGCTCGCTCACTCGCGCAGTTGAACAAATACTCACCGCCACATGTAATCGTTTTGAAAATGTCGACACTGGTTCAGTGCTTCCGAGATGCGCTCAACTGCCTGGTGGGCGATGACGATGCACGTCTCTGAAAGGTACTTCCACGTCGTGTCTGAGCGCTCAAAGTACTTCGTCTTTGACAACTGCGACAGTTCTTGAATCAAAAAGGGCCTCGATAGAACCATGGCTGTGTAGTGTCGAAAAAGTACAGCATGTTGAGTGGCCAGGTGATCGACGCCGTCTTGATTCCCAAGGTAGGCGAGGTTCGGAGGCGCGTACAGCTGGGCCTGCTGCAGCATCGAAGACGCCTTCTCGGCCGGAAAGTGCCTTTGATTATAGACGAGCTTGAGGGCCTTTCGAATCGTCTTGGCGGAAGCCACGTTGAACTCGAGACATCCGTCACGGCCCACGGGACTCGACGGCGAGCAGTCGGCCGGCACGGTGGGTTTGGTCTTGTCTTCTTTGAGGGTGTGCGGTTGCCGCCCAAGAAGCGCAGCGACTACCGAGTCAAGAACATAGAGACACTTCCAGAGCTTGGCGTGTAGAGCGTTTGCCTTGCCGTCGGCCGGAGCACGCGACGTGGCTCCTGGCGGGTGGTTGATGCCAAGCACATCCGCAGCTCTGACGGCGAGTCCTAGAACAAGTTAGCTGAAGAGAATCAAATATTCCACGAAAATTTCTCACCTATATAGACGTCGGCAGCATTCAATTTGGAAGCAGCCAGGGAGTAGACCGTCATGAGTGCCCAGGCTTGTATCATCCAGACTTCATAGTTTTCGTAGCCTCCGAAGCGCATCAGAGTCGCTTCCGCAAACTCAAAGTATTCTTCTGATTTTACAGCTGTTTCTACGCTGCAAGGAACCGGGTTCGAATAGTCTGGGTTCTTCTGCGCTTCGAGTATGACAGACCCTGCAGCGAAGAGCAGGTACAGCAAGCATAGGCTGCCTGGTTCTTGTTCGTGGGGCTTGGAGTAGCAAGTCTGAAGCAGCTCCTTTATTGTGGATTCGTCCAATAGCTCTACCAAGTGGTTGCTCTAAAAGTCACGTTAGCACTCGGAAACATGGGGGGAAGGAGAGACCGTACGTATTGGCCGGCTAGCTTCACGAGATGCTCTGCCATGACCCGATCAGGCAGGGCCACTGCCTTGGGAAGCATCTGCGGACGTGCATTGCTCCCTAGCTTTGTAAGATTGTCATGGCTCTGCGTGAAGATACACGGCCCAGACAACGGTAGAACTAGCTTCTTGACCTCGGCGATGAAGCTAGCAGACGACGAACCACCTACGCAGGATTTTATCCGGTCAGCTTATTTTTTTTTTATGTCGAGATGGCGGAGGTTTCTTTACATACAGATATAAATAGAACTTTGGCTAGAGACTCTTGTAGCAGCAGCAGAAGATTCACACCTGTCCAGCGGGACATCCGGCGCATTACTCCATTCCGACATTGCCGACGGAGACTCATACGATCCGTGGTGAAGAAAATTACCACCTAGCGGCGAGCGCAAAGGAGGAGAGTTTCCGGATTCCAGCTTGGCATTTTGCAATGAGAAAGGACTGGATAAGCCTTTGGAAGATGGTAAAATGCCACCATCCTGCTTGGGCATACGAGTAACACTTTTCCGCTTCCTCAACGGATCATATGTACACATGTGCCCACGCTTCTCACAACCCGAGCAAGGCAGTTGGCCATCGCACTGCAGAAGAGGTGTCAAAATGGTTTTGCCTGTATGCTGCGCAGTGACTTTTGTTTTTCTCTTGGTCTCGTACCTTTTGCTTGCGAGTTTGGCAACCTTTGCATGCTTGTCCGATTCGCTTTCGCTGCTCGTCTAGAACCTTGGAGCGTGTCATTGTTGAAGACGTGCTAAAGATGTGCTAGAGAGCGGGTGATTGTAGTACGATGGGATTGTTCAAACGAGTGGAGGGGTATTTCAAGTGGAAACGACTGAACTTTTCCGAGAGGGGACGCACGATAAGGTATAAGAGGCTGGACGGGCGGTTGCACGAGAATGGGGAGGGTCTGACGATTGATCATCTGTGGGACGTAGTGACATTTATTAAAGCCGTCCCATTTATTTATAACTGAGGTTTGACAAGGCGCCTCCAAATTGCCCTTGTAACCTGGTAAGTAGACACACCATCTTTTTTGAACGCTGTTGAGAATTCATGTCCATCTACGAATACAAAGAGAGGGGCAGACCTCATTACCAACAAGCCACCGTGTTAGCTCACGCCCAATCCAGCTTTCTTGAAACGAGAAAACTAACTAGAGACGCTTCAACGTCGTTTACAGCCGCCTAGAGCTAATGGCACCCCTCCCCGTTTTGCAAGACGCTGCCAGTATTGAGTTAGCGTGGAGAGGAGCAGACCGGTGAGTGAGTTAGTCGAGGCCTGATAAATACGAACTCTTGTGTGACGGCATGACGCCCTGAGACCTGTATGTTGGGCCAAAAGCCACCAGAGAGGAAATTTGGGTGTAGTCAAGTGGCATATCAGTACAATGACGACAGGGGGAGGGGGGAGGGGGGGCACCGAATACTGAGCCGCCAAGTTGAGTGCATCTGGTTATAAAAATAGCCAAAAAAGAATAGTGAGAAGTACTTGATGCAGCCAATGTGACCCCAGACAAGCAAGGGATCTGCGCGACAGGAGGGCTTGCCTGCCGGCTCAGAGCAAGCTACAGCCCCGGGCACATCTGATTCTGATGAAGGTTGCTAGCCAGGTACCCATGCAAGATTCTCGGCTGCATTTCCATCCGAAGCGCCCAAAAAGGACGACGGCAATGGTGTGTGGGTTGAACTTGGCACCCTTGCCTTGCCTTGCCTTGCCTTGCCTTGCCTTGCCTTGCCTTGCCTTGCCTTGCCTTTGCCTGCTTTGCTTTGGTTGGCACTGGATGGCACTGGTTGGGTGGTGAGGGTGGCACTTTTTAGCACAACGGCCGTTTCTGTTTCATGAGCGCAGCGATTCCGCAGCACTTCGTCTCAGCCAGCCGGGTGTCGGGAGCATGGCTACCAATCCGCGGCGCCCAAGAGCTGTTGGAACACGACGTGCATATTTGTGGCGGTAGCCAGATGAATCCAATGGCAACCACGAAGGGAAAGGGCTGAGACTTTGACCCTTGTCGCAATCTAGCAAGCATTGACGCACGCAAGCATCATGGCCCTCGTTGTGTCGATTTAAATGCCTTGAACGTCCCCGTCGAAAGCTGGCGCCTGTCCATCTCCCCCCCTCCTCCCCCCCTTCCCCCCCTTCTTCCCCCCAATCGCGGCGTTCTGCTTCGTGACCTGTTTGACCCAAGGATGCAGACAGCAAAACTCGGTCGGGCATCGTTGCCTGCCCTGGTGTATCGTTGCCCCAAGCCCAAGACCGATCTAAGAGGCCGGCGCGCGCACCAAGAGGCGTCTTTCTTTGGAACATGGCGTTGGCCAGCCCTAATATACAACTCCAAGCAAGGGCAGCTGCCAGCGAGCAAAGGCCCAAAAGAGGCTGTCCGGATTGAGCTCTTCTCCTGACTTTATTGGAACATGGTCACCTCCCTTTCATCGCGCCACACGCACCCTGCGCGCCCTCCGCAGCGCGCGGGCGCCAACATTACATACCCTGCTCTTCTTGCTGGATTCGAGTGCAGAGATCCATTCGCAGAGCATGGCGGCATTGACTCTTGTCCCAGATCAAAGGCAGCGTGGCCCGATGAGTGACGATGAGGACGCGCGAGATGATCGGCAGGATCAAGGGCTCCGCCAACATCAGACGACGAAACATGAATTTCTTGGGGGAAAAAAATGACTGAAAAACCACGAGACTGCATATGCTCTCACGCCATCTCCCCGCATGCCCGGTTCCCCGGCAAGTGGACAAAGAGAAGCGACCAATGGCCCGTCTTCTATCGAGAGAGCGCGAGCCAGAGCAGGCCAATAATCTCTGCCTCTTGCCATTTCGGCCTGCAGCTCTGCCACTAATGCAACTTGGGACAGTATTTAGAGAAAAGAGACAACACAGGGTGTCGCTCCACTGGTCTACTCCAGTATTGCGTGACACAAAGGATAGACTTGCGGTGTTGCCGTCTCTGAATCGCTGTTCGTCCTGCAGAAATGTAATACTGAGGACGGAGAACATAGCACGTACTGATACTGGCCATGGAGGAGAGTTGAAAGACAAGCAAGCATCTGTGTGACGGGCACACGAGAGAGGCTGTTGCCAAGGCTGTCGTAGAATTCCAAAACAAGTAAGAATGCCTGCCGATCCGCCCTCGCTCTCACCCTCTTGTTCCCATCTTTTTTTTTCGTCTGTCTCAGACCGTCTGGGAGTCCTCGATGTCAATGCCCAACAGGCTAGGTCGCCGGCCGGCCGATGAACGGCTTCGTGAGACGGTTTTTGAACAATGAGCCAGGCCCTGGACAGCGTTTCCAAGCGGGCGGTACTCGCCAAGAACCAATATTTTTCTACGGATTAGGCAGGCAGGCAACAAATCAAGGTTTTAGACCACCTAGTGAATATCGTTTGACGCCTGTCGATTCACTCATTTTGGTTCTTTATCAGTACTGAAATCATCTTGCGTCAAACATGGCCATGGCGTGTTTCTCCATCACGCACAAAAGCTGGCACTGCTGGCTGTCGGCTGAACCATTCAACACTTCCAGATGCTTGCATCTCTCGTGTTTCCACCCATTCTTGGGAATCTGATGGAGACGAGAACCCAGGTGTACCAGGGTTTGACTGAGATTATGGTGCATGCATCCATGTCACCACATGTGTAACATGGGGAGAAACCAGTCTTGTCCTCAACGGCTGAGCAATGTGTGCTCAGCTAGCCACACCGGTCGAGACCTTTTTCTTTTTCTTTCTTGCTCAAGCATCTGCGTGTTTGACTTGATAAAGGTGAGCCAGTTTTCGACAATGCCACTTTGAAATTGAACCCCCAAACCCTCCTCGAACCATCTCAAGTTGCGCCACATCGCCTCGCATCGCCCAAGTAAATATGGCTGCAGCATCAACTTCAGCCTCACCAGCTTGGAGTATGCGACTTGCCAACCTGTCTCGTGCTGCGTAGCAACCTTCACCGTGCCTGCGCAGCGGAACTTCATCCGCGGCATGCAAATTTTGACGTACATGAGCATGAACATGTGTTGCACAACATTGACGTCGTATGTACAAAGTATGCATAGGTAGTGTTAATCGCTGTGCCAGAGGCTGCAAATTGGCCTGCAATTTCCACCTCGACGATGCCTAATTCTCCGAGACGCACGTCACAAAGAGACAACAAATCACAGCGCTGGCCACCTCGTTATTCTTTATTATTTTTTATTGTCGAGTGCGTGATATACAGGTACACAAAGTAACGCAGTAGTAATAGTGATAGATCAAAAAGGCCATCCATTGGCTGACTTCATCCATCATTTCTTACAGAACCAGTCTACCGGGCTCACCCTCCAGAATAAACTTGCAGCGCTGCAAGAACGCATAAGCCCTCTCCTCCTCGGCCTTGGGCACAGTTAGGGTGAATACGTTGCCACCCGACGACAAACCAGGCACTGTATCAATCGTCACCATGCTGGATGGCGGAGGGTGGAGTGGACGGCTGGCCAGTTCGTCGATAATATCGTGCTTGGGGGGCAGCGTGGGGGTACCCTTGGGCTTGTAGGTGGCACCGTCGGGAATTGCCGATACTTGGGGCAGGTAGACACCACGAGTACCCTTGGCAGCCTTGACCTTGTCGAGGCCGAGAACGGCATCAAAGAGCTCACTAGCGGTGGGCTCGTGCCGAGCAAGAGGAAGCTCGTCGTTGGCGACTTCAGCAGCGCGGCTAATAAAAGTCGAGAGCGGTAGGAAGACGCCGAGCGTATCCTGTATTTTCTTCTGCACTTGCACAACCTTGGCCAGAGATATGGGAACGTTGATGTCGAGGGGCAGCTCCTGCACGGGAGCAGCAGGGGCGGCGTCGGCCTTTTGCGCCGGAGTGGGCTTCTTCTCGGCGACTTTGATGTTGCTGAGGTCGAGATGGGCAAGGTGGTCGAAGCGGGATGAGACCGCAGCGGGCGCCTCGGCGTTGATTGTACCGAGATAAGCCAGCACATCACCCTTGAGTAGTCGGCCGCCGGGGCCGCTGGGCTTGATCTGGCTGACCTGGGCCTCGCTGATACCGTTGGCCTTGACGAGATGTTCGACCGAAGGCATGAGCGGGTACTTTTGCTCGTACGGCTCGCCGCTCTGGGCAGGCTTTCGCTGTTGGCTGCCGCCGCTGGCAGTCTTTGTCTCGCTCTTGGTCACCGACGACGCGGGCTCGGAGCTGGCGGAGGCGCCTGCCGCCTTCTTGGGCTGCTCGTCGGCGGGGATTTCCAGAGCGGAGATGTCGTCGCCGGCCTCAGCGAGGACACCGATACGGGTGCCGACAGGGACAGCCTTGCTGCCGTCCTGAGATATAATCTTCATCATGATGCCGTCGTCCTGGGCCTCGACGTCCATGGTGGCCTTGTCCGTTTCAATCTCGAGCAGCACGTCGCCAGCGCTAAAGCTCTCGCCCTCCTTGACGCGCCAGCTGGCGATGTTGCCCTCGGTCATAGTCGGCGATAGAGCGGGCATTGTGAAGTTATGAGCAGCGAGGCATCGTGCAGAAGTCGAAAGGCCTGCGACGGGGGGGAAGGGCGATTTCGATTGTGGTCAGCGACGCAGGCAATGTTGAGATGAGTTGACATGAGACGGGCGCACTTACCACGAGCAGAGGCACGGCTGCTGGCCACGCGCACAGAGGCACGGCACGCCATTGCGAGAGACGCCATCGTGAGGCCAGATTGAGCTATTCCAACGACGGCGAGGTTGAGAAAAGAGGCGTTAAGGGGGGTGCGACAATAGGTGAGAGCTTTCTTCTCGAAGCTGTTGGGAAGCGCCGATATGGGTGGAAGAGTCCATTGTTTTTAAAGTGGAGCACCGGCGATAAGCACTTAGATGAGACGATGATCTAGACGCGAACTGATCAATGTTGACACGGACTGGTGATTCAATTATCATATATACTCGTGATATTATTTCTTCAATGCTAGCAAGTATTCTATTCTTTTGGGTTACTGAGTCGTGATACTCTCAACCTTCCTCGTGGTTGAGTTATCCAATCTAGGACTAGCCCGGTTTAACCCTGCCAGGTCATATCTACCGCTACCCATCTGCACGTCAAAAATGTGAGCTCCTCAATACCTAGGTACTTGATACGGTACCAAACCTCCAGCAGGCTCACCTACCAGCAAGCCCAATGGTTTCGACAACGTAGCTATCGAGTTTCCTTCCCCATTGCGCATGTCCTTTCGCTACTTTTCTTCCTAAATCGCGCCATCCCTACTCTCACCATGGCCAGCCTTGGCCTCGGCACCTGCATGTGTGTGCTCCGGAGGCAGCTTCTCTCGGCGCCGTGCCGAACAGCTACAAGCCCCCGGCTCTTCGATGCGACTCGATCAAGACTTATCAGCAGCACTGCCTTTCGACTCAATGACGCAGCGAAATCAGCGCCCAAAACGATCAAGCCCTCCGCGCCTGCGCCGCGAGCGAAATCGCAGCCTTCACCCCCGCGCGGCGGGCCGGCGCCGACGCGATATGCCTTTATCAAGAGCCTGGGCTCCAAGACGACACCGACGATGTTATATGAATCGCCCTCACACTTTTGGTTCTACTTCGGCTGCTGGTCAAGCGGCATCTCAATCTTGGCCTGGACAGTCTTGACAGGCCCTACGGTTGTGCAGCAACCTCAAGGCATCCCCTCTTGGGTGGGTTACGTCTTTGGCGCTGCCTATGTGCTGCTGGGCTCCATGGCTTTTTACCTCATATCCAAGACGCCCAACGTTGTCCGGACGATTCGCCTTTTACCCATTGTAGCATCAACAGCGCCGGCCGTCACGCCCCGCGCCGCCGCTGCTGCTGCTGCTGCTGCTGCTGCTGCTGCTCGACCTGTGACTGCCGCCGGCGCAGCTACGGTCATGCCCCAGCTCGAAGTGACAGTCAATCGCATGATGCCCATATTGAGCCCCAAAATTATTGTCACGAGCTTGGACAATGTCGCCCTCAAGTCGCGCTTCTCGCTGCCGGACGAGTACGTGCCCGAGCTGAAGCGCCAGGAGCAGGAGCGCGCGGTGGAGGAGGCGCGCGCCAAGCAGCGCAAGTTTGACATGCAGCATCTGCTTACGATGCCTTTTCGGCATATCTCGCGTGCTTTTTCTGGATTCTTCCGAGGAGTGCGCGCGGCGTGGACGGACATGGGATTTGCCACGATCAAGGTGGGGGACAAGGAGTTCAAGGTGGACGTGACCAATGGCTTTGCGCATGAGGGATTCAGGACTTTGGAGCGACTTGTCCCAGTTGGCTACAAGACTAACTAGTCTGGAATATTACGAAGCAGCGGAGAGTATATACTGCAAGACTGGAGTGACAAACGCCCGTACAAGGCGCGGGTTGGAATCGACTGCCGCCATGCGCCATGGGTGGGGGTGGGCAAGGGGGAAGTGTATTAGTACATGTGCATTATTGTGGCTATTGGAAGGCCATGTAGGATAAATCGGAGGATGTACAAAACAAAAGTCAAGACTTGGGTAGACCGTCGTTTCAACGTATCCTGATATCATGTGTGAAGCCGTTTGGAGGCAATTCAGTCCCGGGACCACACACTCGGACCAAAGACTGTCGAGCCACTGGGAGAAATAGGTAACTGAGACATGACAAAGCCTTTATGACAAATCCATTCTGAGCACCTGGGTAGCAATATGTGCGATGTGAAACTCGACGGTTGTTGTGAGGGTTCTCACCCGATCACCATGGCCTACCCTGTATGTGCTATTCCTTTTTCCGGTCCCTTTTGTGATGGTAAGCCATCTTTTAGTCTGTCTACTAGCTAGCTTTGTCAGTCCTTTTTTCTTCTTTGCATATCTCTCGGATGTCTTGGCACCTGGATTGTTCGTCGCATGTGCTGCGACACGCCAACACACGAAACTGCTGCTAGTTCATGCCGGACACTGCATGATGCACGACAATGGCACCGTACTCGAGGAAATGGCAAAACCCCGGCCAGAAGATATCGCAGATGCAAGATTTGCCACACGTACCATGACGAGTCTTGTTCGACGCACTAGCCTCTGCGCACACCGATGTACAGATGGGATGCATCACGTTACCCATGGCGCTGCAAGCGAAGACGGAGCACAACCCGGCGCAGTTAAAGATCGGCCGCGTAACCCGTTACGTTTAGGTAAAGCCGACCCCCACCAGCTCTATAGACAAGTTTGGCGTGTTGCATTAAAGCCATGGTTCATCTTCCCACGCACCCATACCGAGGAGGCTAGCCCGCCTTGCGCAAGCAAAAGGGTCCAATGAACATTGGTTGGCGCCGACAGCGGACAATCGAGGCAGGCCAGTTTCTTTCTGCACAAGAAGACCCGGAGGATGGATATGATGAAGGATGGACGCCCTGCCGCGCGAGTCAATCAACTTACCGGTGCTTCTGGGCCATGGCGCCCAAGGAAAGCGGCACCCAGGTAGGCAGATATCTGCCCCGAAAAGGCGGCCCGCCAATGGAAGGCATCTGACCAGCCGAGCAAACTGTGCGACGATGAGCCGCAAGCGCCCAGCTGGATTTGGGATTGTGCAATTTTGCCCACGACTCATTCACTTGATAAAGCTACACCTCCCCAGACAACAAAAACTTGTCATCTTGCGGTGGGCTTGTTTATGATTTGCCCGAGGCCGACGCATTCCAAAGGTGGCGCGGGGTCCTTTCAAGGTTTACGTGCGATGAGCGAGGTGGCGCTGTTGCCAAGCCGCCGTTCGAAAGCGCTGGCATACGGGGAATGGGGGCATCAAAGGCGTTGCACTCTTCGGATATCGCACAATGGAACAACAAACTTGCAAGGGAAGGAGAAAAAAGGGAAAAAAATGGTATGCATATGACGTAAAAGTCGTCAATGTCGCGAGAAATGAGGGGGCGGGGTTGGGAAATTACTGAATGGAGGGCAGACTGCCTTGGCTTTCTTGTCTGCTTCATGCAACAAGATGGAGTATATGTGGATGATCACCTTGTCACTTTACGGACGTATTCTCGTGCCCTCGGCGCGCCTTTTTTTTTTT